ATTTAACAATTACTCTCTCGTTTACACTTGGCTTATTCTCACTAAACTGAGCAATATCTTTCGTCTTTTCAAACTCACCAATACTATCATAGTCATTGCATAAGACACGTGAGTTGATGGACGTCCATTTCATTGTGGATGAAAACACCAACGATGACTGAGTGACACAAGGTGATGAACTTAGCAGTGGATCAGAAGCTGTTCTTTTTCGGCTTTCAGATAGTTGTCTAACTGCAAGATTACCACCACTGCTGTCTTTCACTACTAGTTCGGGTTTAGCACTATCATCTGATGATAGGTGGGCTACACGCTGATCAATTACACTGACTGTCTCACAAGTATGCACACCTTCTGGAACTGCATCTGCGTTCAATTCTACTTCACGTTGTAGTTGTACAGAACCTTTATTTAACTTAGCAGTAGTAGGCATATCCCTCATCTCATCATGATCAACCAAAGACAAATCTGCACTATCATGATCATTAACACAAATATTCAATTTACCGTCAAGTTCATCATTTTCAAACTCTTTAATAACAGAAGTAGACAATTTTGGTTCCTCCTCACAAATCATTAAAGGTTTTATATCTTCACTCTGACTAGTTATACTTTGTAAACTTTTGGAGTCAGAACTGCACTCTGAAGCAGTAACTCTATTCTGTGACACTCTATTCAACAATGGCTTACCAGTTGCAACTACAGACTTCTTGACCAAACCGTTATCGTCACACAATTCGGAGTCAGGCCTGGAGTTTACATTTAGCTTATCACTGAACTTGCTCACTGGTTCACAGTTCACTTCTGTATGCACCTCTTGCACACGTGTAAAACACAACCGTGTTTGTCTTGCATCTTGCAACTTATCTGTTGAGGATGTACTACGAAACCTGTTACACTCACTAGGTCTATATGCATTACTAGACATCATGGAGCCTTCTCGATATCCACCTCTCTGAGGCCTACTCGTCATCAATGATTGCATTTTGCTCTCAGACTGCTCTATTCTAGGGGTGAGATGTAATAGACTGGCAAACTTGCTCATAGATTGATTGACACTATCTTTTACCAGTTTCAGGATATCATCAAACTTTGGCTCGATACCCTCATCCTCCATACGGGAGCTTATCTTCACCCACTTCCTTTGCAGTCGAGTAGGTAGGCGTCTTGCTATTACTTCTAGTATAAAACTCGAGTTGAGGTCACTCATGCGATTCATCGAAATCATTCCATTCTTGTAAATTAGCAAATTATCTAAAAACTCAGTGAGTGCCTGGGAGTCATCCTGTAATTGACCACCATTACCCTTAACAGCCTCGAATAATTTCCCTGCAATCATCGAAGGTCTTCCAAACCTTTGACGTAATATGCTCATAGCCTCGTAGTAGCCCTCTTTTGGCTTCATAAACTTACAGCACTGTATAGCTCTTGAAGCATCTCCAGTGCAATATCTCATCAAATACATTAACTTCAATTCATCAGTTAATAAAAACCACTCAGAATGATCTCAAACTCCTTTACAAATTGTAAATAATCAGCCGGGTTTCCATCGAAACACCGTGGTTCAAATTTAGGGAGTTTGATGTTCCTATTATCCCTGAACGGCGAAACAGTAACATCAACCATGTCATGCTTAACATCAGACACATCGTTACAATTAACAGACAAGTCACAATGACTTACTTTCCTGTTTGCATCCAAGACGCTCTGTCCCTTCTTTGACCCAGGCATTGTTGAACTTGACCCAATTCCAAAAACGTTCCAGATATTGCTTGTTCAAAGAGGACTTGACCGGCACCAGGAAAAATGAACGGCGACTATCCAAACTTTCACCAACTGTTTGAATCCGCCAGATCTGTTTCTACCATCAGAAACTGTCAGTCACGTCTCATAAACCGTTAATGCCCAGCTCTTGCTACGCTCGGGCCCGCGCTGTTCCTTGCAGTTTTCAGAAACGCTTAGTTATAACGGACGAAAAAACCAAAACACAGATTGGCCGCTTGAGATTTCTTTATTGTTACACCAACATATAAAAATAATAATTGAATAAGGTAAACCGATGAGACGATGACTGTCGTATTGATGCCTCCGCGAAAATTGGGGAAGTTGATTTTGAGCAAACAACCATGAATTGATCGTTCAATCTTCAACTCCATTGACATATGCAGCCTAGTTTAGTTTTCGTTTTCAGGTTACAAGTCCTACTGCGGTCTAGCTACTTGCTGTGTCAGCAGAAGACCGGAGCAATACACTCAGAAGTACTAATGTGAGTCACACTTATGTTCATATATATATGGAACTTGAAGCTTTTATATCTGAACTCAAAACGTCCGAAAGCTGTAAATTTCGGTACTGTACCAATTTGCGCTACATTCGTCTTGTTATGGTGGTTTATTATTGGTAGACAATAAATAATCCTCAGATTGCCATTCGTTATCTGATTTTTTTTGTTTGGTTGCTGTTCAAAGCATTTTGAGTTGCGTCTATTGGTCTTTTGCCAACAGAAGTAGCCTTACGAACTGCGGGTCGACAGTCTTTAAAGCTGATACATTTAGAACCATCATTTTGACTTTCTAACTGCCTCAACAACACGTATCAAGGCATTTACATAGGTAGTAACACTGGAAATATTAAAAATGAGTTCTCAGATCTCTCAATTCCACGATGCGCTTCCAGACACAAAGACTGTCATAGAACCTAGCGTGCCATGATTAATAGCCGATCACCTGAATTCTTTCCTCAGGTATCCTACCTATGCACACATCTGCAGAAACCCTTAGACGACAAATTTATCTTCTTGTGATTGGAAAAGCTAATACTACTATAAAAATCCCTATGAACTCCGTCAGGTATTGCAATATCATTGTTTGCAACAGTACCTGTTTCATTGAACTTTTATCACACATATCCCAAATAATTTACTCCATCAACGCTAACTTGGATCATTCAGATAAAGACCACGTACACTTTTCAATGTAGATGATAATCCTGTTTATTAGTGCTCATTTTTGGAACAGATAAACGCACCGGGTCAATGAAGCGTGAAATAATCCTTCTTTTAGAGTGAATTTGTCTGAATTTACTTTGAATTTTGAAATGTCGTTGCACTGACACAGTATTTGAAAGGTACCAGGTAGTGGCGAGTAGATCATTTGGTGATTGTAGACTGCTATATGGTTTAATGTGATAGCCACTTTTTCACTATTTTTCCTCACAAGTAAAGCAGAATTTATAGACAATATGGCGACTGGATAGGACTGAGTGAGACCAAAGAGCCAGCCAACTCTGTGACTAAGATTTCTTTCTGCGAGGGCTAATGGCAGCGATGCAAACGTGGACGTTATTTCTGACTTTGAACAACGACGAGGCGACCTTGGGAACCTTCAAACAATGTGCACATGAACGCCGTATTTGGACATTGTTCGACTGTCAGGAATCAAACATAAGATTGTGCTAAAACATACCATCCCTTCTGGCGAAACTAAGTTTCTACACTATCTCGTTAGGATGGGAAAACCTATGTGAGCTGCGGAATTATCGGTCCAAAGTTCGTTTGCCTTTACTGACACTGCACAGTTGATTATAAAGTAGGAACAGGAATTGTGAATGAAAAACAATGAAGAAAGGCAACATCATATGATCAAATTTTTTAGGAAGACAGGTCTTTTTGTTTCATGTTTTTGAGAAAAGTAAAGCGTTTTTGTGGGCATCATCATCATATTTCAAGTCAAATGTATTTCGTTACATGTCAAACTAGTACGAAGGCGCTGTGAACAGATTCACCAGTAAAACATAGAACAGCATATATTACCAACCAACCAACTTTGACGCACATAACGGAGGCCATGAATCCTAGAAGTAAAGCAGAACTGTACATCCTAAAATGAAATACAGACTTAGGTGCTAATATTCAAAGTGTACATTCGATGTCTACTAATTTATGTCAGTTCCATTGACATCGTGGAACATTTGGTCCACGTCACTTACGTGGTCCGTATCTAGAAAATAAGAGAAAGAAATATAGTTATATCAGAATCATAAGGTTTGCACGTTAGTTTCCTAAGTGTTACGCCGAAACCATTCAGTAGCATCACACGAAAATGACTGTTTGGTCCCAAAAGACGAATTCGTCAAAATTTGAGACATTTTTCGGTTACCTGTAGATAGTCTGTATACAGTCAGAACTAACAGCCTCGGATCAGAGTGTCTAATGAAGTACTTCAAGCCCTTAGCTTTTGTGTTCGACTTCAGTATAGTTATTGATTCCTTGCACAATTCAGTCATCAACATGACAATCGCTATACATCCGGGACTCCACTGCTAGCAACCACTAATCAGGCAACTCTCGAAACACATTTCGTCAGATTGTAAAATTAAGAGACAAACACTATCAAGCCTGTACTTTAATAAATCCAGCGCAAGTAAGCATCAGTCCAGCCTCTCAACAACGATGAAGACAAACAGATATATTATTTAGGTTTACCGGAAAACTAATCAGCACATAAAATAAGACTGTTACTACATTTAAACGACACTATTTGAACAGGTAACGTTGAATGCCCGTACAACTGCGAGCATTCGTTTTTACAAGAAATAATGGTATGGTGATCTTCATCTACGACTAGCTGAATAACTGCAAGTTTCTGAAGCCGACACACAGCGCTAGGAGCCAGGCAACATAGATTATCAAGCCACAGTCCTTATTGAACAGTAATAAACTATTTTTCTCGGAGATCCTCTAGTCTGCCTGAAGAATTTCATGAGTGATCACTGAGGTAAGACTCAAAGGTCAAGCGCTGGTATCGACATTTTCACTCCTGTTTGCAGGAAGCCAGAATTGATTGCAACGTACAAAGATCAGTTCACTACTAAAGCTTAAGATGTTAAGATTACCCTGATGAATTCTGAGGTTCCTATTTAAAGGGGCTTTACTCATTTACGACATGCAAAACATTTGACCAACCAGGCCGATAATCGTACTAACGATTCACCACCTACGGAGCGCCTTATGCTGTATTGCGTTACAAGTTTCGTAACGTGCCAGCGCAATGGTTGCAGAAACGTGGTTAGATGAATTTAAAGAAGATATAGATACTATATCAAAAAATAGTGACGAAGGTACCTCTTAAATTCTACTTACCCTTTTAGCTGTTTTCGAAAATTTCCTGTCCGAAGCACTCTGCAATACTATTGATAGTCTTTGCAATTCATCTAGAAAATATTCTGAGTGTCTGAAGTTCTTACGCCTCGCATGTGAAAAAAATTTGTTCGTCTGCTTGCGTGCTACTAAAAATTTAGTCAGGATTCCCAGTGGGAGGAGTTATGGAGCTAGGTAATGAATTCTTGACAAGACTTGCTTATTTCATCTCTAGACCTCTCAGTAAAACATTGTACTCATTTTACTTGCTCAGTGAGGTTATTTGCTTTTGTGCCAAAAATGATTCTTGTCTTTTGGATGATAGCACTGTAGGTTATTGCTTAAATATCTCTATCTCTTTAGATTGACATTTGGTGTCGTGCTGCATCCTATGCACTTTTCACCTGCGAGGGAAAAGAATATAGAAGAAGTTCCTTAACGTGTTCAAGGCTGTGGAATAAAGTACTTCTACGGTTTTTTTAACGAATTATTTAGAACCCCGATTTTCTGAGTTGCGTCACAAAGCACTTAATATCACTCAATCCAGGAATTGTTTACATGTCTGTTATTGCCGAAATCTGTAAGTTTATTAGTCATATTTCATCCTTCGAATCCAAGTGTGAATACAAGGTAAGACGATAGAAAAACTGATGTCAATTTGTTATAGGAAGCTTTTGTTAACCAACTGCTCAAGTCCATCTTTGATGGGAAGCAAGAAGTAGCTCATATTCGATTGGTACGTTTCTGTTACAAAAACTTCGTGTAAATCACAGTGTTTAATTTATCACCATGTATGAACATTCACTGATGATGTCACCGCATGAGTTTTATTGTATTACGTGTTTCAAACTGTTCCATGTTGACAGTAGGTTTAAGTTACATAATTACAGCTGACGAAATTAAATTTCCTACATAATTCATAAACCTTGACCAATTTAGTATCATTTAAATAACCATTTTGAACCTGTGAGCCAAAGGTTAGAATCCCGGGATAACTGCCAGGATCTGACCATAAACCCCCAAATTCATGTTTCTGTGTGATACATAGACCTACATTTAGTTGCCAAGTTATACTTCATTATACTAGCGAATTTGATGGAGTAGGTGAAATGAATCCCAGCACATTATTTCGATCAGTATTTAGATGACTTCATATGGACATTTTTTATATCTATAGTTGAGTCGATTATTTACCGTACCTTAACTTGCTTCAGATTGTCGTAACTCGCGTTACTTTGACGGTGAGAAATAAGCAGACACTATTTCCAGATAATTTCATATGATCGTTGTGCTTTTCATCTTGGAACAAATAAAGCAATCGAATCATGTTAACGGATGTAAATTTTTGAGGCACAAACAATAGGGTAGTGGACCACCTATAGTATTCGTGATCAGTCAACATATTCCAGTTCTCCATTGTGTTTTCACTATGATTGGATCATGAAAAGTTTTGCGGACTGCCAAAAACAAGCATTGCATATATTTTAATGCTGCTGATCCGCGTGAATTTGAGTGAAAATCATGATCTTATGAACCGATGTAGCCACATGATCTTAATTTCACTTTGCATTAAACAACGAACAGTCAAGACAATTAAGACTTTGTGCCACCAAAAGTCAATTTGGGTGTATCAATGCTTGCATTATGTGGGATGAGAAGTGCTAAGAAACTTATCCAGTTTGATCGTTTATCGCTTATCTATCATTTTAGCGGCGCTGTTCCCCGATTTTGAATTTGTGTTGTGATGCTTCTAGTTTCAAATGTCTTGTTCTACCAGTTATGAATCGGGCAATACTTCGTTCTCCTGAAGCACATTTGCGCAGTGAGTTTGCTTCATGATATTTTGATTTTTAGTGCAAAGCATATTGTTTAGAATTGTGTTACGTGACGTTAGAGAATTTGGTTTGAGACTTTTACGTATTAACTCAAGTTCTTTTGGTTGCAGAAGCTTGTTTTGTTTTCAGAACTACTAACAAATTTTTCACAATTCTAATTTTGCTTAGATCTTGATATTTTCTAGTTGATGATGGGTACATACTATGCAGTGCATATGTAGTTTTATAAACCAGTGGTAGATATGGATAGGTGTTATATTCATGTAACCACTTCAACTTGGAACCGATTTCTTATTGTTAGCAGTTGGCTTTATTCAATAGCTCGCAAATCCGACCACATATAACCATACTGATTGCTAAACGTCAATTATGATTCATACAGACTTGTGCATAGTTGCTCGGCTTTAGAATTCGTGTAGGATTTCCACAACGTTTCAGTACAAAGGTTTCAAACTAAGTGTCTGTTATATATTTCTGTGTTAGTTTGTGGTGTTTTACGAGCCATACATCAGTAATACACCCTACTTATGGTGAACCTTGGATGTATGAAGTCACGGCTTGACAATTATCATCTCCCTTCATAAGGTACTAATTGCTGAGCTATGGGGTACACAGGTAGTCAGACTTGTATTCTTACACATAAAGTCTGACTGTGTTTGTGTAAGGGCCATATAGGCTGGTGGTCAAAGCATATGTGGTATGGAGTATGGCATTATTGACATGGTGTGCGAGGCAAATGGTATGCCGTTTATCAAGGTACCTGCAACGTTGGACAGCTTATTGAAAAACAATGTAGCTGGCTCATAGCATCAGTACACAACATTCTAGATTATAGTGCTACATGTTTGGTTAACATGGACCCATCTGACGAAACAGATTCGACAAGAACTTCAAGTAGTCAGATGCCATAAGGTAAGCGGGTCAGAAAACTCCCACCTGATTGTTTTTAAAGTTACAGAAACTAGGTGAGGAAGTGGATGGATTATTTAGGAAACGGTGAAAAATTGAGTGTGCATTCAGTATTGAATGAAGCTGATAATTATCTTTAAAAGGGGCCTATTTAATGTATGTGTTAATCATCGGGGATAGATTTTGTCGGTTGCTTTAAAAAATGCTTTTTTCACCTTGCCATCATAGCTGTTGAAACGTGTGGTAAATTAATTCTGGAGAAACAGACTAGGATTAGTTCAGTTTGTGGATATGTCGGCCAGGGGTTCACTCTCCCCCAGTTGTTAGAACACCGTCTCAGCGATTGTTATGTTTCTTCATATTCCTGCTGCCTTCAAATCAGTGAACAGGACGGTTTTTTTGATGTAGTCTGTTAAAGGGTGGTTTTCATGAAAAGTTTATCGGCATCCTGATAAACTTATATGAGAACAGAGTTCAGGTATACAACCATCACTGCCTCTCTCAACCAGAAATGGGGTTAGACTCGGTTGTCTAACTTCCCTTGTTTCCTCAACCATAACATCGACGAAATTCTGAAAACATCTCTGAAGGATGTGGATGGTGGTGACACAGAGCTGCTACGAGAGAAAGACTATTCAGCCTTGAGTATGCCTATGATGTATTCTTACTAGCTGATAGCATACAAGCTAATAAAATTGCTCTTAATCAGCTGGCGCCCAGTTCTTGTATGCATTTTACTCCGCCGAGCATCTTTTGGTGCCCACATTGTACCATGTTTATATCTTAAATAAGCAAACAGTGACGTTATTCTTTCTGATATGGAGCAATATTAATATCAAGAGGAGTTGAAGAGAAGTCTTATGTTTTGTTATTAAGTCCTACTGTTGCTATTATGTGGTCAGTATTTTGTGGGTATATCATCACACATAACTATAGGACTGATAACTAGAGAAGTTAGTTTCTAACTCTGAAACAATCATTTCTTGTCCCAATAAAAACTGCTTTATTTATAATTTCCACCTTCCTAGTATGCTTGTTATTTCTTCTTAGTTTACCTTTCCAACTAGGTTAGATGCAATATTGTACAATTTTCCAGTTAGCTGGCTTATAGATCTAATAACCTGTTCTCAAGATGTGCATAAAAATTTCTAAAACTTGTGTGTTACAACTTATGGCCCTTACATTTTTCTCTTTTAGATATAAATTGTCTGCTTGAAGATATATCATACAATTTGGATTTGTGTGCCTTAGAATTAGCACAATCAGTTGCTAAAAATCTGCTTGCTGTATCAGAGATAACCAGAAAAGATGCTGTTGTAGTACTGTCAACACTTTCTAGATTGTGTTCAGAAGCTGACACTCTTTGTGCTCTCTGTAAACTTGTAAGGTGCTTTTTGTTTGATTAATTTAACGTATGGATTAAAATATATGTATGCGTTTTAGTAACTAAATCCTTTATAAATAGCTAATAGTTTGCTAATGTTTGAACAAAATTTAAACAGTTAGGTATTAGTTGGAGGATTCCATCATGAGAACAGCAGGTCGAAGGTGAGGACAGTAACTCATCGAAGAAGACATTATGAAGTGGTCGCGCCATATCGTGAATTGGCAAAAGTTAGAGTTTGTGGTTCATTGGATCGCGTCCCAGTGGCCTAATAGTCTACTAGCTTGCCTTATATCCAGAAGGTCCTAGGTTCGAACTTCGGTGGGTGCATACCGACGGAGAGTCCCAAACTAGACTGACGAAACAGCTTTCCAGTACTCCCAGGTTTTCCAATGGTTCTCTCACTGATGTCAACTCATGATGAATTCCTCCAACCAATCAAAATAAAATTCCTACAAAACCATTACTTTAAAGTTAGATGTAACTTAAATTCGTGCATTATACATCATACAAGATAGTGATGTTTAGAAATTTTGAAACCTAAATCCGGTGTTCCTTGTTAAAAACCGTTATAAAATGAACTGGGTAAACAATTGCATAGTCAGTTAATATAAATGACCACTAATTTGGTCTTTTAATAGGCTTACTAATGTATCATTGTTCCCTTGGGTTCCTAGTGGAACATAGGGCTTCAACTGCACGTCTCCACTTGCTTCTTTTGTCTTCTGTTGTACTTTTCACCTGCATCTATGTTAGTCCATACTGTTTCAACTCCTCTTCACACGAGGTTTATATTACTATTGGAATATCTAGATGATGGTGGGCAGATCGCAGTTCCAATCCCAAGACCTATCGGTTGCAATTCGAACGTTTTAAGGCACTGTATTCTCTGACTATAATACAAACTAGAGTTGAATTTTGATGATGCTTATTTCATGGAGATATTGTGATCCTTCTGGTAAGGAAATACAGTAAATTGCATAAACGTATATTACTAAAGTCTTATCAGACTTTTAAATGCCGTATACATATACAGATTCGTTCTGAAGGTATTCAGAAGACTGAATCCCACCAAAGGTATTCCTATTAGTCGACTAGCCTTTCTCATGGTAGTGAATCAATTTCTGAGAAGCTGGAATCAAATCTTTTTTACTTAGCTCGTTCTTTAGAGTTCAGTTTAAGTGTTTGTATTGTGTTTTTACTTCTCTATAGTCGCGTTTTGCTGTCCAATACTGTTGACTTCTTGCACGTCTTAGCAGTCTAGGTTTGTAAATTGAATCCTCATTCAAATCTATTAACAAAATTATCCAACTCTTGAAGCAAATGTTAGTTACATTATATTCGCCGTCTAATTATATTGAAAGATTTTCATATATTTAGAAATCTTTTCTCAACGATAGTGTATTTAGGAGCCGGACTTAAATATATACCAATTACAGGTTTATTTACTTTTGTGCCTTATCAGTTTCTCATTTTTAAACATGTCATTCAAATTCCTATCTCCAGGTTCATGCACAGTTTGCTGGACCTGAAAGTAAAAAAGCTAGTCAAGAGTCAAGATTTGCTGCAATCACATGCTTTGGTGAACTTTCAAAAAATGGGATAAAACAAAAATCCGCCTCAGATCGTGTTTCCAATGCTGCTATTAATTTACTTTTAGATTATTTAGAACGTGAATGTAAGTTCTATACATATAAAATCATCTTTTTTATTGTATATTTCACAAAATTTTGCATTGCATGAATCATTGGTCTCAAAATCTAGTGGAATACACTTACATTAGATATACTCACTTTTTCTGATTCTGCTATATCTGTCTCTAAGCTTATTTTCACTGTGACAAACCAGTGGTCATTTGGACGTCGTATTCGGTGTGAAATTCTTGTAAGGCCAAAATGTGCGTCGGTGGCACAATGGTTAGGACTCTCGCCGACCATGCACATGCCGACACACATCCCTGATATCTATGGTCGGCCTGCAAAATTTGGGCTACCGATACCACATGCTAAAAATTCCATACCCGTACTAAAAAATACGATGTGGAATCAAGCTGAAATAAAAAAAAAATGTTCTTCGACCACATATTGGTCTTGTACAAACACTCTCAATTGGAAATAAAGATATCATTGTAGCTGCTAAATTGATAAATCTAATCAACTAGATAATGTAGCACTATCTTTTACTGTGCTTTCATGACCACCAGACAAATTTTACTATCTGAATGATAAGTTCTCACCTAATTATCTGTGTCGCTTCCTGTTACGTCTTACCACACGATAACTAAAAATTGAAATCTGTAAATACATTTATTACTGAGTTTATTATCAGTAGTTATTATTGTTCATTTGAAAATATGTGCTTATACCACCTTCACTATAATTTAGATAAACAAATCTCATTGTTAAATATCTGGAAAGTGCCGTGTATGAAAAAGAATTATGCTAATTTTTCTGGCTTTCTTTACCTTATTCATATTGCCAATCGCGTCAATTGATGATTATAGGATTAGATGTAGGAGGACCGAGTGTTGTTTGAGAATTGACAGGCATTGTGCTTAATTCTGAGTTCTAAGTGCAAACAGTAGTCACTTTGTTTGAATTTCGGTCACTAATTGACTTTTGGGGAACCATTGAAAATATGGGATTACTAGACAGCTGTTTCGTCCTAATTTGGGACTCTTTAGCAGTACTCATCCGTGGCCACACCTAAGGTCGAGTCCTGGACGTTCGGGCTACACTATTATCTGGTTATAGGATGCAGTCGCCTGAAGTTCTAGTGAGAAGTCATGGACACCAGGACCCACTGAATTGGGTTGGTCTGTCTGTCTGTCTGTCTGTTTTCGACATAGAACTTTGCACAAATGTGCGGAAGTTCAAGTCGCCACATTCCGTGTAGCACGCGAAGCAAGAGAAGAAAGTACAAGAAAAGCATAATAGAAACAGTGAGCAGAGGTGTGAGACAAAGGAGTAATAAAGAAATACAAAACAGTTTCATTGAAGATCATAAGTCACAGGGAGTGGATGCATCTGCGCCACTGAGAACGGTTTTGAGCCATGTCACCAATTGTTTCCAACCATAGATTTTTACTGTCCCGAGGACCCCAGCCTGGAAGTCTACACCTTCCTACGTGGCTTAGACCAACTGTTGTGGATTTCATTGACTGATGCCAAGTTTTTGTTTGACCGCCGCTGGCTTTTTTCCAGCCTGACCCTATATCCGTTAACATTGCTCGTCGAGGGAGGCGATGACTTGGCATACGTAACACATGTCTGTCTGTCTGTTTTAAAATTCAAATGGGATACCCATCGTCCGAAAGAAAAAAAAAAAAAAAAAAGGAGGGTGGAAAAGGAAAAAAAAAAAAATTTGGAAACAGGGGGTGCCCGAATTTGCTCCATTTTCACAATTTTCCGGCCCCGATACCTCGGAACATTGTTTCATTTTTTTCCTTTTTCCCCTCATGGGGGTGAACACTTTTTCCCTTTCGCACCTCCTTCTTGGAATTTAACCCCCTAAAACCTCGGCAATTTATGGATTTCCGAAACTTTCCGTAACACATGTCCTAACCATCTCAGTCTTTGTAGCTTCACGACTTCGTCGATTGATTTCCCCTGTTTACCTAGAACTCTACGCCTAACCTCCATGTTGCTCACCTTATTATGCCACTTTACACGGGAAACAGAGTGGCAAATAGAGTGGGGCAAATACTCACCGAAGACACCGGCTGGGGTCTGTCTGTGTATCGCAAATTGATAGGTGTTGGAATTGATGGGCCATTATTAGATTCTGTCCAGTAGGCTGACTAATCAATGAGCTTGCCTTTCAATATGAAGTTCCTGAGCTCGGTCTTCAGTGGCATCATGGGTATCTGCTACTGAAGAGTCCCAAATTAGAATGACACGTGTTTCCAGCACTCCTTGGTTTTCCGTCATTGTCTAAATTAAGTCAAAATGGAAATCAATCAAACCCCTGCAAACCATATGGAAAATAGTCATTTAGTTATATCCAAGTTGGCTATAACATGCGTAATGGATTGTATTCTCCCACAATAATGAAGGTTCATTCCACGAGATACATAAACTAGTAGTAGGTAATCTTCAGGTGATATGGTTTAAAATTTAACTGGGCGTACAATTAATAACCCAGTACACAAGTATTCAATTTTAGTTTTGTGTTATTTCATTCCGCTATTAAATGATGATATTTACAAACATTCCAATGTGTAATTTCAACAAGAAATGAATTTTTGTTTTTCAGCCTATGAAGAAGCCATTATATGCGCTGCTAAACAATTGGGAAAATGGTTGCATCGTCTTCGATCAAATGCATCTGACCGTTTCTTCAATTTCATAAAGGTATCACAGTTGTTTCATAGCTTTATATTGTTTATTTTGTACTTATATATATATATATATATATATATGAATATAGTAATCAGTAATGTCGCCTTCATCAACTTGAAACCAGTTTGATAATCTTCTGCATTCAGCATAAGGAAGAAGTTCGGATTTTCAACACCAATGTCAACTCGGTCCTTCTATGCATGTCAGAAAATTGGTCAGCTTGTCACGAAAAGGAAAAGCTTTCTCTGGCTCCATACTGAAGATCAAATGGCCAGAAAGAGCAAATAGTAACAAGAAACTCTGGCTGGAAAGAAACCAACAAACGAGAGCCGATTGATCAACAAATATGTAGAAGAAAATGGAGATGGATCGGGCTTACATTGAGGAGACCATCGAATGATATTGCGCGCCAGGCCCTCGAGTGGAATCCAAATGAAAGGCGATGACGAGTGGGTCATCAGTGCTAGGGTGACATGGAGGAGATCGTGTAAGGAGCAGATTAGAGGTTATAGTCAATCGTGGACCCAGCTGAAGAGGGCGGCAGAAAACAGAACAAAATGGAGGTGTGTTGTTAAAGCCCTGTGTTTCACTTGAAATCCAAGGGAGTAATAGTAATAATAATAATAATAATGTCGAATGGAAGTCATCACTGTAGAGCCGGTCACATGTCTCCTGAGTCGAATATGTGAGTTAGCAAATGCCAAAGAAACACAAACACGTTGATTCCATAATACACTAAGTGTAAATCATTGAAGTGTATTTGCGCGTTAACTGTTCATTTTCTGTATTTTCTGTTTTAACGGTGTACTTTTGAGATTACTCATGAAGACATACTTAGATAAGACAGAGAAATTATCGTTTCTATATTGTGTCTTGTGCATCAAAACCACTCAATTGATGAATGAATGTTAGTTAGTGTATTAACTTCTGAACTTATTGTTGCTATTTTTTAATATATATGTCATAAACTGATATGTTTGCATAATTTGTTGTTTTTCCCTCTGATTCCTGTATATAGTCATTTGCTTTCTCGACTAAAACAAGTGCACCGGTTCATTCAGTTCTACTCATGTGCTTAGATACAGCATTATCAAATAGTGAGTTATTTGCGTTCATATGTTGATATGCATTTTTGCTCTTAGTGTGTAATGTTAGCTTGATATAGACTGTCTATCGCGATATGCTATGCTGAGTAGAATAGAAGTCAGATAGATTAAATCTAAAAGCTGTGTCATGAGAAGGTGTAGCATCTATGCGTAAATTTTCTAACGACTTACTTGAATCCTGTATGAAAAGGATTGTAGACTATACGGGTGTCAATAAAATTATTTTCATTATTATTTTAATCCTTTGCAGTATGAGTGGAACATAGGACTTCAAGCTATAGCTTTGAAGTTTCAGTAGCAGTAGTGTTTTTGTGTTTCACGGGGTGGATTGCTGTCCTCACGCCTAACCTTCCCTCCTTACGGGACTTACTACCAGCTAAACGCGGTTTAAAGATTGCATAGTCCGGAGATCAAACTCTGGACCATGTGCGTGATTGGTGAGTATTCTACCATTGAAGCACCCTTTTCTGACTCTGGAGGGGAACGAACCCTCGATGTTCGCGATATGTACAAAAGGTGGTTATTTAGTTGAATAATAGGAGTTTATTTATACATAATATGATGAAAATTTCCAAAGGAGAGGGTGAAAGTGAAAGAAATGGGGAATAAAAGTAAAATCATCAGGTAAACAAACAGTTAAGCAAATTAGTTTAGCTAGTAAAAATTGGAATTGCATAACGACTGTGATGCACTATCTGGTTGCCAAAATAGTACCAGATGAATCATGCTATCTGTCTATATACATGGATTAAATCAAAATATTTTGATAGTAATATCTTTAGTAGTAATAGTTTTCCCTTTATCTTGATTATTTTGAAGGCCTAACTGACTTCAACTGTTTGTCCCATGCGCCAACCAAGTGCCTAGCGATTCCACCTGCAAACACTTTCCTGCCTCTCATGCTGAAACTGTTTTAGAAAATTTAGTAGACACTCTCCTCTGTCACTCTCTTCCATGTACTTGCTACCTCATAATAAAAAATAAATAATTTTTCCTTGAAGTTCCCAGTGGAACATAGGGCTTCAAGCTAATGGCTTCCTATTTGGGACTCGTCAGCTGGATGTACCAGCATTTCTCAGATGACAAGTCCCGAACAGAACGAAGTGCGCATCCTGGATTCCACTGCTAGTCACCATCCACAAATTGAATTCTAATTTAATGCCCAGACATCGTCGAAGCATCTGCACAAGAAGCTGACATGTCAATCGATGCGAAGATCTCAAATCCAATTAAATATGAGATAATGTTGTGGTCTCGTTATTTATTTATTCACCCCTCTTATCGTATATTTCTTAACGTTTGCTAAAACTATTAGACTTTGAATTTTTAGAGTACTGTGTACCCTTGGTTTTGTTGTCATCTGATAGAATGATAACCAGAGACTAAAATCATACTGTGAACTAGATTTTCCTTCATTTACCAACGCTCGAAGTGTCACAACAGGCTTCATGAAATAAACCTATCCCGATTAAAACATTTCCCTATATTTATCAGTATTTCATTATGCCTAGTACTGTTCTCATTTGCATGAAGTTACACTTTTTCCCTCTTGTTTTTTAGATCTGAATGGAAATCAATTGCCAACGGCTCTCATTCCCAGTCTGTTAAGTTCAATAGAACAAGCCTCTGGTCAACCATTTCACTCGGCTGCGGTGCATAAATCTGTTATGGCCTCCTTAATATGGTTACGGCATACATTGTCTGTGATAAAAATACCAGTTACAGAAGAATCATTCAAGTCTAGTATTAAAACTTCACCTTTTTGGAATATGTTATCAAATGTGTCAGGAAGTAGTAATAAACGGTGCCCATGGTTTACTGAAAAATTCTTACAAACAGCACCATTTTATGGTAATAGAAATGATTAAAAATTGATTTCTTTTTTTTATCTCTCCTGCAATTAACATTTTATCAGTCGAAGTTAGATTGAAAGACACTTAAAAAAAAGAATTTTAAACGGATTTGGTCACTAATAATGAAATTACTGTTGAAATGATGGACATTTTTTGTCGGCTTAGTTGAATGTTTTCAGTGTCAGAGAAAACACAATTAGTGTAGCTTGTCCCCAACTACAGTATCTTGAACGTCGTTAACTTCTAGTTATGTAGTTATTCAGCCTGAATCATCAGTGTTCCAGTGATAGCAATCGAACCCGACATCTAAATAACAGCCTGATTGAAATATTCATCATAACCTCACTTAACAAATGGGTTAGTAAAGCAGTCGTTTTGAATAAGGTTAAGATAGATTCAATAGTTAAACTCAATAAGAAGTTTCAACTCCAGTCGTTTGGTTGTTTTAATTTTTACAGCTCACAAGTGACTGGCCCTATTCAGGCAGTTAACCTGGGGTTCTAGTGGGAAGCCGTAACCAGTAGGTTACAGCAGGTTGAAGATTAGGCAGTAACTCACCGAAGAAGACATTGCTAAGTGCTGGCGCTATGTCGTGAATTGGTAGAAGATGGAATTCATGGGCTGGCCATTGGACCAAGATCCAGTGGCTTAATGACCTACGAGCTCGTTGGTCTTGTAACCAGAAGATCGTGGGTTCGAACCCCGGTGGGTGGGTACTTCTGAAGAGTCCCAAACTAGGACTGAGTAAATAGCTGTCCAGCACTCCTTGCAAGTTTTTCTGCGGTTCTATAACTGATGTTACCTCATGATGAAATCCTCCATGCAGGCTTACTGTTTGTTTTATTTGATATTTTTTATTTCTAAACAGATGAGTAAAGTGTTTTTGTTTGTCTCTCCTTCCCTCCCTCCCTCCTTTCAGTTTTGTGTGCTTTGGGTCGTTTGTTGAAGCTGCTTCTTTCAAATCTTCATGCCTTTATTCCTGGTGAAGTTCTTGGGTGAGTTAATCAATTATAAGCTTTTATAATTGTCTGCATTTGTAAAATGTTTCGAGTTATAAATCGTTTGCATGGAACAAAATTTTAATGGCTAGTATATCTTTTCACATTCCGATCAAATTTTTTCTAGCTTCATCTGTAGAACATTCCTCCTGCTGTGCCTTCATCCCTTTTATGATACAGTACGTCAACCAAATCTGAATAGTATCAGTGAACTTCTGAAAACTTCTAGCGAAGAACATCGTTATCAACTGATTATGGAGTTTTTGAAAAATCTTCAAATTCTTTTAATCAATTATCCCAGTGTATTTCAACCTCCGCCATCTTCTTCATCAGCTACATTGGTTTTGGGTCCAGGATTGATTTCTGAATCGTTATGTTTACAAATATCTGATTTTGTTGGAATCAATGTCTGGGATAATATTTCTTATCCTGCATCTGAATTACAAACAACTGAACAACCTATTGGTCGTATTAAATCTATTGAAACATTTTTGTGTAAACTGATTGATGTTATTGTTCCAACGTCCAAGTGTGATAAAACCTCCGTAGAGGACAGTACTAGTATTTCTTCTTCTGCTTCCGTACTGAATTCAATTGATGTGTGTATTTTGAGTGCATTTTGTGCTAGCCATCCATGCATCCGTAAGTGCACATGTTGATATGAAATTATTATTATTAATTTCTGTATTTTTTGATAACTGCATATGAAATGTGAAGTTGTATCACAGTGCCTTAGATACTTCGTTAGAATTCAAGATCTTCGAGGCATTTTTGCCTAGGTAATTGTGCTGTCCCCTAAAACTACTCATCACATATGTAACTTATAAAGTTTAGTCAGTGAGTACATTGTATAATTTGCCACCTTCTATATGAAAAATAGTTTATATACTCATTTTGGATGCTCCGTTATCTGAGGTAACTCATTCCATTATCGAGCTTTCATCAGAACCCTCGCCAGCGGCTTTATTATGTCCTGAAATGTGTACATTCTTTAGCAGACAGTCCTACTGATATGGGATTATATACATATATACAATCGGGTGTTGAGCTGTAGAACGCTCGCCAACCACGCACGTGGTCTAGGACTTGATCCCCGGCCGATGCACTCCTAATCTTGCTAAGCTGATAGTAAGGCCGGTAAACAGGGAAGATTAGGCGTGGGGCTGGCAGCTGTACTCCTTAAAGGTAAAATCACTGCTACCGAAACTACAAAACTCTAGCTTGAAGCTCTATGTTCCACTCGGAACGTAAAGGAATGTATATATATCCAAATACATGGATTGGAATTAGGCAATAGCGATAATATTCGGCTGCCTAATTCTCATAAGTCAGTATGTGGTTGAATAGGTAACTTGGAGATGTGGATCGTTCGCTTAAGTACTTGACTTTCGACTAATGGGTCCCGCGTCCAAGTCCTCCTCCCTCTAGTTCAACTTAGCCAACCCCATAATTACTGTTGATGAAGTAAGCAGTAGTATTATCACAAGTGCTTTAATACACCGTAGTTCATTCCAATTAGTTATCGTTGTTTTCCGACCAGCTGTCTATTTGTTTACTTATTAGTCTTTTATTTATTAGTCTAAAAATTAAGGCATTTGTCCTAGTGTCATCATATTACTATTTATCTGTCAATTGAATAACTCAATATTAATTTGTTTATCTTCAATTTTTACTCTGATAAATAGTCAACTTCTATTTATTTTCGGTTTACAGTTATGATATATGTTATTTTTTCCGTCTTACTTTTTATGCACAGTTAACTTCAGACCTATGCTGTGGGAGCAATTACGATCTAAGCTTAAACTTCCCAAGTTATTTGATCATAAAAATAGTGAATCAGTATGTAACATTTCACTGATCAACGCTAAATGGTTGAAGATTATCGATTATTTCATAAAACAACCATATATGATTCCGGTTAGTTAGTTAGTTTCTACTTATTTATATTTTTATTTAAATATGCTTTTCATATAGGTCATTAGTTGAGGAGTCATATGACTTCCCATTTGACAAAACGTTTCAGTCTAAAGTATTTATAACTTTGTCTCTCTTTTGCCTCTTTTCTTATGAATTCTTTGGCTACTTTTTTTTTACCAAAGCGATTAAATCACAATCACTTGTACTCCAGTACAAGCTGTTGTGTTGAGTTTTGCTCAGTATTAGACAACAGTAGGGAAAATTTTGATTGGACACGAGTAACTAGTGTGATGTGTGTGTCTAGTCGTTTCTTTGATACATACTGAATTCTATCAGTCAGGTTTGCAATATGGTCACCATGCAACTAGGTACCTCGCCATCCATCAAGGTGCATATTGATTTGAGGATATTAGATGGTTATAGGCAATTGGCAGAAAGCCTTGCCTGACCCAGGTTTCTTACTAGTTGGCACTCACCAGTCAGTAAAGCGTATCTGCAACCTCGAAGGAACTCATATCCCTTCTGAGATTCGAACCCGCGTTATTATGGGTCATTGAATCTTGACCTGAAAGGTGAACGCTGTCATAATCGGTTCCAGGTTCAGTCTGTTTTATGACTATGAGTGTGCTGCGTTAACGAGGTTTTTCTCTCGAGCTCTTTTTACTTACCAATAGTTCTTCTTTTCTTGCTGACTTGATAAAGTTAGTTACCTTAAAGTTTCAATAAATTAAGCAGTTTGAAACAGTTAATCAGAGATCCTATACTTTTACTTCGTTAGTACTGATAATTACTACTAAGCCAAAATCCGCATTAAGAATTTCTTCCTGATTACTCCCGATCATTGAAAGTCAGTTGAAAGTATACGATGATAGTGAATATATTTTAAACCCGATGGATAAGTTTCAGTTGACCTTTAGCAGTGCACTGCATCAAAATTTGTTACCTTTTTAGTGAATAATCAGAATAAACAGACAATAAGAAGGATGTAGGAGTTTCTGTTTATAAAATTTGTATCAACCTAATGCTTTTGACTTATGCTTGAGAATTTTAAGTTTACAAGTATTTACTATAAACTTTCTGAATAAAGCAAGAACAACAGTTTTTTCAGAATAAGGTGGTACCATCATTTATTTTGCTGGCTTCTCATCAGTTGCTTACAGCGCAAAGACGCCATTTTTAGTGTGCTTGCACAGACTTCATTTTTAAACAAAAATCAATCAATCAGTATGTGCATACAATGCTAGTAATAATAATAATAAACCCTTTTTCCCGAACAATAATGATCATACACAATGGAAACTTCCAGCATTATGTAATCAGATGAAAGAGAGGATGAAAACATCCAGTTACCAGGACAAGGAAATACTGATAACTACTTCTTTCTGAAGGCATAAACTGGATTTCAGGCGCTTTATGGAGATTGCTTCGGCAAACTTAAGGATAATTGAACTTTTTGGCTCACTGATAATTTTGAATGGTCTTGTGATGTCCACATTATTTTTTTCCCTTCACGTTCCCCAGTGGAACATAGGGCTTCAAGCTAGTGGCTTGAAGTTTTTGTAGCAGTGTTTATTTTACAGGATGGGGTTGCTAGCCTCATGCCCAACCTTTCCTTTTTACCAGCATTATTTCTGGCTTAGCGAGGTAAAGGAGTCCGTCTGCGGGGGATCGAACCTCAAACCATGTGCATGGTCGGCGAGTGTCCTAACTGCTATACCACCGACGCACAAAAGCCGGCAACACCCGGTATTCCCAGCCGGTCACCCATGCAAGTACTAACCGGGCCCAATGTTGCTTAACTTCGGTAATCGGACGAGAACCGGTGCTTTCAACATCGTATGGTCGCCGATGTCCGGTGTCAAAGAGATGCTTGGTGACAGCACTGTTTAAAGCATTTGTTACCTTTAATCATTGGCTTTTTGGTACATGTTCAGAAAATCGGAGAATATGCCCTTCTTTCTGTTTTTCCAATGTAGCTGCTCCCGCAGATACATTTAAATTTGTATATTATACTATTATTATTATACTTCTTTTCAGTCTGATCGTTATGCTGTTCAGCGATTAATCAAATGGTCACCTATTGGTGTTGGTCAAAATTTAATTGAAAGAATTCATTCTGATTTTTGTTGTGATATGATTACATCAATTACGGAACAAGATGTACAAATTATGCTAACACCAGAAGGTCAACTCTTCAATAATGAACTTCTTGAAAGGTAGGTAGTCTTCCTTCTCATATATACGTATTGTATGAAAAAAACAATCGATACGCTTTGTTTTCGTGTGGGTTCTATTCACAATTTAGTGTAGGTCAAACATTTTCATTCTTAACTTATAAGTATTCAGTAATCCTGATGTCGAAATTAGTGAGAAGAGTAATCGAGAAAGTTGTGTATTTATCTGCCTTGTTTTATATTGCTGAATGGGCTCATTAAGTAATATGTGATGCTCTTAATCATTACTCAGTAGACAGTTGAGTGTTGTTGAAAGTGTTGTATTTGCATCCTGTCAAATGTTTTTGAAGTCACAGTATACATTTCAAAGATCTTTTTAATATTGACAATGAAAAGTCCAGGGGCTTCTACGCTTTCCTACTAATATCAAGTAATTGATGGTTTCAGTTGGAAATATTAGATCATACATGTGTTAAAGTGCATGTTTGGAGTTGTGGTTTATTGTTCGAGATGCTCGACATCCAACCAGTAAGTCACGACTTCGAACTCTGCTGCACCTACGGTAATCTGAGCAGCTATCACACAATAGGTGTGGCTCATCGCCAACTGCATAAAATTGCAGGTGGCTGTTGAGCAATAGTTCACTTTTCATTTCTTTATAAACTCATATCCTAAAACTACTTTTGTGGTACACAAAACAGTTTGTTGTTCAACAAGTTATCCATAGTGATTTAATGCCTTTAAGTAACCAAAGTCGAATCCCAATTTGATATGGTATTAAGGTATCTGAATATATGGTCTAAATTTACTTTTAAGTACACCCTAGAAAATTTGTGAGGTTGATTATCTGCATTCTGTAAATTGTCGAATGTTATACAAACAGTTCTTCTGCCTCTGCTCGCCTTCGTAATGCTTCAAATTGCTCGTCTATGCACGACTTGATGAATATTCAGTTCAGTGGTCAGCTGGAAACATGACATGCCTCGATGTTGTCGTTGGATTTCTGTTGCTCTCTTTCTCTCCATCACATTCTCGCTTCACGAATACATATTCCACACGCACATACGCACGCACACACACACACCTATATGTACATAAATATACATACATGCAAATATGTTGGCCATGAACAACGTACTCAATTGTTGTTGTGCATTGTAGTGTTCGCCGGTTCTGTCGCCATCACTGTTTTTGTGCTTTCAGGTACAGCTGAAATATATGTGCGATACAAATCATTTTCAATATTATATTCCGTGTCTCTATTTTCGTTTACATTCACGTTTTGTATATATATATATATAAAGGTGTATTTATTGACAAATAATCCTAATTTTTCTCTACCGTGTTTTTCTTTACGCAAAACGTTTTGATCCATTTGAATACACACGGACTTGTCATGGGAATATTTATGGAATTTATAATTATGTTATATGTGAGGAAATATGCTCAGGTCAATTTATTAGTACATATTCAAGGTCATAGTAACAATGAAGACCACTAAACCTAACGGCAGTTATAATAGTACATCTGCTCTGGTATCAAATCAAAATTTACCAAGGAAGGTTCAATGTGATCACGAATTGTTTTTGAACTCATAAAGGTGGCTTAAACTTTCTAATAATTGCTAGGGCTTCCACAAACGTTAGGATGTGCCCCAAACACGTTTTATAAATACTTTTAAGAGATCTGTTAACGTCAATTTTATGTCCTGTCTCTATAATATGTTTCGCAATAGAGGAGCTAGGTCTCCTGTTCTCACCATTAATGGGTTCTGAAGATTCTATTGGTTTTTGGAGCCATTTAGGAATATGCTCTGCAGCCAGCCCTTACTTGCAGAGATCGATGAGTCCTCCCTATGTATGTGTGTCTACACGTACATTCAAACTGGTAAATACAGTAAGATGTGACATCACTTTTCGCATGTTCGAAGGGCTTAGATAGATATATTGGCTTCACATTCTCAATTATTATGATATTAGCTGCATAAAAAGTCGTTTTAACAGCAGCGTTCATCTTCGTCTAGTTATCAAGCTGCTTTGATGCCTCATATAGGGTAGCTTGATGTACACGTATTTCTTGGAGGAGGGGTAGTTGTAGAGTGGGTCTTGGTGTTCTGACTATTTATTATTCATACAAGCTCCCGCCAGTGCGATATCAGAATAAAAAAAACAAATTACTCAATTCAGCCAGCTTAATTCACGTTTTTCCAATAGTTCTAATAACTGACAGAAACGGAAGAAACTTACAAATAGATTTTCTGTTGCGTCGAAGTCAGCTTAAAAAGATTTATGGATAGCCAAAGAGTACTGGGAAGCTAGCTGCATTATCCTATCCTGCGATTCATTATCTATGTTCACACAATTTCATGACTGCAATATCCCAACAGAATCATATCATTATCTAAACACTGAAATAAGATCCAGTTGGTCACATCTACTTTTCTCACACACTATCCAATTTTTTTTGGTATGTGTCCTCATAACCAACCTGATTAACTTTTTCGAGTTATGACTTTCAACATAAGTTGTGAAAATTCCACTTCAAGACTTTTCCATTTTTTTTTTACAGTGGAGGCTTAAAGTTTCCGTAGCAGTGTTTATTTTTACAGGATGGGGTTGCTAGCCTCATGCCGGACCTTTCCTCTTTACCAGCTTTTTATTACTGGCTTGGCTTAGTGAGGTAAAAGAGTGCGTCGGTCGGGGATCCATCCCCGGACCGTTGTGCATGGTCAGCGAGCGTCCTAACCGCTATGCCATCATTAAAGTTTGCATTAATTTGCATATTTTTCATTGTTTTCTTTATATATGTATATAGCCTACCGAAATATGAAACATCTTTGGCTAATATCAAACGTGAAAGTAAATTATACTCATATGATATACAAATGGATATATTATCAGCTAAATTACAAAAAGCACGTGAACAAAAGCAACAAAATACAGTTAATCATACTACTACTACTACTACTACTAATGGTAGTAGTAGTAATACAGTACCTTTATTAGATAAATTAAGTGGTCAACTAACTGAAAAACAACTGGAAGTTGTACGAAATGAATTGAATAAAGAGGATGAAATACGAAAACGCATGCAATCGGTATGTTGTTTTTCTTTTTTAACCCCTTGTATTTTGATTTTTTCCGCACGCATCCAAAAGTTCTGGGTTCAGTTTGTTATCTCCTAGTTTTGTTTCTTATCGTTGAGTTGGTTGTATTGTGGGCAGTCATCGGGAGTTGATAATTTATTAGCCGTAGATAAATAAAGAAGTTTCGTATCATCATGATGAATTCAGTTCCACTGTATCTTATCACAAAAGAGGTTAAAACTCTAAATCTGAGTCACAGTTTTCGAATTAATTTGCAATTTACACAGTTTGAGGAGATGGAATTTCACCACAGCTTGGTGGCAAAGCTTATCAATCATGTAATAGGTGTATGGTATTACCAGTTCGCTAAAGTAGCTAGCCAGAGGTCATGTAGTTTGAACTGATTTGGACCTCTGAATTAAGTCAGACCGGGTACACCGCCGATGATCCCTGCTTCAAAAGGGTTGGACGACCGTTAGGTGTCTAGATCACTTTGATCTGGTTTTTATATGTGTACTATGCAGCTACTCACTCCAATCAATCAGTAGTATATAGTGTCAGAGTGAAATCTTGTCAAAGCTTTATTCCCTCTATGGAAGGTAACTTTTTGCCTGACTTAGGATTTCAGTCGTTAAATCAAGTGATTTAGTGTTTTTAAACTGTGTAGAATTGTAATAGAAATGTTTTGTTCCATGGATAGCAATTATGCTTTGATCTAAAGAGTCATGCAATTACTATCTAACTATCTAAGGCAGTAACATCCGTCAGTGTGTTTAGTTGTCTCTGTCGCCTATTTTCGTGAGTGTATCTACACACACAGTCAGCTTCCTACTTAAAATTTGAGTTAGTAATCCGCTTTGAGCTGCATTCTAAGAATGTTTGGCATGCGATTCACTCCCGCCAAATGTAAGATGATGTTACAGAACTGGTCTACACTGACTCCATAGCCCAGCAATAGGGAGTGAAGTGGTAGAGCACGTTGACCGCTTAACTTACTTGGGAAGTACCATCAGCCCCAGCAGGTTCCTCTGTGACGAAATCTCAGTACGGATACAGAGGGCTAGTTTCGCATATACCAGTTTACGCCATCTCTGGCGTAGACGTGATATCCGGCCGGGTATCGACCAAAAGGCAGGTATACTGCTCATCAGTCCGCTCCGTCCTCCTTTATGGCTGTGAGTGAGACCTGGCCATTGAGAGTGGAAGACATGAAAAGATTAGCTGTCTTTGATCATGGGTGCCTGCGTTATATCTCCCATGTGAAATGGTATAATAAGGTGAGCAATGTTGAGGTTAGGCGTCGAGTGCTAGGTAGATGGGAGGGGAAATCAATCGACGAGGCTGTGAAGTTACATTGACTGAGATGGTTAGGACATGTGTTACGTATGTCTAGTCTAGTCATCGCCTTCCTCGACGAGCAATGTTAGCGATATAGGGTCAGGCTGGAAAAGAGCTAGCGGCGGTCAAACCAAAACATGCAACCAGTCATTGAAATACACAACAGTTAGTTTAAGCCAGTTAGCCAGGTAGGAAGATGTAGACTTCCTGGCTGGTTGGGGTCCTCGGGACGGTAAAAACCAATGACAGCTGGAAACAATTGGTGATATGGCTCAAAATCATTCTCAATGGCTCGTGCAGATTCATCCACTCCTTGTGACTTATGATTTCCAATGAAACTATATTGTTCTTCGTTATTACCATTCCTTTGTCTTACACCTCTGTTTACTGTCTATATTATGCATTTCTTCTACTTTCTTCTCTTACTTTATGTGCTACATGGAATGTGGTGACTTGAACTGCTGCACATCGGTGCGAAATTCTATGTTGAAAACAGATAGACAGGCAGGCAGTAATCCGCTTTGATTATATTATATAATCTCTCTTTGTCTCTATCTTTTTTCTTCCTGCAGCTTGATTTACAAGTTAGACAGATGTGTGATTTACTCACTAATGCATTGAATGCGCTTATTTGTCAACCAAATCATCCTTTACCAATTTATTATCAAGAGGCTGGAGAACTTATCAAGCATTTTTGTACAAAATTATCTCATCTATTTGTAAAGTTATTATCAAATCCTCTAATCTCACCATATATAATACGTGCTCATAATAAATTTATTGAAATTATAATGTACAATACATTTATTGTTGAAGAATGGCAATCTTCTTTAACTCATGAAGTTCATTTGTATACACCAATGATTTATTGGTGGTCTGTACGAATATTAAGTCCAGTACGACTTATTTCTCGTTATGATAGTAATGATACTTGGAATTCAGAAATGAATAAAGCCTCCATTAATACAACTGATCGATCGGATTATTTTATTTATAAGCAAGCTCTAGAGGATACTGATTCATTGACTTTGTGTTGGTCTTCTCGATCTGTTGAGGATCATACTAAAGGAGTTTTTAGTCTCCTATGTGATAAGGTAAGTAACCTTTGTGTATGTATTTTAATAACAATAATCTTGTATTAATCTTTTACGTTTGTACTAAGGTTACCTCTCATCTGCTTGTTAAACATGAAAAATTCTAAATTTTCCAAAGAGTGGTTACTAAACAAAGAATAATCTTTTCACTAACTCCTTTTTCATCAGGTTCTACAGTTGTATATATACATAGTGGCAAATGAACTAGTGTTATTAACAATATTAACGTTTAAATAACATCGGGTCAATAATATTACCAATGGAGTACAGTTGGAAAGCATCAACACAACAATACAATGAATGTCAGAAAGGCAAATTAGAAAAAATAATAATACAAATTCATGGATTTATATTCTCTACTGAAGGCCAGGGCAGTAGAAGTGGCTAGACTTGGTTTGCTCCTACTGCACACAGAGCACTGATTGTTTCAGACAAATAGCGACAGCCTCTTCTGTTTGGAGTATGAGGTACCTAGATATTTTTGTTTGGTACACGCTTTGTGGCAGATGTTTGATATTGAGCTGTTGATTCTCCTAACTGCAACTTTCATTTAACACACGTGCATGAAAAATCAAGTTCCTAAAGCAATGGCCAATATAACTCGCTCCACAAGTGCATTTGCAATTAGAAGTGGCTAGTCTGGGTACTTCACCTTTCAATTGGAGAATCACTACCGGTCGTGTAGAAAAAAGGACTTGCAGTTTGCCAGCATTAAAAGTCCTTTGAATTGATTTTCTGAGCTTCTTGGTAATTATTTCACTAGGTATATCGCCCTTGAATTGCAGTCGTATTTATAAAGGCTTCTTGTTTACGCATAGTGAATGGTCCTTTAAAATAAGTAAACAGTCATAAATTAGAGATTTTCTGTAGCGTGCACCCAGTTGTGTCAGTGTTAACAAAATAAAACGCTTGTTGTTTGCTTCTCGCCTCAATGAAGTGTTATCTTACGTCCGAAGCTGTTATTAATGATAAATTTTTCTCGGGCTTTATTACAGAAAGCGCCAGTGTCTTCACTGATATATGGTGATAATGTTTTTCCGATACCGTTTGTGAAAAAATTTTGAGCATCACAAACTGACTACATTCCATTGTGATATCTTATTAGCTTACTTCAGTGACAACATAAAAATTTATCAAAAGTACTTAAGACAGAAGAAATTTAAGGTTTGAGTGTGTGACTACAGCTTTCCATACTACCGAACTTTCCACCAACTGTCATAACGAATAAAAGTCAAGTAGTTGGGAAGTAAAATTGTGAATACTGATTCTAACAGTTGTCGTGATGTAGAAGAGAGGTAAATGTGAGAAAAAGATTAATTTGAAGAAGTGGTGTTTATGTGTGTATGTGTGTGAAATAGTAATTTTTGAAATCATAAGAACAATCGCCATTAAGGCATCTACATCGCTGTGTATCAGTTTTCATTTCCTACGTTCCGAGGAGAACATCTGACTTTATGCTTTAAAATTCCAGTGGTGATGGTGTTCGCTCCACACGGTTGGGGTTCTTAGTCTCACACCTAACTTTTCCTCTTTTCTGGGCTTACTATCGACTAGAAAATTAGAAGAGGTTTAGGAGTGCATCGATTGGGAATAGATTTCTAGCCTGGCTGGTGAGCATCCTACTGTTGATCTACTGACGCACACTTTAGGTCTTCAGTGTAGTTTACTGTGAAAGTCTACTGTTTTGTGCACAATTCACACTTCGAAAATTTTTCTCATAGTATCGTTTAGCCTCTATGGAATCGATTAGTTATGATCTCTATCCCACTTAACGTATCATTTTTTGGGTTTAGTGTTTTCATTGATTGGTTAACACCCACATACCGATTAACGTTTTGCAAACTTATCTTCTCATGGTCTATTTAACCTTGAAAATTCCATCTTTTCCACTTTGTTTTGTGAGTTTCTATGATTAACTACACACACCTTATCGTATATTCATCACTTCCTATGACAATATTTTCGATACCTGTTCTGTTTTATTATTACTCCCATGGGTTTCCTAGTAGGGTCTCTGCGCAGCACAATCGACCGGTGGTAGTGCCACCTATTATTTTTGATTTACTTATCTGTTGATGGATGTTTTTTTTTACAGTTTAAGTGGTATTTTTTGTTCACTTACAATTTTTATATCTTTTATTGTTACTCTTATCTAGTTCCCTGTGAACAGTTTGAATACTTCTCTGCTAATGACATTTTTATCGCCTACTATTGATCGTGCCTTTCAATTTTCTTCATGGATTCATCCACTACCTGAAGACTATTCTATATCATTGACATCAGATTCCTGTCCGATGGTAAAAGACAGACAGTCTTCTGTGAACAATTGGATGAATGGTGAATTGGTGAAAGTTTTACTTAAATCGTGGAAAAATCATTTTCAACTTGTCACTGATAGTGATGAACACTATCAAAGGAATGTTTCAGTACAGCGTCACAGTGTCCTTTATGTACTTCCGTTGGATCGTTTCCTTAGAGTAAGATTGTTAACATTTAATTTTTATTTTTATCCAAAAATGTAACTTTGGTGTGTTTAACTATGCTTGTGAGTGACGTGTCTCTCTTGTATTGGGTCTCTCCTAAAGGCAAGCATTGTTTCACACTTTAGGATTGGTCGAGATGTGTAAAACACTTTGGATTTACTAGAATACAATGAACATAATTATCGAATCCCATTATAGTTTAGGTGGAACATGAATCCGCCATTTTACTTCCCAAGAAATCAGATAAACGGGGAACAAAGACTACATTTCTCAGTATTGACTGACTGTTTTGTTATTTCGCCAAAAATAACCGTATATTAGTTGGTTGGCAAATTAGTTTATATTAAGTAATCTGTGAGTAGTGTGATAGTTGTTTGAACTCAGTCTTCTGGAGCAGATATTTTCTGAGCCAGACTGATAGCTGCATTTGTCGTGTTAAGGCTGATGATAATACCTAAGCTGTATTAAGTTGAGAGGGACTCGAACCCATGGCCTATGGGCTTCAAACTGATTGATTAAGCCAATGAACTGTTTTACAATAGCTCACGATGATGTGTTGCCGAATAAAATAAATACGCTTGGAAACAGTCCATATTACTTATAAAATCAATGATCTCAGGCAATTATGATGTTATTAGTAACACCTAAGTTCACACTCTAGACAGTAGTATGTTTTTCATTGAATACTATCGGGACATATTTGTTCTCAACTTAAAATGCCTTTGTAGCTTACCAACAAGGCTATTCAGTTGGCGATTCAGTTAAAAACGCATAAATAACCTATAATCTTAGAACTGCTAACTGAAAATATCTCGTAAAAACTCATATAAGAATAGAATTGATGTCGGTAAAATAGCATCACAATAAAATATCCACAACAACGCTGAACTCACGCAGTTATTCACACAACCAGTGGAAAATAAAATTATTCAAGATTCTTTTCTTTCTGTATAATACCATTACTAATGTCTTGAGATGTCTTCAATCAGAAGACGGTTCAAAGACAGATGCTACTGTTAATCCTTGAGAGAAACATTATCAGGCAGAATAATGCTTCATAATCAAAAGTGATTTTTTACTTTTCTGAAGAATTATGCCATGTTTATCAAAAGAAAAGAGGTGTTAAGAGGCACAATTATTTTGAAAAAATTTATTGCTGAATTGCTCAGGTTATTCTAAGCGTAAAGTGTTTGCATTATCAGAAAATTACAGCAGAAATTACTTTGACCGGTGGTGTAACAGTAGGTTATTTGTCTTATACCTTCACGTCCCAACTGGAACATAGGGCTTCAAGCTTGAAACTTTGGTAGCAGTAGTTTTATTTTTACATGATGGGTTTGTTAGCCTCACGCCCAACCTTCCATATTTACCGGCCCTCCTACCAGCCCTACGAGGTTTAGGAGTGCGTCGATCGGGGATCGAACCCGAGACTACGTGAGGCGTGGTTGGTGAGCGTCCCACCACTGAACCATCGATGCCTTACAGTAGGTTATGAATACTCTGTATTTTCTTTAGATCATTCGCTACTTAGCTTAGTTTGATTACAGGGTAGAGAAGCAGTGAGAAACTAGGGGGTGATAGGTAGCTGTTTCTTTTTTTATTTATGGCTTCCTAAATATACTCGTTCGTGACTAGCATATAGATGCGTAATCTGAAGTCCTAGTAGAGGAGGGGAGGAGTTTTTGCCTATATAGGGTCCACCATATTGGATATGAAGATCGTCATTGGTTGACAGTGATATTATTTTATGAGCTGACAGAAATCCAAATTCACGGCCTATTACATTGCAACCCAATTATTGGCAATGATAAACGCCAGTTATATTTCGTTTCTCAGTCTCAGTTTTCTATGAAGCTTGATCTATTCTGTCAGTGTTTAAAATAAAGCTGTTACTAGAACTGTAAGTTATGGCTTGTTCACTTAGTCAGTTAATGCTATTTAAATCTTTTTTATAAATAATAACAAACTATCTACTTAGTGTATTTATTTTTGCCTCCATTGATTCTAAGTGATTTCAAGCTTGATCGTGAACTGACTTCATTTAAAGAACTATGAAACCTGGGCTTACTGGACGGCTGATTCTAGTTTGGGATTCTTCAGCAGTATCCACTAGGTTTTCATTTGTTTAGGTAGCATTCCAAAAACCTACCTATTTTTCAAGTATTGGTTCTGTAGGGAATTTGTTTGATTGATTGGAGGATCTCATGTTGAGCTGACATCAGTTCGAGAATGTTATGTACTGCTGCGAGTGGTCTATAGTAGTTTTCCCCGTCGCCAATTATGTTATGTACTCGTCGAGTAGATAATAGTCCTGACGCGGATAGAGGGAAATCAGAAGACCACCAGGTTTACGATGATACTTGTATTTTCCAGACAAGGAAAATAAATGTAACACAAGTGTGTGAGTGAAAGGGTACTTAGATGTACGAAAAAGTGTGTGAACAAGAAAGTGAACAAGTGTCTAATACAAAAGTATATATGGAAATGGCTAATACACATGAACCAATAATTAGCCAGTCTTAACATGATTGATTATAATGTCATGTGACAACAAGGTCATACATGCTTATTTAGTTAGTGGACAGACAGAAGCATAATGGCAATTATAATGGAATATCGATCCATATACACATGGCAAAATATAACAGACTGTCAAAAACAAAACACACATCATGTGGATGCATATCAGAGAACCATGGGAAAAGTAGCTGGGAGTACTGGACAGCTGTTTCGTCAGTCTAGTTTGGGACTCGTCAGCAGCCAGGGTTCGAATCCAGGACCTTCTGCTTGCAAAGCGAGCTCGTGGGTCAATAAGCCACTGGAACCCGATCCAATGATCCTTGAATTCTAACTTCTGCCAATTCACGACCACTTCGCAATGCCTTCATCGATGAGTTACTGCCTCACCTTCAATTTGCTGTACCCTACTGGTCATGCCCTCCCACTAGAACCCAGGTGACTACCTACCTGAATAGGGCCAGTCACTAGTAGGTATCAGAACAATTTTTCAAGTATGAGTACTTACCCTTTTTGGTGTAAGCTGTGGGATAATCACTATCAATAACTCGCAACTGAGAAAAAAATCACCGTAAGCAAAGTGTCCGTCTGTTTGATTATAAGATGTAAATGTGGTTTATTTCATTATTCTTTAATTTCTATTTTCTTAAATCTACAATTTTGTAATAAATGCGTCATCCAATTCTATTATTTATTGTATAGTTATTGCGTCAATTGGTTGATGGATGTCTACAAGATCCGGCTACATCGAAAACTAATGTCGCTGAAGATGTAAAGGATGATTTAGATTCAAAAGAATTATCTGAAGATATGTTTTCGAATGATTCATCAATGGATAATGAATTAGTATTGCGTAAATCAATTGTACACAGTAGTACAGAGCTAATGATGTTAATCACAAACTTATTTGTACATTATGTACATACATTAGAAGATGATAATTTAATTGGTAGACTATCAGCTCCAGTGGTTTCTACTCTATTAAATGGTTTAGTATCTGAATCAGATCTAGCAAGAGAGATTTCAGCACGTGTAAGTGATGTATTTCCATATTTAATATTTTACTGCATTCAAAACTAGACAATGTTTCAATAGGTATTCTTTAGTAATTATTCAATGTAATTAAATACAGCCATTAAATAAAAAAGGGTCAACTAACGCTTGAATAAATGAATGAGAGTTTCTTATCGGTTAATTTTTCTCCATGTTTGTGATATAATAACCATGCTAAGCATTTAGATCATTTGTTTATGCACTGGATCATGGATTTAACTGTTCTATTTATTAGTAGACATATATGTAGTGAACTTATCCAATGTAGTTAATGTGATACTTTTATTTAGTACAGTACTATGTCCATATTGATGGCTTATCTATTCTACTCATAAAATACTAGTGTTGTATGCACATATGCGAGTTAGCTATAAAATATGCTAATTCACAATGGAAATGCGGATATTGATCATCCTGTTGAAATAAAGGATATTTCATTTTCCATCATTGATTAATTGGTTGTGTGAGGGTTGAGATACTGTCCGGGCGCCCAGACCAAGGCAGGTGGTTGTATTGAAGGAACACTTCCCGAGGCTTTGACTTGCAGTCTAATCTGCAACGCAGCGGGGCAGCGTCAGGAGCCACGGTTGCTGTGGTGACCAGTACAGGTTCATACGCCACTTGATCTGGTTGGATTCTGGAGTCCATGTACGCCATGGTAATTGCTTTTAGGACTAACCGCTATCCAAACAACATTCCTGATATGGTAAAACCTGCAGGAACATGAGTCCCTGCCAGTGTAGCTTGTTGGGTCACTGAGGTATCCAAGCCCGACCACCACGACAAGGTGGCAGTTGTTGGCGGGAATGATCCATCATTGGTGATACTTTATTTCAGTAATTTTCGATAACTGTTATTTTGTGTTCAAAGTAGTTGAATTTGTGGCAGCACTTTTACGATGTTTATTTACCTTGACTTGAACTATCCAATGTTTGCTGAATTGTGAAGTATTAAGTTTTGCAGGCTTATGCAATAAATGCCCCCAATCGGTAAAAGTAACTCTCAGCTTTTCGTTATAGTGTTTCTGTTAGCTTTTTCAGGCCACCTATTTGTCTGAAATTTCCACTGAGCATCCTTGAGGGGTATAAAATAACTTGGATTTTCAACTAAAAGTTGAACTCAAATATAGAATTATGCGACTGTTTCCTGACTAGTCCACTATATCCATTATGGATAGCATTCAATAGTATTGTTGCTCACTTTGCTACAAAACTAACTATGCTAAAATTTGCTTTTAGTTAGGCTTTTGGTCTTAGGGGCTAAACTAAACTGTTCAAATACATTGAATTATGAGTGAACGGTGACTCTAAACAATAATGCAGCCCAAAATGAAACTACCTAATAAGTGGATTGATGACCCTGACGAATTTCTGTACACAAATTGGCTTAACTTGACTATGAGGACCCATGTGAGAATTTGGGAGGCTTTTTTGGAACATATACAAGAATATTATTCTATTAGCCATGTTTTAACGTCGGATTACTTGTGTATCGACGTTTATTTCAAAACACGCACCTCTACTTCTGACCCATCTGATTGGTCAATATAGATAGTTTTTTTTGGGCTGCTATAGTTTATTATTATTATTATTTCTTTTAATTCCTAGAGGGACATAGGGCTTCAGCTGCGCGTCTCCATTGCGTTCGGTTCTCTGCTAAGGTTTTCACCTAGCTCTAATTCTACCCACATGCTTTAATCTCCTTTTCACGGGACCTCTTACAAGTCACCCTTGGACGATCAACTCGCCGCTTCCTTTTCGGGTTCCACTCGAGCGATGGCTTGTCTAGTGATGTCACCCACTTGATGGTTTGTTTCCTCAGAGTATGGCCAGCCAATCCACCTAAGTCCATTTCTTCCTGCCTATTTGTTGCACAACCTGTTCCTGCTGGGTTGATTCTCTCCCAGAGATCCCTGTTGCTGATCTTTTCTGGCCGGCCATCTGATCTTGAGTATTGAGCGAAGGCAACTAAATTTTAATAGTCACCAGTGAACTAGAATTCGAGTACATATTCATTCTAGTGTATTTGTACGTAGTCTCGTTGCATGCCTTATACCTATCATCAATCCATAATCATACATTTTCGAATGATTCAGTGCCGTTATGGATTGCACCGTCAGTTTTAGTGTAGACTCGTCTTTTGTGTCTAACTTGTTGCAATGTACTAGTTGAATGGCAACGATAATTAATATTTTAAAAACACTTATGCTTGTATGCATACATGCTTAACAGTAATCCGTGCATACTTTCGTCGTAGGCTCAGATTCATCAATATTCTTTTTATTTCAAATATACCTTTTTTTAGTGCTTGTTTAAACTGGTTGAACAGATGCCTCGTGTAATTGAATTCATCAAGTTACAAGAGGAATTAGCTTGTAAGAATGAATCAAAACATTTACAAAATGTTACAGAACCTTCTTCAGATGTGGCAACATCAAATGGTGATAAAAATGCTACAGAATCTACGCCTGCCGATGAAACGAATTGTGATGAAGAGGATGCTGGTAATGCGCCTACTACTACTGATAAATCTGGTGATTCTGGTAAACCAAGAAAAAAGTTAAATAAAAATCAGAGACGTAAACAAAAACTTGTTCAATCATTTGCAGCTGCAGCTGAAAAAAATCAAATCACTGAACAGATGTATACCAAGCCGTTTACTTCTCCAGCTGATTGGCCAAAATTATCAATTTGGTGTCTTGCACAAGTCCGGATTTGGATTATTCGTAGTGATAGTTCAACGCCTATTGCTCACTTAGCTGAACAGTGAGTTTTGTATGATTTCTTCTTATTTTTACATACATGTGTGTAAACGGAAATCCAATTAGTTTTGCTGTAAGCATAATTATCTTAAATCTGTCTGTTATCATCGATGATATTCCTAATTGCGGTGGACTGGATTATGCACCATATCGTGGGTTGGGAAGAAGAAGAAGAGAGTAATACGTTGGATCTGGATTTCGCAGATGATTTATGTCTAGTGTCACACAAATCCGAAGACTTACAGACGAAAACCGACAAACTGGCGAAAGAAGCAACAGCAAAGACATGGCTTCAACCGAGCATAGAGAAGATGCAGGTGATGAAAATAACCGACCAACCCCAGCAAGCACCAATCCCTATCAGCAGTAGAAATTCGATAGAGGTCACTTCGTCCATTACCAGTCACCTATAAGTGCAAATGGCTCTGTGGTGTAACACATTTTGGTTGTATCCCTTTTTCAGAAAATCTTTCTACGAGATACTAGTAGTAAAGTTCGTGGTCTTTAGTACTTTTATATGGGTGGTTTCATGCACAGTAAATGCATGTAGAGAAACATATTAAATTTTTCAATGTAATCCCCTTTTATCGCTGTGCTTAATTATACGTTTCATAGAAATGTGGATGTTTCCTTTAAACTACTCGTATCATTTTAAGTAATACTACTATTTTGTCGCAAATTGAAATGTTCACCCAAATTAAACACCTGACTGATTGTTTTCACTAAAATTTCTTTTGATATTGCGTAGATCAAAATTAGTATTTCTTAGTCAAAAACTAGCCGCAACTTTGTGTTATAATTTATTTCTTTTAGAATATGGCACTTGCTTCACCTAGATGAAAAGTGTGAAAATTTACAATCAAATACAAATAATGGATTGAAGGCATTATTGGAAAAGCCAAATGATCCAGGTTTATTTAATCCAATGCTTCTGGCTCAACGTCTACTATTGGAGGCAACTCGTCCAACTGCTACTGTCCAGTCGTCGATAGCTGATGCATTCGCTCTATGCCTTGTTGATCGTAGTGTTGAAGAGATAAGTGTAGCGTTGGATATGTTGATTCGTATGTACCATGTAATGCTACATGTAAGTGTCGTTATGCGGTTTATAGGTTTTATTGTGCTGCATTACTAAACATATGAATATTCCGTTTTATAAAGTGTATAGGTTAGTTTTTGGTTTATCTGTGTTATTTCAGATAGCACAAACACAATTGAGTTCGTTTGTGCACTGTATCGTTCGCTTGACGTTTCAATTTCAATTGGTCACTTTTTGTATTTGTTTCGCTTTACTAATGCTTTGAATTGTAGTACCAAACTAAGTGCGAAACGTTAGTGAATAGATTTAAACAAGAAATATAGTAGGCCAATGTTTCTCTCACAAAGTTAAATAGTTATTTAATTTGTGGATTGTGACTTGCAGTGGAATCCAGGATGAGCATTTCGTCCTATTAGGACTCGTCACATGGATGTACCTGTATTTCCCAGTGAGTAATCATGTTCTCACTGAGGCTCGAACACAGTGACCATAGTTCCAAACGGAACATCACTCTCTGGGAAATGCGGGTTCATCCAGATGACGAGTCCCAAATAGGATGAAATGCGCATCCTAGATTCCACTGCCAGTCACCATCCACAAATTAGATTCTAATTAAATGCCCAGACATCGTTGAAGCATCTGCACAAGAAGCTGACATGTCAACCTGAGACCGAGCACTTCGGTCCAATCAATCGACGGGAAAATCGCAAATTCAATTAAATTAAATAGTTATTGCATTTGTAACAATGCCAGGATCTCTAGACCTTTATACTTTGAAATCCCTATGCATCAACTTCGGTTGCCTTGAAATACTCAATGGGAATCACCTACAGTGTATAAAATAATTAGCCTAGTAATAAAAGCATCGTACCATATGTCAGATTTATGTATTGTGGTTCTGAATCGCCTCTCATCCTACATTCATTCAATTTTCCAAGTATTTATTAGGAGAATTGTTTATTAGCAAATTGCTATAAAGATATGACGGAATGCATACACCTTGCATTAAAGTCACTATTTACGCGTGTTCTTCTCACTGTGTTTCTGTTCTCTTCAATTCGTGTTTTCTGTGTTGGTTCAGAAGAATCTTTCATTTATCCTCTTTCCGGCTATTCTGTATTCTTGCCGAAAACATTACATACACAACGTAGTACGTAGAAAACTTTTTCAGAAGCACTCACCACATTATTATTATTATTATTCCTATGGGTCCCGAGTGAAGAATAGTGTTTCAATAAGACATCTTCATTTGATCCCACTCAGGAGCCTAACGCTAGATTTCGCTCAATGGTATCCATCTTCATTTTCTCCAGCAGTAGATTGTTGGTTGGTTCGTTCTCGGAGTTCCTTGTTTCCGTAATCCTTCCTAACCGGCCGTGTCATCTTCATTGAGTAGCAAAGACAGTTTTTGGTAGAAATATCTTCATTAGTCACATTATTACTCAGTAATTCATTCAGTTGTTCTGTATTTTGCTATCAACGTCACAAGATTGTTAGTGTGGATAAACACCAAACAACTTTTGGTGTTTTATTCGACGTTATAACTTTGTAAAAGGATAAAGTTTGGCATTTTCATGAGAATAATATCTTATGTATACTGTAGATAGTATGCATTAGTCCGTTACTTAAGAGGGTATTGAGTGTTTTTTATAGCCAACCTATTCATTCGCAAAAAAATAAATAGGTTGGTTGTGCTTTGGTGACACGGCGGTAGAATCCCCGCCAGCCATACAGGTCTACTGCCGACCGGCGTACTCCTTTACCTCGCTAAACCAGTAATAGAACTGGTAAAGAGGGGAGGTTCGGCGTTTGGCTAGCAACCTCTTAATCTCGTAAGAATAAGCACCACTATTATCGAGACTTCAAAGTTCTAGCTTGAAGTGTTTGTTTTGTGATGTGAACTGTTGTACTTCTGTGCAAATTTTATGTGTTAACAATCAATCAGTTAGTCGGTCACTAGTTTGAAAATTAATAAAAAGAAAGATATTTCTTAAGTACGTGTTGTTTTATTGTTTTGTCTTGCTCAATCTGTGGTTGTTTTTCTATTTCTTGTTCAAAGTTGTTGTTTATCACATGACTTAACATAGGCGTTACTATTATTATTATATTTTTATTGTCTGTTATCAAATCAGTTATCCAAATGATGACAATGTGCTGAGCAAATATTTGTTTACTGTCTTCTGTTGTTTACACCCTTTCATAGTATTATTGTTCTCACTACTGTTACTAATGTTTATCATTATGATTATTATTTCTTTTTTGATGTGATAGCGTGATCCTGCTGTCCAGGATAACATGGGTCGTATATTATGCCCAGAATCACCAGACAAATGGCGTGAACGTGTCGGTTTAGCTATGATTTTGACACGATTATCTGATGCACCTGCCTCGTCAACATTACAATCTCTGTCCACTACGAATAGATTGTTTAGACGAAGTTTGCTTAATGCTATAAATGAAGAAAAATGTGAAGAAGACACTGATAATAGCACTAAAAATTCTAACACAGTGACAACAAATGTGCCTAGCAATCTGGATTCAGAGAGTTCTTCATCTGCCGCTGCTGCTGCTACTACTACTACTACTACGTCGACTGTAGCCAATGATTCTTCAAATCAAACCCCAGTATGGTTATTGAATCTATTTCGTTTTCTTGTCAGTGATGGATTGAATGATCGTAATGCTGTAGTACAAGCGGAGATGCTTCAAGCTGGTCTACGTGCAGTTCATAATTTTGGAAAGGTGTGATGGTTTGTTTTTTCTCTCTTGGATTTTAGTCACTATCTCACATTAACCATCTGTCATACACTTTTAAGGAAAGCCTCACTGGAATTAGGAAATAATTGTATTCTAAATGAGTCACTTCTAGGATGAATTTTTATTAAACTCCTCCTACTTAAGCAATAATAATAGTTATATAAATACAATTTCGTGGGATTTTGCTTCACTGTCATCCTGCTGAAGCAAACGTTTGTTTCATTGTTTATATAGTCAGTTTGTTAGGATATTTAATAGTAGGTGCGTAGGAGGGTGGAGGAGCAACAATCTACTGTGATTGGCAATGTCATCCTTTGAGAGCAACAGAGCACTCTATAATGATCGTGCAAGGGATGAAGCTTTAGATCATCATCAGTTTGCGAAAAAAATCTCATACTTCAACAATTTTACCTTGAAATTACACGATTCCTTGCTAATCTAATATCGTATTTTATTTTACACCCTCACAAAAAAAACTTGGAAGATCTGGACTTCGTCGATGATATATGTCTAATTTCCCACAAACTGGAAGATATGCAAGTGAAAAGCAACAAGCTGGCAGAAGAAGCATCAAAGATAGAAAGGAGTTCAGGTGAACATGGAGAAAACAGGAGTGATGAAGATCCTTGGGCAACACCAACAACAGATAACAATAAGCATAAGTGTGAGGAACCTGAAAGAAACAACCTCCTTCACCTACCTGGGAAGCATCGTTTCAACTAAAGGCCAACGGAACTGACGAGGATATCAAAGAGAGAATCAGGAAAGCAGGACAAGCTTTCATTACTCTCAAGTCTGTGAGGAGGTCAACAGCACTCAGAATCAAAAATAAGATCCGAATCTTCAGCTCCAATGTGAAGTCAATGCTACTACACGGATGTGAAACTTGGAGCGTCATAAAGAGCACCTCAAACAAACCACAGACCTTCATCAACAGCTGTCTTCGCTCAATACTAAAGATGAATTGGCCATATAGGATCAGCAATAGGGACCTCTGGAAGCGAACCAATCGGGAACCGATTGTGAAACAAATAGGCAGGAAGAAATGGAGATGGATTGGCCATACGCTGAGGAAACCATCAAGTGACATCACTAGACAAGCCATCGCTCGAGTGGAACCCGAAAGGGAAGCGGCGAGTTGGTCGTCAGTGTGAGTGTGTCTTCGAGGAGGTTATATGAGGAGGAGATGAAAGCATATGGGCAGACTTGGAGCCAGGTGAGAACTCTAGCAGAGAACCGAACGCAATGAAGACGCGCGGCTGAAGCCCTATGTTCCTCTATGAATTAAAGTAAATAATAATTTTATTTACTAACAAGGTTCTCGCAAACACACTAATCGTTAGGTTCAGACTCTACTACTCATTATTTGATAGCTATAAGTTATCGAAGATGTTAAATATGCTAAAATTAATTTGATACCAAGATTGATATCATGAATTGACTTCAGTTAGACAACCATTGAAATTCAGGGAGTACTGGAGAGCTGTTTTGTCCCTATTTGTGACCCTCCAGCGCCCATGACCCCATCAGCAATTGAATCCAGGGGTTTCAGGTGATAAGAGAGACTCGTTGACCATTTCATCCTGTTATTTGATTGTTCACTAACTGCAGTTAGGTCGTGATCACTTTTAAAATGGTCACACTGTGTCGTGAATTGGCAAAAGTTAGAATTCAAGGACCATTGGATCGGGTACCAGTGGCTCAATGGTCTACGAGCTCGTTTGTCTTGTAACCAAAAGGTCGTGGGTTCGAACCTCCCGTGGTGGGTGCATACTTCTAAAGAGTCCTGAACTAGGCTGACGAAACAGCTATCCAATACTCTCAGGTGATTTTCCAATGGTTCTCAAACTGATATCGGCTCATGATGAAATCCTCCAGCCAATCAAACAAAATCCCTTCAAAACGAATACTTGAAAAATCCTATCAAGGCAAAACTTCATAGTTTGATAATCATAGATTCCTGGTTTTTTTTTAGTAAGAGTCAGTTGTAAAATCTTCTGCATAGTTTGAGTGATAAGTTATTGAAAATCCATATCAGTTTATCAATCTATTTCAAACTCCGTTTTCATGCCGTTTACTTTTTCTTTTGGAAATTGTTTTCTAATTAACGAGATCCAGTTACTTTGAGTGTAGTTGGTCTGAGAAATTTGAGTTGTTGTTTTTTTTGTTACTATTATTATTATTATTCTCGAATGTTTTCTGTTACAGCCGTTCATTGGACAAATTTTGCCTATACTGGAGAATTTTGTAAATAAAGCGCCTAAAGTCGCTGAATTGGATGCTGTACGTCAATCAATTCTAATCTTAACTGGTTCCCTATCTCAACATCTTGATGCTAGTGATCCTAGAGTTGGAACAATTTTCAATCGTTTATTAAATACACTGAGTTTTCCATCTGATTTAGTAAGTTATAAATCTTGTTTTTATTATCACATGTGGGTTTAGAATTAACTTTAATCCAAGGGGAGTGTTTATTGCATTTAAACGTATATGTAAATAAAATCGGAACAGAATTTGTGTCTATTTTGTCTATTTCAGTATTTTTGGTTCCCTTCATTACCGTTCCTATTAATTGTGTGTTGATCACCACAAGAAGGAAGGACTACAAAATTATATCTAAAAACTAAGTAACTTCAGTACAAAATTTGTATTTTCCTTGAAAACGCGTCACTGGCACAGCGGTGGAATGCTCTCCAGCCACGCTTCATGTGGTTCGGGGTTTGGTCGCCGACCACAGACGCACTCCTTTACCTTGCTAAGCCAGTAATAAGACTGGTAAAGAGGGAAGGTTGTGCATGAGTCTAGCAACCCCCGTCCCTTAAAAAAAGCATCATTGCTGGCGAAACTTTAAGCTTCTAGCTTGAAACCCAAAGTCCCACTGGGGACGTAAAGGAATAAAATAAAATGATAAACTTTTCTCGAATCCCATGGTTTTAGTAATTCACCCTAGATATTTGTGCAGCATTTTTACTATATTGACAATTAAGTGCTAATGAGTTTGTATGGTAGCGACTATTACAGCATAACTTGGCGTAGTTTGATAGTTTACTGGTTGGTCCTATGACTAGCAATCCTTCCCCGAAAATCAGTCCAACAGCTACAGAGATGTGAATGCGCAGAAAAAGTACACAAAATAAACTTATTTTTCCTTGGAATCAAGTAAGTGAAATATTGCCGGATAGTCATCCCCTTTAGTAAGTCAAACAGCCGGTGTATCTTCTTCCAGTGAAATTATTACTAGGCATAGGGACATGGGTTAAGCGTTGGTATCATAGCGGTTAGAACACTCGCCGACCATACACATGGTCCGGGGTTCGATCCCCGGCCACAGACGCACTCCTTTACCTCTCTAAGAGAGAAAGAATGCTGGTAAAGAAGAAAGGTTGGGCATGAGGCTAGCAACCTCATCCTGCAAAATAAACACTGCTACAGAAACTTCAAGCCTCTAACTTGAAGCCCTATGTTCCACTGGGGAACTTGAAGGAAAAAATGGGGACATGGGGAATGTCCGTGCAGTGTTCGAAGCTGGGAAGGTTCTTTATATTGCAAACAAAATAATAAGATATGGTATAAATGTGCAAGGAATCCAAACAGTAAACTGGAGAGTCACTATTCTATGCAGGCCACGCAGACGTCAACCACGAGCACACTTAGGGATTGGCTTCCGTGATGTCTCTGAAGATTCTTATTCAGTGAAAACCAATCCGCTTCAGGATAATGACAACAAAATTTAGTTGACATGAAGGAGATTGTGTGCGTTGGGGGTGGCGGGGGGGACGAAAGCTTGTGGGTAATCGTGGAGTCATCTAAAATACCTGCAGAAAACTGAGTGAAGTGGCCATGTGATACTGAAGGCCACTAGGAACTCAAGGAAATAATGACAGCAGCACCACAAAAGCACTTCAAGATTGATGTTCTTTTATATTCATGGTAGAAATGGATAGATGAAGTACGTGTGTTTCAGTATTATAAGGAAACTTCAGCTCTGTAGTACAGTGAGTATTTCAGCTAATAATTGATAAAGTTAAAACAAATAGTGTAATTAGTGTGTAGTTGTGTTCTCTCATTTGGATGATGTAACTTCGAAGTACCTATTATTGTAATGTATAATTGTAATGTTTTTTCTAAAAATTAACTTTCAGGTTCAACAAGCTGTTGAAGATTGTTTAGCTTCACTTATCGGCAAGTTATCAGAAGAGCAGACAACAAAAACGATTACTAAACTAATGACTACACTTTTAAGCAGTAATAATTATGCTGAACGTCATGGTGCAGCGCATGGAATCGCTGGAATCGCTAGAGGATTAGGCATTATGTCATTGAAACACCATGGAATTATTGATAAGCTTATGCCAGCTTTAGATGATACTAAGGTAGCTAAACGTCGTGAAGGTATGTTGTATTACACTTCTACGTATGTGTATATGTTCACTTTTCTTTATTGTCAAATTGTTTGTGAAACTTTTGTAGTTTGTTTTTAATATTTTGATGATGATATATACTATGGGAAAAAAATTTTCACTTTGGTGAAATGTTCTAACCAGTTTCTATTTCCTAATGGTATACTAGTTGGCGTGGGGTGGATTTGCGTTGTGATGAGGATCTGTCCCTCTGTGGTCGATAGTGAGTGTGCTGGGAAACGATGTCATTAGGTGTGTGTACCAAAGGATAACCTTGCATTGGTGACCGTGAAGCTATGACTCACTGCTCTAGGCGCTCGAATTTCAACCAATCGGTCAGCGATTTGGATCCCGTTCCACGTATTGACTTTTTGCTAATAAGGTAACCCTCACACAATCGGTGGAACAGTGGTTAGGAGTCTCGCCGATCATGTACATGATACGGGGTTCGATCCCCTGCCGACGCACACCTGATATCTGTGGTCGGCCTGCAAAATTTAGACTACCCATATCGCATGCTGAAAATTCCATACGGTGTGGAATCAAGCTGTATTAAATCGAGTATACGAACTGCTGAGCTAACATGGGCTGACATCATTTAGAGAACCATCGGAAAACCAACTGGGAGTATTGGACAGCTGTTTCGTCAGCCTAGTTCAGGACTCTTTAGAAGTATGCACCCACCACGGGAGGTTCGAACCCACGACCTTTTGGTTACAAGACAAGCGAGCTCGTAGACCATTTAGCCACTGGATCTTGATCCAATGACTGACTAGCCCATGAATTCCAACTTCTGCCAATTCACGATATAGCGCGAACACTTCGCAATGTCTTCTTCGATGAGTTAATGCCTCATCTTCAACCTGCTGTACCCTACTGGTCACAGGTTCCCACTAGAATCCAAGTGATTACCTACCTGAATAGGGCCAGTCGCCAGTAAGCATCTCATCGATATTCAAGTATTGATTTGTAGGGATTCGAGTGATTTGGTTACAAATCAAATACTTGGAAAGAAATGAGTTTAGGTATTCTTTTTAATGTGTAAAAACAAATTCTTTTTCTTTATTTTTTTGCCATTTTTACCTATTTATAATGTTCTGTTCTAATTTTTATTTTCCGTGGTGTTTTCCTCGTTTTCTTTTTTAATTTCCATTATATAAACCACATTGTGTGTTTATGATGACGTATGTTTATGTTTGACGTATTAGTGTACGGTGTGACGATTAGTTTTTTCTTTTTCTGCTTTTTTATGTGATGACGAATACTTCTTTGCGTAACTTAAGTGTAAGAAAGGCTATTTCAGGCTTTCTATTTTCATCAGTGAACAAAGTAATCAAGCGGACATAACCCGAGTGTGTTTAGGAAAAGTTACATTTGGTGTTACCCTCAGTGGACAGACGAGCTGTCTGTTGACATATTTTATTCTTCTACCACCAATCTACATATTGCTCATCAGAATTTTTAAAATCTCTACAACTGAAATATATTTTTAAGTTTCTTTTTATATTATTTTTTATTCCTTTACGTTCCTTGTGGAACTTGGGACTTCAAGCTAGAGGTGTGAAGTTTCTGCAGCAGTGGCGATTATTATTATTACAGGATAGGATTGCTTGCTAGTCTGATGCCCAACCTTCCTTCTTTAACAGTCTTTTAGTACTGGCTTAGCGAGGTAAAGTGGTGAGTCTGTGGCCGGGGATTGAACCCCGAACCACATAAGGCGTGGTTAGAGAACAGCCTACCACCGTGCAACCGATGCACAATTTTTAAGTCAGCATGCTTTATTCATCACTTCTGATTGTTGTAAATACTATTCCTTAGAGAATGGCAAGTAATTACATTGTCAGCCAATACCTTATATTCAAGTAGTGCTACTCACATTCAAAGGTGATGATTATGGTAGGTTCTTTTTATTTTAAAAATTTATAGATATCGATATGTGGATATGTGCGTCGGTGGTGGCACACCCGTTAGGACTCTCACCGATCATGCACATGGTCCGGAGTTCAATCCTCTGCCGATGCACACCTGATATCTATGGTCGGCCTGTAAAATTTGGGCTACCGATATCCCATGCTGAAAATTCCCTACCTGTATAAAAAATACGGTGTGGAATCAAGCTGTAATAAAATATATATATATATATATATATATTATGGAATTTTTTTTTCTTCTACTCAAATTCTCTCTCTATAGGTGCCTTGATGGCAGTTGAACGACTTTCACTGGGAATGGGACGTCTTTTTGAACCATATGTTGTTCGTTTAATTACCCCATTATTGAATACATTCGGTGATTCAAATCCTGGTGTCAGAGAGGTAAGCTGTGTTATTGTGTCACTTTTCTTAGCTGTTTTTTTATTATATAATTTAGATTATAAATTCATCATAATAGTAAAGTGTTATTTTTTTTTCCAATCCGTGTATATTGTGGTCGTATTTAGTATATAGAAAAAGGCGTAAGTGTTAAAGTAGTCAACTGTGGAAAAAAACCAACAGTTGAACAGCCAAACAGTAAATTTGCACTGACAGTGAATGAAATGTTGCTGCTAGGCCTAGGTCATTGAAGTATATGAGGTTAAATGTACCTGAATACTACCTTAATCGCCCAACGGGCTGATCTCTGATGAAATCTCAGCATGAATACAGGGGGCTCGTTTCGCATTTGCCAGTTTACGCCGACTCTGGCGTAGACGAGATGTTTGACTATCGACCAAAGGGCGGGTGTACTGCTCATCAGTCCGCTCCGTCCTCCTTTATGGTTGTGAGACCTGGCCACTGAGAGTGGAAGACTTGATAAGATTAACTGTCTTTGATCATAGGTGCCTGCGTTCTATTTCCCGTGTTAAGTGGTATAATAAGGTGAGCAACACTGAAGTTAGGCGTCGAGTTCTAGTTAAACAGGGGATATCAATCGACGAAGTCGTGAAGCTACAAAGACTGAGATGGTTAGGACATGTGTTACGTATGCCAAGCCATCGCCTCCCTCGACGAGCAATGTTAGCGGATATAGGGTCGGGCTGGAAAAAAGCTAGTGGCAGTCAAACAAAAACTTGGCACCAGTCAATGAAATCCACAACAGTTGGTCTAAGCCACGTAGGAAGGTGTAGACTTCCAGGCTGGGTCCTCGGACGGTAAAACTCTATGGTTGGAAACAATTGGTGACATGGCTCAAAATCGTTCTCAGTGGCGCAGATGCATCACTCCTTGTGACTTCCAATGAAACTGTTATGTTTTTCTTTATTACTCCTTTGTCTCACACCTCTGCTCACTGTTTCTATTATGCTTTTCTTGTACTTTCTTCTCTTGCTTTGTGGCTACAGGAGTGTGGCGACTTGAACTTCCGCACATTTGTGCAAAGTTCTATGTCGAAAACAGACAGCACTTTCGGTCATAACTAGTAAGTGTTCTTGAGTAACCCAGGATTGCAAGATTTAAATGTATGCCTTGAAAATAGTTTCAATGCATTTTTTGACGTCCAACTCTCCACTGTCTTGTGGGTATGATTTCGTCTTTTTTTTAGTGATCTGCATTATTGTAACACACTTCCCATACCAAAATCAAAAATCAAAATCCAAGTTTACTAGATATCAGATAATAGAGATTTCATTTTTAGTTTGGATGATACTATTACAGAGAATTCTGTAAAACTTGTGAAAGAAAAGCATATGAAACTGTTGAAAATATTACGTTCTTAGAAATTCTATTTCTGTGTATGTATGTGTGTGTGTGTGTAGGCATTCTACTTCGAAAGCATACCCTTAGAAGTAAATGCTTACGGGTGACGTGTATCTCCTTACTTTCATGTTTCACTCTATATCGGTTAGAGGATTTCATCATGAGCTGACATCAGTTAAAGAACCATTGGAATACCAGCTGGGAGTATTGGACAGTTGTTTCGTCAGCGCAGTTTGGGGCTCTTCAGAAGTACGCACCCACTACGGGAGGTTCGAACCCAGGACCATCTGGCTACAAGACCAGCGAGCTCGTAGGTCATTAAGCCACTGAGACCTGATCCAATGGCCAACATATGAATTTTAATTTCCGCCAATTCATGATGCTTACTAGGTACTGGCCGTATTCAGACAGTGACCTGGGGTTCTAATGGGAAGCTGTGACCAGTAGGGTACAGCAGGTTGAAGATGAGGCATTAACTCATCGAAGAAGACATTGCGAAGTGTTCGCGCTATATCGTGAATTGGCAGAAGTTGGAATTCATGGGCTAGTCAGTCATTGGATCAAGATCCAGTGGCTAAATGGTCTACGAGCTCGCTTGTCTTGTAACCAGAAGGTCGTGGGTTCGAGCCTCCCGTGGTGGGTGCATACTTCTAAAGAGTCCTGAACTAGGCTGACGAAACAGCTGTCCAATACTCCCAGTTGGTTTTCCGATGGTTCTCTAAATGATGTTAGCTCATGATGAAATCCTCCAACCAATAAAATGATCCCTATCAAAAAAAGGAAAACGAAAACTTGAAAGTTTGACTCTACAATTTATCGTTTTAATGAAGTGTGGTGTGGAGATTAACGTATTCATCATTTTGGTTTTCTGTTACAGGCTGCATCTAATGCTGCACGAGCTGTTATGAGTAAACTCAGTGCACATGGTGTGAAACTGATACTACCAGCTCTACTTAAAGCTATTGATGATCAGCAGTCTTGGCGTACAAAAGCAGGTTAGTCATTATACTTATTGACCTTTATATGCAATTTCTTTCAACTTTTAAATAACTCTCTTCAATGCTACATCTAGTGTTGATGAGTCGTATGAATATTACATTTTTAATGCCACCTGTTAACAATCTGATGGTAGTCTTCTAAATTATTTCAAAATGAAACATTGATCGGCCTCTATAGGAGCAGGTTCAAGATGAATTTAAGAGAAGTCAATCATGTGAGGATTAAATCGCAACGCTATGCAGAGTCATCGAAAGGTACATACAGTTGCATCCGAATCTCTACCTCAACTTCATCAACTTTGTAACTGCTTCAATACTGCAAGGTGTCCCAAACTTTGATCAGGTGAACTGGATCACACAGCAGACCATGGAGAGCAAGAAGACGGCAATACGTTGGACTCTAGGAGATTTGGACATTGCGGACGCTTTCAATGTTCAATGTCACACAAACTCAATGATATACATACCATAACCAACAAGTTGGTAGGAGAAACGGCCAAGATGGACGTGATGAAGATATCTAATCAACGACAACAGCCAGTCACCATTAACGGTAGAACTTTGAAGGAAATCACTCTCAAACCTACCTACCTAGGCATTATCTTTTCGACAACAGTCGGCGCTGATGAGGATGTCAAAGAGAGGATCGGGAAGGCAAGACAAACCATTCGTCTGAATTCAGTCTGGATATCTACTGCATTCAGCATAAGGAACAAGATTCATATTTTCTACATTAATATCAATTCAGTACTTCTGTATGATCGAGAGAGACTTGTCGTGCCACCCAGAACATTTCAAACAGGCTTCAAGCTTACATCACCAACTGTCTTCTCTGACTCCATACTGAACATCAGATGACCAGAAAAGATAAGCAAAAAGTAGCCCTGGGAACGAACCAACCTATCGATCAACAAATACACCGAAGGAAATACTGATATGTTGGTCACAGACTTAGGATACTGCTGACTGACATCACACACCAGTCCCTCTAGTGGAGCTTGAATAAGAAACAATAAGCTGGGCTTCCAAGGGTGATGATCCAGAAGAGATGATCTGAACAGGATATGAGGATTTACAGATAATCGTAGAGTCAGCTAAGGAATACTTCAGACAGAAAGAGAGAGCAGGCTGAAAGAGATATTCGCTGTTCCACCTGAACCTATAGGAAAAATAATTGAAAGTAGGTGAAATGATGCGCACTCGTTAAGGTTGTGTAGATATAAGGAATACAATTTGTAGGAAAAATGTCTTCGCCTAAATTCTCAGTGTTTATTTCACTGTCCGAAATAAAACCAGAAACTGTGTTAATTATCTTAAGAAGGTTAGAGTCACATCCGTAATCAGTGTACATTCGATATATTTCTGCATAGAAAAGAAGAAGAAATGTAGAGAAGCTGTTAATCACGAAATCAGTGTTAATAAATATATTGTAAAGATTCCATTTTCATTCAATTATTTATTTTGTTCTTAAGATTTAAATAGCCGTAATATCTAATTTCGTTTATTTTTGTTTTCTCTGTATTATTTTAACCTATACTACTAACAGAGGCGGTTGATTTACTTGGATCAATGACACATTGTGCGCCGAAACAGTTATCTGCATGTCTACCTCAAATAGTGCCGCGTTTATTAGAAGTTTTAGTTGATTCACAAGAACGTGTCAAACAAGCCGGTGTAAGAGCATTGAATAAGATTGGTCAAGTTATTCAAAATCCAGAAGTTCAAGGTATGTTCTCGATAGGAATTAGTTATATATTAATTCATCCTCATATATTATATTATATTTATATCCTAGATTCCTATCTAGTAGGGTGCAGCTGGTCGGGTGTGAGGACAAATACTCGCCGAAGACATTGGCTAGCGGTCGCGCTATGTCGTGAATTGGCAGAAGTTACAATTCAAGGACCATTGGATCGGGTCCCAGTGGCTTAATGGTCTACGAGCTCGCCTTGTAACCGGAAGGTCCTGGGTTCGAATCCCGGTGGGTGCGTACTGCTGAAGAGTCCCAAACTAGGACGAAACAGCTGTCCAGTACTCCCAGGTTTTCCAATGGTTCTCTAACTACTGTCAGCTCATGATGAAATCCTGAAACCAATCAAATCCCTACAAACCAACACTTGAATTCCTATCTTTGCTTTGTCTATGTCTCTACATAATATTGTTTTAAGATGCTTTCATGTATATTTAAATATTCTCATTGTTCCATTATGGGTAAATTTTGTTTTGATAAAGTCTCACAGTGTTGTTATACAGTAATGTTTACTCATGACGTTTCCAGCACAATTTATTGCCACTCATAATCATGTCAAGGTCATCACACGACTTCCTAATTCCATTTATACAGTTCCATTATTTTTCACTTGATTTGATTGGCAGTAGTATTTTCCATATTTCAGGTATAAATGACGAATCATTCCTATTGCACGTGTTGGGTGTAGACTCGATGAACAAGGATTCAGTAATCAACCTCTCTCACTCTCCACCTACATAGATTACTTTTTAGAATTTTAACCCCTCCCATCCTATTATGTGGTTGTGTGTTAATGCATGCATTGCAATTGCTGAGCTTTTTTCTAAATTACTTATCTTCTCGGGGTCAACCATTCTTACCTTAGCTAAATTCTTATATTCCAACAATCTGATTACCCCTGACCTACTAGTTTTGACCTATGTAGTTGACCTCATAGTCATTGCATGGTATTTTGTAAATTATATTATTTCATCTAATTGGGTCAACGGACAAGGTCCTTTAACTTACAGGGCTTGTCCTATCTGAGTGAGTTTGTAGGTTTAAATTCCATCCTAATTCCTGCTTTATTAAGAATCCTACGTAGGGTCTCAGACGTTCCCTCCTTATATGGTAGAACTGTAGGTACCTTATATTTTCTCTCTAATTTATGTTGTCATTATTAGTTTCACCATTATTTTTTATTTTGCTTTTGCCCTTTTTCGATCTTCCTAATGAATTTTATTCGATAGTTATTTAACACCAACGCCTCTTCTATCTGTTTTATTTCATCATTTAGGTCTTTTTTGTGCTACTTAGTGCCATTGCTCGGTTTGTTAAACACTTAACTAAGCCTGCGTTAACAGTGAACGGATGAGACGAATTGAAGTCTAAATATCTATGATAATGATTTGGTTTTTTGTACACACTAGTGTGCACTTTACCTTCCTCTATTCGTTTTATTTTACAATCCAAAATGATAGCTAATTCTCCTTGCTCATTTTCCGCTCCAAATGTGAATTTTATTCCCTCCACTAGTGAGTGTATGTGTGTCAAGAAGCTAGAGATATGTTCTGTTTTTAGCACTGTGAAAGTATCATCCACATATCTCCATCATATTTTGGAGAAGGATTAAATGTATTAGTAGTACTATCTTCCCAGCTGTCCATAAATATATCTGCTACGATAGGGGATAATGGTGATCCTATTGTGCTCGAAATGTCATCAGTAAACATTACTGTATGACACTGTGAGACTTTATCAAAATAAAAAAAATTTACCCATAATAGAATTACACTCTGCCACAGTGCACAAGTTTTATTCTTATCATCTCATTGTTATTTATCTTCCATTAGCGCTTGTCCCATTGCTTACCGATTGTCTTCAACAACCATTATTGGATAAAACGCCTTGTTTGGCTGCACTTCGAGATACATGCTTTGTACATGTACTTGATGCGCCAAGTTTAGCCTTAATCCTACCTGTAATACAACGAGCCTTTTCAGATCGTTCTACTGAAACACGTAAAATGGCTGCTCAAATATTTGGCAATTTACATAGTTTAGCTAGAAAAGAGGTTTGTTTAATATTTTTTTAGTGTAAATGATTTCATCAATGATTATTAAAGAGATTGATTTTTTTAAAGCTTTTTGGTTGCATTACTTTTGTTGTGATTTAAAAAGCTTTTATAGTACTGGTGTCTTTATCATTATATTATTACTATTATTATTATTGCTTCATATCTTGAGAATGCAAGTTTGACGGTGTGTGACGTAAAGACGCATTCAGGTCATTATAAACCACCGTGGGGGGACCTTGGTCTTTTTAATTAAATCAATAATCCCCATATGTTCTGTGTCTCAACTGGAATTATCATGGATTCTTTGTTGTAGCGTCTTTGCGTTCTGATAGAGTTCTGAGGATGACTATATCTATTACTCTGTGCATTTAGTATCTTGTTCACCGTTTTTTTGAGGCAGTTATTTAAAGAATAGTTATACTTGATCTAACAGCAATATCGTATTCAGTGGTTAGGACTCTCGCCGACCATGCACACGGTCCAGGGTTCAAACCCCTGCCAACGCACACCTGATATCTATGGTCAGCCTGCGAAATTTGGGCTACCGATATCCGTGCTGAAAATTTCATACTTGTACCAAAAATACAGTGTGGAATCAAGCTGTAATCAAAAAAATAAAAATATATTATTATTCGACAGGATGCCTCCAACTATATGTTTTCCTTCCTTTTCTTTTTTGAAAAATGCATAGAGGTATATTGAAAGCTACTTAAAAATGCCACGATACTAAGACCTGCGTGTGTCGGTGGCACAGCGGTAGGATGCTCGCCGACCACGCCTTATGTGGTTCGGGGTTCGATCCCCGGCCGACACACTCCTTAACTTCGGTAAGCTGGTAATAAGACTGGTAAAGAGGGAAGGTTGTATATGAGGCTAGCAACCCCATCCTGTAAATATAATCACCACTGCTACAGAAACTTCAAGCCTCTAGCTTGAGGTCCCAAGCTCTACTGGGAACGTAAAGGAATGAAAAACACTAAGATCTGCGTTTCGGTGAAGTGGTTGGGTGATTCGATGCTAGGCTGTGTGGAAAACTAGACACTATATAAGCAGTCTGTCTCCAACTGACTACACAGTAGTTTCTAAACTCAATTTGAGATATTTAATTTTTGTTGTTGTAGTTGATAAATTCAACGGATAGAACTGGCACAGCTAAACTAGACGCTATTTATTAGTTTTTGTTACATTTTCATTCCTGTATAATAACGCTTTACTGTGAGTTTATCAGTAGTATTTTTATGCATACAAAAAAGAAAACAGAAAAATTGTATAGTAAATCATCATAATTGGAAATGATGTATATGTAGAGCATCTTTCAAAGATATCCCAGTTGTTGTGGACAGGAGTTTGGAAAACAAAAGGATTCTCTGTTTGAAGCAATGATTTAATGATCAAGATAAAAGTTCGTATTTAAAATAAATTCTTAAAAAATTTGCCTTGAAACAGTGCTTATTATGTTTTACCCTGAAAAATTTGAAGGCTCTTAGATTAAAAATACGGTCAAGTTTTTGGTATCACGATCCAGGAGTGCGGACAGACCAATGACCTTGAAGGTACGCTATTCATTGGATAAAAAGATCTGCCATGAATAAAGCACTTCTATAAACGCTGTTCGTGGAATGAAGTGTAAATTTCATCCCGATCTCGTTTTTGGGTACTGTTTGGACAATGTGTTGATAGCTCGTAAGGGTCACGTTTAGGGTTAGGGATACGATTCCAGTTAAGGTTATGATTAAGGTTAGAGTTAGTATCAGTGTTATGATAAGGCTTAAGGTCTCTCCCTATTTTCCTATTAATTAGTTGTTGACCCTTTTACTGCTAATTCATTTTGGAGCTTTTGAGGAAGATTGAAAAAAAACAGGATAAGAGCCATAAATTGTTCACAGCAACAACTCATCTTCAGTCACCTCGATGAATATATGTACAGAAATTAGTCTAACTTAAAAACTGATACTCATTGTAACTGGGAGGTATTTTTAAGTCATATCAGGGAAAAGTATCCTGTTTAGTGTGTTTTCATGTATATTTCTCCTGTAAATAAATGTCATTTTTATCTGAGAAAAATCCACTGAATTTATCCGATTGGTCGGCCCAAGATCACTCGCGTGTACATCTTCAGTGGATCGTTATAGTTTTACTTTGTCAAAAATATAACCATTTATTGAACATTTATTGTTTGATGATGATATAATTGTGTGTGTGATTTATTCTGCGTTATACGCCTTTCGTCTTCACAGGACGCTTATACATTTTGCTATTCAGAGCTTGTCACACAAGTCAGATGTGTGCTCCCCCCTTTTTTTCATTGGTAAATATTGTGTAATCTCTGTATTGACTGTTGATATTTCTTCTTCTCTTTTTGTCTGTTTAGGAATTAACACCTTATGTTGGTACTATACTACCATCCTTGAAAACATGTCTACTTGATGCTGTACCAGGCGTTCGTTCAGCTGCTGCTGCAGCACTTGGTGCAGTTGTTCGGGGTATGGGTGAATCTTCATTTGCTGTGAGTCAATTAACTCTTGGTTAACATGAACATGCTGTGCATCATTCACTGTGTGTCATATCATTCTTTTTTTTTTAATTCCTTAGCCCTTCTAATGGATGGAACTCATGGTATCAAACTTGAGCTTAAAAATTTCAATAGCGCAAAAGTTATTTTTGCGGGCTGGAGTTGGTTAGTGAATATTCTATCACTGAACCACCGATGCATGTGTGTTATATCAGTTAAATTTATCTAAGGCACAGTTATACTTTGCCACAGTGTGTCTGAATTTCACCCTTACATCAATATATGAGCTGAAAATCTCTTTTTATTGCTGTTAGTTTTCATAGTTAAAGAAGAAGCATTCGCTTCTCAGTAAAGAGACTTCATAACCCTTTAGTCCTACTGAATAGTGTGATTTTGGTTTCGAAAGTGAAGTATCTTCTCCTACTTTTGTTTATTTTTCATTTTAACTGAGTTTTGTTTTTGCCGACATAGTAATCTACTTGAATTTTTATTCTTCTACTCTACTAACACAAAATTCTTTTAAGGAATTACTTCCATGGCTGATGTCTACGCTTACTTCGGAAACATCATCTGTTGATCGTTCTGGTGGTGCACAAGGTTTGGCTGAAGTTCTCGGTGGTATGGGAATTGAACGACTACGTGTTGTTTTACCGGATTTAATAAAAACAGTTTCATCTGAATCGAAATTACAACCACACGTACGAGATGGTTATTTAATGTTATTCATTTATTTACCAACTGTATTTCAAGATGATTTTGCTGAATTCATTGGACCAATTATACCAACTATTCTCAAGGTAAGACTTTAATACTAACTCTTGTGTAATTCAATTTGTTCGGGTACTTACTGTTACCGGAACTTTAAGGCATATAACTGTGTGTGTATGTTCATTTATGCATTGGGATTATTATTTTATTCCCTTTGCTCCCTGGTGGAAAATAGAGCATCAACTGCGCATATCTCTACCTTATTCTCTTATCTACAGTCTTTTTTTCATCTGTCTCCACGATTGCCTATAAGCTTTCGTTTCCTTCTCTCACTTTCTCCTCTATTCCACTCACAGACACCCAACTTGTTGTATCCTATCCGAGTTCCCCTCAGGGTCTGACGGGTGAAGTTACTTAGCGGTCTGCTTAGTGTTTATCCGATCCATCTCCATTTCCTTCGGTATATTTGTTAAGCAATAGGATGTTAGTTGGTTCTTTCCTAGAGTTTCTAATGTTGCTAATTCTTTCTGGCCAATTGATCTTCAGTAGTTAACCAGCAAAGGCCAGCTGTTGATCTTCGTTTGAAGTAGCCTGTCAGAAATGTTCTTGGTGACACACAGTGCAAATTTCCGACCGATAACTGCTACCTTGACGTGGTGGTCGGGCTTGCACATCGCGATGACCTAAAAACTGGCTGGAACGAATGTTCCTGCAGGTCCTGCCATGCCAAGAAGGCTTTTAGGATAGGGATCAGACGAAAAGCAGTTACTGGAATTGTGTAAGAATCTTTCTTACACTATGCTGGGGGTCCGAGGGCGAAGTCGTACTGCTGGGGAACAGGGTGAGTTGTTTCCCTCAGATGACCAACGTGTCAGCTATGCTGTCTCTCCATTTGGGAGAGAGAGAGTCGACTCCAAAAATTGTTCATCCCGACTTACCCTACGATGGTCCGTAACCGGCGGTAAGTTTACTAATACGGAACCAAACCTACAAACTAATTCATACAGGCCGTGTGTGACCGGCCTCAAGCAGTTGTCCCCTGGGCTCTGTGGTCACGCGACACTAACCCTGTCTCCGTTTCAGGTACCCGAAGAAACAACCAACTTCCACGGTGTGGGCGGCCGGGAAGTAACCACCGCCCACACTCTTGCGAAGGCACACGAAGCCTTCCTGGGCATCCTTCTCCTCGTATAGGAGAACTGACTTAACATTGCTTTGTGACTTGTGATAGTGACGAATATTATTGAATGAAATGCATCAAGCTTTATCATCTTCATCATCAGACTACATCTTCACAGATCGCTGAGCTAATCAGCTACTTTCAACACCTTATTAATTTAGTGATAAAACTGCTAGAAAGCTTCGAAACGAATCCGAATTGATTTCGCCTAGTCTTATGCCCAGTTTTAGTACTGTTAGAACTGCGTTCCCATACGAAACTAGTAATCCATTTCGTTCAGTATTCATCATTTTTAAGTAGGTCAGCTCATATCTGAAGGGATTTCCGTATTGAGTTAGACAAAAGTATTAACGTATTGGTTAATCATTTAAAAGCAGTAGAGCATAACTTCTTAGGAAATTGTCTAAATGAATTTCAACTGTTTGTCTTTCAAAACTCGATAGTTCTAGTGGTTGTTGTGTAACTCATGACAAAGTTAACGTGATTCTTTGAAGCCTTTGCTTTCCGATTGGAAGATATATGACTTCAAACCTGAAGCTTTAAAGTTACAGTTGCGCACTTGTGTTGTTGCTAGTCTCACACCCAACCTACTCTCTTTACTGGGCTCTACGACCGACTAAACAAGGTGTGGGAATACGTTTTCCGTGAATCGAACCTCGACCACAAGCGTGGTTAGTGCCCATTATTTTCCTGAATTTTTGATGCACAAATAGAATTAAATAGTATTTAGAAAGCCTGTAGCGAATGATAATATGCCTATTAGGATATATACGATAATTAGGCTTTTACCTGATTTTGATTTTTATGGCTATTGTGTAGTCGGTACTGTTCATTTCGCCACATAATGGCTAGCTGGATATCATAAACTTTTAAGGTTAACGTTTATTGATAGCGTGTATTTTCCCATTTATTTAGAGTAATTTAAATGTTTTTTTTATCGCCTAATTTTGCTTACTCTTATAGTCATTATCTGATGAAACTGAATTCCTGCGTGAAACCGCTTTACGTGCAGCTCAGCGTATAGTTCAGATGTTTGCAGAAACTTCACTAGAATTATTACTTCCTGAGTTAGAACAAGGCATGACTGATTTAAATTGGCGTATACGACATTCATCTGTACAACTGCTTGGTGAACTTTTATATCGTTTATCTGGTTCATCTGGTAAAGGAACTACAAAAGTAAGTTATTCATTTTTTCAATTATTATTATTATTGTTCCCTTGGACTCCTAGTGGAACATAGGGCTTCAACTGCACGTCTCCACTTGCTTCTTTTGTCTTCTGCTGTACTTTTCACCTGCATTAGTGTTAGTCCATACTGTTCCAAATCCTCTTCACACAATCTCTTCCATGTCACCCTCGCACTGACGTCCCACTCGCCGCTTCCTCTTCGGGTAAACAAAATAATATAATTTACAAAATACCCTGCAATGACTGCCAGTTGGGTCAACTACATAGGTCAAACAATGCTCCCTAGATAAGTGAATGAAGTAACCTCTTTCAAATCCCTCCCGTGGATGGTGATTGGCGCTGGATGTCGCTGCTTTTGTTGTGTTGTTGTTGGTCGGTTGGCTATTTTCATAACCTCCGTCTTGTCTATGTTCACCTGGAATCCTGTCCTGTCTTTGCTGCTTCTTCGACCAGTTTGTCGGTTTTCGTTTGTAAGTCTTGGATTTTGTGTGACATCAAACATAAATCATCTACGCGCGAAATCCAGGTCTTGTAGGTTCTTCATGCCGGTCCAGGATATTCCTGTCTTCTCGTTTCCCACTATCTGACGCATAATCCAGTCCACCACAATTAGGAATATCATTGGTGATCATAAGCACGAGGTTTTTTCAATTATTAGTAATCTATATCTTAATGTTATATATACTTCGCAGAAAACTCAGCAAAGCCTCTGGAGTAAGACAAAACTGCTTACTATCACCGTTGATATTCCGAATTGTGGTGAACTGGATTATCCGGGGCGGTGGGGGGTGGGAAGCAAGAATATATTGGGCTGACAAAAAGACTTTAGAAGATCTGCACCTTTCAGATCATTTACGTCTGATATCACGTTAACTCGAGGACATACAGGGAAAAAAGCCAACAAACTGTCAGACAAAGTAGCAGCAAAGATAGGAATTCAAGTGAACAAAGAGAAGACTAAGGTGATGAAGATAACGAACCAGCCAACAACAACAACAACAATTACTATCAAGAGGAGACGTTTGAATGGGGTTACTTCCTTCACTTCTTGAAGTAGCATCCATTCAACTACAGGCGGAGCGGATGAGAGAATGTGAAAGTTGGCCAGAAAGGCAAGATGTACACCTTAATTACACTGGAATCAGTTTGGAAATCTCATGCACCCAACAACATATAAAGAACAAAATTCTGATTTTCAATATCAGGTCTTCTATGTGGGCCATTGAAAACTTTTATCGACAGCTAACTTTTCTTCATATTGAAGATCAGATGGCCACAGAGGGATGGCAACAAAAGAACTCTGGGAGAATGAACCAATCAATGACTTATTGCGCAACAATTATGCCAAATAAAATGTCTGTCTGTCTGTTTTCTACATAGAATTAGCACCGATGTGCAGCAGTTCAAGTCACCACATTCCATGTAGCACATAAAGTAAGAGAAGAAAGTAGAAGAAATGCATAATATAGACAGTAAACAGAGGTGTAAGACAAAGGAATGGTAATAACGAAGAACAATATAGTTTCATTGGAAATCATAAGTCACAAGGAGTGGATGAATCTGCACGAGCCATTGAGAATGATTTTGAGCCATATCACCAATTGTTTCAAGCCTTCATCGGTTTTTACCGTCCTGAGGACCCCAACCAGTCAGGAAGTCTACATCTTCCTACGTGGGTAACTGGCTTAAACTAACTGTTGTGTATTTCAATGACTGTTTGCATGTTTTGGTTTGACCGCCGCTAGCTCTTTTCCAGCCTGACCCTATGTCAGCTAACATTGCTCGTCGAGGAAGGCGATGACTAGGCGTACGTACCACATGTCCTAACCATCTCAGTCGATGTAACTGCACAGCCTCGTCGATTGATTTCCCCTCCCATCTACCTAGCACTCGACGCCTAATCTAAATATTGCTCACCTTATTATACCATTTCACATGGGAGATATAACGCAGGCAACCATGATCAAAACAGCTAATCTTTTCATGTCTTCCACTCTCAATGGCCAGGTCTCATAGCCATAAAGGAGGTCCAAATAAAATGAAGATGGATCGTACACATACTGATGAGACCGTTGAATGACATCACGTGCCAGGCCATCGCTCGAGTGGAACCAGATTGGGAAACAAGGAGTTGGTCGCGGGTCAGAGGGTGACATGGAGGAGATTGTGTGAAGAAGTGATGTGAGACTATAAGCAATCGTGGGACCAGCTGAGAAAGGACCACAGAGAATAGAACAAAGTGGAGGTGTGCTGTTGAAGCCATATGTTCCACTCTTGAACTCAAGGGAACAATATTAATAATACTTTTATAATATCTGAGTAATGCTCACGACCTATTATTTTTAGATAACGTAATTTATTATTTTGCTACTTGATATGTCAATCCATTTGTTCTGTCACCAAATGATATGAACAAGAGATTAGTGTAGTTGATTCCTTGACTTTTCACAACACTGTATGAGGTGTACAGCTTTGAAGTGAAGTTACGAAAAAAAAGCATATTTTTCACAGACCTGTCCTTTTGATTTATGTATATCACTTGGGTATCTTTCAAAGATTTCACTTTTAATGCAACTACACAGACAGATTTCTTTTTATAACTGAAACCCAGTTCTATGAGATGCTTGTATATTGCTTTCAGTCACATTTTTAACCCCATCAGTAGTGTAGTACTGATTAAAAGTGGAATGGCTGTTTTGTTTTAACTTTATTTTAAGCTTAGGAACCTGGTGCAGACTATCTGAGGTGCTGGTCTTATGCCACTCATGAGATGGGAAGACGCTTTGCGTGTAGATGTTCACTTCAAATTGTTGTTTTTTTCCATACCAGTTTCTTCTTATTGTACCCATTTTTATTATAAATTTTACATATTTTATTGTACTGTATATTATATAGACAACAAGTGAAGATGATACATTTGGTACTGATGAAGCACATGAACGTTTACGTCAAGTTATGGGAGCTGAACGTCATGATCGTATATTAGCTCGTTTGCATTTATCGCGTTCTGATCCTACTATTATTGTTCGTCAATCAGCTATACATATATGGAAGATTGTTGTACCAAATACACCTAGAACGTTACGTGAAATTATGCCTGTACTTATTCGTCTATTGTTGAATACACTTGGATCATCTGCACGTGAACATCAACAGGTTAGGCTTCTTATTTTTGTGTCTATCGATTTGTTAGTTTTTTTGCAGTATAGATATACTTTAATTCTGTGCTAAGTTCGTTCGAAATACGTAGACTGTTATCAATCTCTTTTTCAATGACACTACCTAATAAGTTTCCATGACTGCCTACTATATTAGCTATAACTTTATGAATTTTTTGTTTTCTCTGAGTTAATTGATAGTTTAATTGAGAAGCTTTCGTTGTCCTTCTAGGTAACATCTTCAGCGCAGGTTTTTTCATATGAAATGAACTTATTTGAATTCTCTATGAATGATGCAATTTTATCTCCTAGCAACTATTGTCATGACTGGTTGTTGATTTACATCCCTATTGGTTCCTTTTATTAACCTGAAATTTGAACTGCCCTGTCATGTGATTTACTTTTTATTAATTGGTAAATTTGGTCGATAGTAATGTGTTTGTTAATTACTGATTCACTTCAGTACCATAGAGGCTTGTGTAAATTTCCTGGCATTTTTGATGTTTCTTCTATATTTAAAATTTCTGCATTATCCCAATCAAACTGGTGTCCGTAATTATCTACATGCATTGATATGCATGAATATATATCGTGCCTTTTTACAGCTAATTTGTGTTCTTGGATTCGGATTCAAAGGGTCGCCCACTCTGGCCGATGTAATGTCTGTTACAGTTCATACAATTTATTTTGTAAATGATAAAATCGTAAAAATAAATCTAATCCTTACAAACCAAACTCTTGAAAACTAATCTGATGCACGCTAGTGACTTGCTACAGGTCGGAGTTTCCTGGAGTTCTGCTGAGAAGTTGTGACCAGTGAGGTCCATCCAGTCGTGTAAGGATGGATTTCTCGCCAATGACATTGGCTGATAGTCGCGCTAAAAACCACGAATCAGTAGAAGCTAGAATTAATGAACTGGCCATTGAATGAAGCCCCAGTGGCTGAATGGAAAACGAGCTTGCCTTGTAACCGGATGGTCATGGGTTCGAACCCCTGTGTGTTGGGTGTGTACTGCCAATGAGTCCCAAACTAGGATGGATGAAACAGTTGTCCAGTACTCCTTGCTGGTTTTCAGTGGTTCTCCAACTGACATCAATCAGTGGTCAAACTCGTGAAAACAAATGATATTAATTTTCTTTCCTTTTTCTGTTGGATCTTTCGGTTTGCACAATACCAAATGAAGTGATTGTGTTGATTGACTTGTGTACTTTATCTATTTCAAATGGTCTTGATATTCTAGCTGTTATTTCAAAAATATTTTTTAAATGTAGTAGGATGACTTTTTTGTGGTCTTTGATGTTCTTAATGTATGTGACTCAAGCCTAAACACTTTGATGAAATTGTGAGGGGGATATGCATTCTTCTTGAAGACGGTTACTAGGTATTTTGCCTCCATTTTGCCTCTTCAATATGTCTAACTTCTACAATCCACAACTTCGCACAACTATCTCACACACCATTCATGTGCACTTTAGCTTCTATCATTAAATTCCAAAGCTGGCGAAATGTGTTTCAGATGCGGTTGTTGCACATCTGCCACTATTTACCTACAGTCGTTTTCTGTTGCTCTTTTTAAGGTCGATAAGGAAAAGGGTGCTCAGCTCCTGCTCTCAGCTTTTTCGTCAATTCTATAAAACTGGTAGAAGTTAGAATTCAAGGACCATTGGATCGGGTCCCAGTGGCTCAATGGTCTACGAGCTCGCCTTGTAACCAGAAGGTCCTGGGTTCGAATCCCGGTGGGTGCGTACTGATAAGGAGTCCCAAACTAGGACGAAACGGCTGTCCAGTACTCCCAGGTTTTCCAGTGGTTCTCTAACTGATGTCAGCTCATGATTAAATCCTCCATGCAATCAAACAAAATCCCTACAAAAAACCAATACTTGAAAATTCTATAAAAGTTGGAGATAATGTTCGATTTTTAAGAAAGACCTTACTACTGTTGTATATTTTAGTGAAAGCTGGTAGTGCTGTAACAACAGAAGACAAGGGTCAGGCAACAGATCGCTTATTAAAGAAATCAACACATATTTATAAATTTTCATGTACATAATTGTTAGCAGGCAAACATCACAGTCTTCTGATTGGTTGTTTCTCACAGAAAGTTAACCTTGCATCTCTTCGTGTCTGTTTCTTGAATGTCAGATCATCTATATGCTGACTGTATCTGCCTACGCGAGGCCTTTGTTCTCATTTTTCTCACGACGAATATTGGGGATATAAACATTGACGTAAATTGCTGTCTACCAATTTTGACTAACAGCCAGCTCTCACTACAGTACGACTTCTTTTTAAGATCTGTATTACTTTGCTAGACTTTACTGAATGTGTCATCATCTGTTTTTGATTGTTTTAAATCTTCAAATAGCATTTTTGTTTTTAGCAAGCCGATGTTATTCTTAAATCTTTCTTTCAACTTTTGATTACTTTTCGAATAATCTTATTCCTGTTGCTTTGCTTTATTTCTCTCCAGATTGCAGCTCGTGCACTTGGTGATGTGGTACGAAAGTTAGGCGAACGAATCTTGCCAGAAATTATACCCTTATTAGTTCTTGGCTTGGATTCTTCAGATAGTGATCAACGTCGTGGTGTTTGTACTGGTCTAATTGAAATTATTCGTAGCTGTCAACGTGATCTGGTTTGTTATTATTTGATGAATTTGACGATTTGTAGTATTGATTTGATTTTCAGCATTGATTTATCAAAAAGAAAACACATTTTTTTCGCCAATTTTCTTTGATACATATGTATAATATTCTGAGGTGGTAATTATTCCCGTTACTTGTTGCAAAAATGGGGGTGTCTTGTGATTGTTACACAGCGAACAGTAAACTTTCAACGTTTTTCATCAACGGTCTTGTGAATAATGCTTCGGTTTTTGGATTGGAACGATGAATGTAGGGTTCGAGTGTCAATGAGAACACTTGAGATTGCAGACAAATCCAGATGATGGTTCCCGAATAGGACGAAATGTATACCCACTGCTAGTCTGTCTGTCTGTCTGTCTGGATTCAACATAGAACTTGGCACCGAAGTGCAGCAGTTCGAGTTGCCACGTTCCAATTGGCACACAAAAGTAGACAAGAAGATGAGTGAAGAGAATTAATAGAGTTTGACAAATATAAGAGTGAAACAGAATGGGTAATGGTAGAAAGGAATATGAAAGATTACAGAGACTGAATACATCTGCGCTGGCCATTGACAACGATTTTGAGCCATGTCACCTATTGTCTCTAGCCATTGATTCCTAGAGTCCCGAGGGCCCCAACCCGGGACGGTGGGGCTAGTCATCATCCACCAGATGATATCAATGTTGTTTTAGTCTTAGTCATTGATAGCTCATTCATGTTAAACTGACGTTAGTGACTCCACGTTTCCACAGGCATTAAGAAGACAAATTTTGCGAGATATCATTTCGTAGTTTCTTTACAATCGCTTTACAACTAACGTGGTTAACAATAATAAAATAAAGATCATGACAGTTACTCAGTTGAATAAAAACAAAAGTACATACTAATGACCAGTTTTGTTCCTATCCAGTATAAACGTTCCTTAGTGAAATGTTTGTTCTCAAGGGCCCGAAAAATATGCGCGGGTGACACATTGATGGAGGAGTTTCGATAAATACATTCAGTTTTATTGGCTAATGGTTATCCAGAAAACTGTATCACTTGTCACAGTAAAGAAAGATCGCATCTCGAAAAGACAGCTTCTGTACCAAAGAAAGCTATCTTTATTAACCTTCCATTCAAGGGTAACCAGATTATGCAGTTGACAGCCCAAAGACTTCGGTCAGCCATCAAACGCACATTCTACACCGCATCTCTTTTTCTCACTTGCCGAACATTTTCGATCCCTGTATCTAAGATTAAAGGACGAAATTCTGTGGACTCTACTTCAAACTGTATCTACAAGGTTACCTGCAGCTGCGTTGACACCTATATAATAGGTAGAACCAACAGAATGTTCCAATGTCGTCGAAAAGAACATGTTCCGAAATGGCTACTAAATCATATCGAAAATCCTAACGCGATTAATCTGAATAGAAATCCAGCATCATCCATTGCAAAACACTTATTAATGTCAGGTCACAAAATCAATATTAATGACTGTTCCACAATTATTTCGTCACATAACTCTAATTCAAGGTTATTGAAGGTGATGGAAGCACTTTGGGTCAGTCACATACGACCTAAACTGTGTGTACGAAAATCAATAGACTTCAATCTTCGCCTACCATGGACTAAATGTCCTATTTAAATATGATTGATCATTAGTATGTATTTTTGTTTTTCATTTAACTGAGTAATTTTCATGAACATTATTTTATTATTGTGGACCATGTTAGTTGTAAAGTGGTTGTAAAGAAACTACGAAATGACGATATCATATCGCGAAATTTGTCTTCTTAATGCCTTATTCAAAGTTTTTCCACAGGTATCTGCTGTGAATGATTTTTCGAGATTTGAAGTTTTCGTCATTTGATGATAAATGCCTGACAGTCATAGTCTATTGATAATGAACCAATGTGATTACAGTGTTATATCACCAAATTGGCGTTGTATATGGGTGACACTCTATAGATTTTTGTTTTATATGTGAATCTGTGGTATTTTTTTAGACAAGATGATATATTTGGTATAAGTTAAGATAGTAAAAACTCGAATAACAATTGTCAGGGAATTTAAGCCTAAGTTCCTATTATTTGCGAAGACGCTCTGAATCGACAACTACTACGATCAGTTACTGACTTTAACTACAAAACACCGGTATTTGTAGTAACTTATATTGTTCGGCAATTAAAATCGAAATGATGCAGAAGTCTATAAAATAAATGTTTTACAATAAATATACTGTACTTTTATTCATATTCTTTCGTCTTCTTCCAACTTGTACACGATTGAATCATTCGCGCCTTCGAGTTGCCCGCCAATGGTTACCAAGGCCAACGAACCAACGTTCAATGTTCACTTTTTTTACAACAATTATTCGCTAATAGTTGGAAATTTCGTCGTATTTCCTTGTATTGATGTGTTGTTATTTTGTGTTAACCGTTTTATTTCTTTTAATATTTTATTTCTGTCGAAAATTTTTGTGGAAAAAAATATTATTAGCTATCGAATTATGCTGATAGCTTGTTGGATCCAATACGACGTACATTATGCGATCCACTTGTTGAAGTTCGTCGAAATGGTGCAAAAACATTTGAATTATTATACGGTGCAATCGGTGTACGTTCATTGGATGGTGTTCTACCCGATTTATTAGCTCAATTAGATGATCCTGAAACTAGTCAGTACGCATTGGATGGTTTGAAACAATTATTAACTGTTAAAGGAAGAGCAGTTATGCCTTATTTAGTTCCTAAAGTAAACATTGCTCTTATTCTATTATTATGATTATTATTATTAAAAAGTTTTATTTATTTTTAATTATAAACTAAAATCATTTTTAATAATAATAATTTGTTTCATTCCAAAACAGTACTTGTGATACAGAACGGAATTCTTAGCATTCCATTTTTCACATTAACAATAAATAAAATTCAACATAGATTAAAGGTAATCTCAGTTAGTTATGACAACAACATATTAGCATGTCGGTAGCAAAGCCAACAGTGAACAGAATGTTTGAAGGTGTTAGAAAAGTAGATACTAGCATATTTACTGGCGTAAGCAGTAATAAAAAGGTCGAGATATGCAGTGTGAAAGAACGAACAAGAATGTTATAAGTAGAGTTTGTAAGGAAGAGAGAAACAAGACAGCACATAACAAAAAAAGAAAAGGAAAAGAAAGAAAGAAAACGTTGTACCTGTAAATGATATTAGTTGGAAAGACGAGATCCAATTGTTCTAATAACTGTTTAATAAGTTATAGGTATCACGCCTAATGCTTTCTTTATCTCACAGAATACGAGCTAAGTAGGGTATGGTTGAGTTTTTATATTTGCTAGTGCAAGCGTATAGTTTTCTACATAGACTTCTGGTTTTCCCTGAAGAGATACAAGGGGAGAGTTATGAATAAAGAGGGTGTTCTGAGTTAGATAAAATGGATTTTGCCCATTTTTCACATGAGTCTATGGGCCTGTCAATCAGAATGTTAACAAGCTGGTTGAGTGGCACGTTGCTTACCCTGTTGACAATCTTTAACATCCTACGTAATAAGATATAGTCCTTCTTCAGTGACCCTGTAAAAAATTAGGGGAACAACAGAGAATAATCGGCAGAATACGGGAGTTAACGAATTGTAGGAGTAAGGGTTGGGTTATACCTGAATGTCTTAACTTCTTGATGTAGAAGGTAAGACGGAATATTTTCTTAGAAATCATCAAGGTATGAGAGGATCAGGAAATATCAGAAGAGAGAATGACGCTAAAATATTTAATTTCTGACTTGGTTTTTATTTCAGTACCATCTATGTTGCACACCTCGTGAGTGCTAACCAGTTTGTTTAGGTCAGATTTATGCTTAAAGGTGAAATTGACTGTTTGATATTAAGGGGAATTTAAGGTAAGACCGTTTTCCTTGGACCACTGGCTGATTTCTGATAAAAAGCCATTTAGATTAGGGCAGTCACTTTGACATTTGACAGGCAAAGATACAGTCAGATCGTCAGCATATTTGACAAAATTAATGTCATTTGAAGATGGTAAGTCATGTAGAAAGAAAGAAAAGAGAGGTGGGGAGAGTACAGCACCTTGGGGGATACCAGCTTCAGTGAGTGCAGCGGAGGAGGATTTGCCTTTGTATACAGTGTACTGCATTATGTTTGAGTAATAGGAATGCAACCAGTCAGTGACCCAGGACTCAGTTTGTGTCATGGAGAGCTCATTTAGTAATAGACATCTAGATACAGAGTCAAAAGCAGAAGTGAAGTCGAGAAACGTGCATCGGGCGTATTTGGTACCTTTATCTAATGATGAGACGATACTGTTGTGTAAGTCGGCTGCAGCATCTAAAGTGTTCCTACCCTGTCTATATGCAAATTGTTTGGGGTCTTCAAAACTTTTAAGGGAGGATTCAAGTTTAAGAAGTACTAGTTTTTCCATCAGTTTTAGAAACGGGGAAGTAATGACAATGGTCTGAAGTTTACATTCTTGCTATTTCCAGGTTTAGGGACAGGGACTATTTTAATATCTTTCCATGCAACAGGTACAACGTTTTTGGTAAAAGAAGCATTTGGGATGTTAGTAAGTGGAGAATATAAAGCATCTGAAAATTGTTTTAGAACATAATCAGGTACCCCATCAGGGCTTAAGCGTTTCAACATATTCTAAGCGGTTATTTACAAAGATCTGATTGATTTCAAGATTGACCACGGAATGACTCCAGTTAAACAATCACTGAAACCAAGGAGAGTATACCCGTTCAATACTCCCTGGTTTCAGTGGTTGTCTAACTGAAGTCATTTCGTGATTAGTCTTGGTATCATTTTGTTTTAATTTGTTTCTAATTCATGTTCTCTTTCTTTTTTCTCCCTCACTGTATAGCTTACTAGTCCAGTGGTCAATGTGAAGGCGTTCGCTTATTTAGCGTCAGTAGCTGGTGAAGCGCTGACAAAACAATTAGGTCGAATTTTACCTGCACTTTTGCAAACTGTATCATTAATGTCTAAGTCTGAAAATCAAGAAGGCGAAGAAGAATCAGGAAATGATGTAAGTCCCTGTTTATTGTTCTCAGGATTGGTATGCGCTTCTTTTCTGTTTTGCATTTCTTTTGCCTTCTAAGTTTCATTAGCGCATGTGTTTTGTTTACGGTTTGAGTTTGCTAGCCTATCAGCCTACCTGATGCCTCAACCTTCCTTCTTTTCCCGACTGACTACTGGCTTAGAGAACTTTGAAAGTTCACATTGTCCGAGAGTTGAAACTTGGCCCACAATGTTAACTGATGGGGATTCTCCCCCTAAATGCCACTAGACGGTGGTTTAACGCCTTTCGCTTGTTTGTGTTTTTCGCATTTTACAGTATTCTGTCTTCGGTTGTAATTGAAGGTGAATTTTGGAATCGAAAGGTTAAGGGCTTTAGTATTATAAAGTATCATAGCTTGCAGATAAAATACTTCGTTTTGTAACTGAAATCTATGTTATAATTGCAACAGATAGATATATAAGCATTTTAACTGTCTACCAATCAAATGTCACTTCTGTCTTGCCTACAACTTTCACTGTCTAATAATCGTTAGTTATCCCTATACTTAAACGCCTACCATTTTTTGGACTAACCATATATGTGTGTTGTTATAATTTTCTTTTTTGCCTTATATTAGTTGTAAACGTGACTCATTCAGTATTTTATTTCACAAATCAGTACTGTTCGGTATGTTACGACTTTTACTCGAAAAACAATTGGTTTGTATTTATTGCCTTTATATTGCAACTGTACTATTTCAGTAACAGATAAAGTTTCAAGTCTAATTACAACCCCAATGAAACCTTAGACTTCGTGTGAGTTGTCAGATACGCAGTTGTGATAAGCTTTTCTACTCCTGCTATGTAGTGTAGTTTTTAACGCTTCTGTTGTGTATTTTAAACGGGCAATGAATAGTTATTTGACTTTTTTATCATGCTGGCTTTAAGGGAATGCCTATGATAAGAATATAAAAATTATTATTATTGTTCCCTTGGACTCCTAGTGGAACATAGGGCTTCAACTGCACGTCTCCACTTCCTTCTCTCTTCTGCTGTACTTTTCACCTGTATCCCTGTTAGTCCATACTCTTTCAACTCCTCTTCACACGATCTCCTCCATGACGTCCCACTAGTCGCTTCCCTTTCGGCCTGGTTCCACTCGAGCAATGGCCTGACGCGCGCGAGATGTCACCCAGCGATGACCTCCTCAGGGAGTGTCCAATCCATCTCCACTTTCTCCTGTATATTTGTTGGTTGGCGACTTGTTCTTGTTTTGTTTGTTCCCATAGTTTCTTGATGGTGATTCTTTCCGGCCCAGCCATCTTATCTTCAGTATAGGGCCAGCGAAGACAGTTGTTGATGACGGTCTGCAACAGACTGTTGGAAATATTCTTTGTGACTCGCCAAAGAATAGAAAAATGAGTGTTTTTCTAATTCTTCTTGTACCTTGAAAATTATTTATAAATTTCTCTAGCTAATCTGTCTTTATGAACATTTAACATCTTTGTTTTATCTATTACTGTAACTGTATTATTTCTTCTTCACACTGTTTGTGCATTTAGGATTTGCAGCAGTGTGCTTCTGTCCTGGTGTGTATTTATGATGCTACAGGAATCCGACAAATCTTTAATGAATTATTATCTGGTTTATCGATGTCTGCAATTGTTGATGCCAATTCAACACCAGGTGAAAAACTTATCCCAGGATCAAATGCTTATCGAATAGCTTGTTTGCGTTTATTAAGTGCTTATCTTGAAGCTAGCTATCAAGATCCTGCTGAAGAAAATGCCCAACCTGTAGTGACTGCTAGTCGTCGTAAGGCGCATGCGAATGATTCAGATGAAAGTGACGATTCAAGTGATGGTGATGATGATGATGATGATGACGGCGATGAAGAAGAGGACGACGAATCAGGTGATGGTTCGTACAATTCAGATGAAGATTTTAGTGTAGAAGATGATGAGACAGACAACGATGGCAGTTATGATGATGATGACAGTGATGAAATGGAGGAAAATCCTGATGCTAAGGAAGTTATTAGTCGAGTGCTCAATGAATCTTATCCCCTTGCTTTACGCAATATATGTCGGCTGTTAGCCAACTCTGACAAGACTACGCTGGTAGAAACTTGGAAGTGTTTAGAAGCATTATTCAAGGTTGGTGTTGTTTCTATTTTCAATGACTTATTTGATTCAAATTTGTAGTGTTATTTCACCACTTTAACATATATTTTGTATTAAGTCATATTTTTTATCTACGAAGATTTGTGTCAGCTAACTGTGTCTACTCTCTCTTTCTTCTTTACTAAAATCAAATATAACTGATTTTTGAGTTTGAATAATATTCATCAAAATTGTTTAAAGATACTTTTGAGTTTTTCTTTCCGACACGTTCCCCATTGGAAAATAGGACTTCAAGCTAGTGGCTTGAAGTTTCTGTAGCAGTGGTGTTTAATTTTACAGGATAGGGTTGCTAGCCTCATGTGCCCAACCTTTCCTCTCTACCAGCATTGTTTCTGGCTTAGCAAGGTAAAGGAGTGCGTCTGTGGCCGGTAATCGAATCCCAGACCATGTGCATGATCGGCGACCGTCTTAACCGCTATGCCACCGACACTGACTTAAAACATCTGATAGAAAATAACGAATAATTATTCCGTACTTGAGACAGTTAAACAGACTTACTCTATGCGGTTTTATGCATCTGGATTGGTTAAAGTTCATAGGTCAAACTGTATTTGAAACGTACTCTTGCAAAGTTGATTGTTCTGGTTCACTTACAATACATAATTGGCTAGTGTTGGACGATTTTGTTACAGTGATGATATCGTCAAAGGTTTTTGATGAAAGATATATCGAAAAAAAATATTAAAGATATTTAAGCCATGTTATTTTTATATTAAAATATTTAATAATAACTGAAGCCGTATGACTGACTTCATATATCATTTGATATAAACACTGACTGACACTTATTCTTCATTTCAGATATTAATATCATCCATCCTCTTAAGTCGATGTCAACAAATACCGAAAGTGTCTTTCTACTTTACTTTGTATTCTACTCACGATTATGCATTCATAAATGGTGTTTGTGTGTGTGTGTGTGTGTGTGTGGGTATGGGTGTATGTGATCATTTTACTCCTCGCTAGTTAAATGATCAACAAATTTTACCTCACAAAGAGAGATAAAACAATTTGCATAGTTTTAAATTGAATCAGTCCATTTTTTAAACTAATTTCATGAACTTCTTATACTCTGTTTACAAGCATTCATGTAATTAATGTCTTCATACTTTTGCAGTAAAATATAACAATATCATCATTCATAGTTAGGAAAAAGAAAGCAGGCAAGAAAGAAAGAAAGCACTTATGATCGATGAAATTTATCTTCTGTGTAATCACAAGTTATTTTGATAAAACATGTCATACCGATATATATATATGTTATATATATATATATATCGGCACATACCACTCTCATGTAAGAAATCAATGTTCCACTGGATCATGTTTACACAAATTCCATATATATGGATAAACATTAATAACGTATTGTGTTTTTCATGAAATTCTATGTTCTTCTCTTTGAAAATAAAAAATCTCTTTTAGAAAAGAAAAAAAATTCAAGCTAGTTGAAATAAAACCTAATAGGTTTATATTAAAAGAATATACGAGAATAATTGGTTTGCATGGATTGGATTGATTTGCGAGTTTGTCGATAAAATTAACTTCATTTAGACAACTATTGAATACCAAAGAGTGTAACAGCAGACACTTGTTACTTTCTTAGATTAGGACTTTTCTCAAAAATGGGGGGGGGTGGTCGAACTCTGGATCTTAATGATATCACATATATGTGAAGTCAATCAAATTTATGCAAATCAATACAGTGCTCGCTTAGGACTGAATACACCATGTGATTTCCTAGAAGTTCTAGTGAGAAGTTGTGACTAATGATATCTATCGATTTGAATATGAAGACTAATATTCACCAGGATATTTTGTCTGGTGTTCCTCCTCATATATGGTAATTTAATCTAGGGCAAAAACACTGTCCAGTACTGCAGTTGGTGTTCAATAGTTCTCCAACTCTAATCAATTTGTGATCAAGTTTGATTTTACAATGGAAGAAACACTCCTGAGGAGAGTGGAAAATAAATTTATGTGATAATTTAAAAGACTACGAAAGTAAGGGTTTGACATTTGATAATCTGAGGCTGTTCGGATCCATATTAAGAAGCCTGATTTAAGCATTCAAAAAAAGTTAGTTCAGACATTATCCTTACCTTGGCCATCTAGGTTTGAATGGTCCTCAATTTTTGTGGAATTTTCCTATTTTTGTATGATATTCTATTTGCTACTATATCCTTATTATTATTATTGTAATTTAAGCATCTTTAGTGAACTGTAATTCCATTGATCTTACTTTACAAATCGATATCATTTAAAAAACACTAATATATATATATATATATAATTGTAGAGCCAGAAGAGGAATTTATCGAAAAAGATATTCTTCACTCAATTATTTTGTGTTTTATAGGTATCTGAATGAATATTTTCGCTTTATTGAAATCTGAAGTGTGTCCAGTTTTATATATTCTACTCTCACTTCTACTTTTTTTTATTTAAAGAATATACTGAATTATCTTCATTCTCCACATGTTCGTTTTGTGCATTTTATGTTTTTCCTCACGTTTCTTACACTCGTCAAGTGGACACTAAACCAAATTACTTTGCATGTAGTAGTGTGTCGGTGGCACAGTGGTTAGGACTCTCGCCGACCATGCTGCACATGATCCGAGGTTCGATTCCCTGCCGACGCACACCTGATATCTGTGGTTCGCCTGCAAAAATTGGGCTACCGATATCGCATGCTGAAAATTCCATACTTGTACCAAAAACTACGGTATGACTTCAAGCTGTGATAAAAAAAAAATCAAAATCTTCAATACATCAAATTTTCACTCCTCTCTCTACACTTGATTTTAGAAACCGCATGTTTGTTATTGTTGTTTATTAAACTCTTTGTAAGTTAACTACTCATAAGTAGAGTGTATTTGTTACTTAAATTATCCTTTAGAATCTTATATATATATATATATCTTCATGCTGGGCACATTGTAAAAAAATTGTTAATTTTTTAATGGTAATTTCAGCGTTGGAATCCTGAAATGATCACTTCACAGATCAGTGATCTTCGTCAAGGTATTCGTGGCGCTATATCAGAAATGAATAAATCTTCAAGTGCTAATAAAACTGAAAGTCAAAAATATTTACCTGGTTTCTCAGATCCAACTCTACCACTTGTTAGTTTAGTCAAGTTGTACGCAGAATGCACTCTTCGTGGACGTCCTGCAGTCAAAGAACCAGCTGCTCAAGGATTATCCGAGTGCATAATTTATGCGAATGGGATTGCACTTCAAGGTTGTGTTATCAAAGTTATCGGTCCACTTATACGTTTGTTGGGAGAACGTCAAACTAATGTAGTTCGTGTCGCTGTAGTACAATCGCTTACTTCACTTGTTAACAAAGTGAGTTGACTGACAACTGTTTGTTTTTTGTTTTTTTTTTTTTGTTTCTTTTTTGTGCTTATTGTATCAGTGAACAGGAAAAAGATGTTCACACTGCATGTTTGAATTTGTACTCTTGTTAAAGAGAAAGCGTATGTCATGTTGTTTTTGGCATGAGTGACATGAACGAGAGAGAGAGAGAGGAAGTGTGTGGGTGTCTGTTGAGTATAACATTAACGTTGAATTCAGGTGAAATACAACTTTGTCAAAAATGTAAGTTTCAAAAGATGATGCTCTCCAACTGATTCAAAAACTAAGGAAGTTTATTAAACCTAACCTAACTTCAGAATTTGATGTTCAGTCGATTAGTTTAGAGGAGTTCAGATACTTGTTTAAATACTGCAGGTTACACAGAGCTACCTAATATTACAATAGGGTAACTCAGTCTCAACTTACGCCTTTTTGAAATGTGAAGAATTTTATCCTAGCATAATAAAAATGGTAAATATTGTAACTAAAGCCCAGCATTAATTCAATGAAGTGAATAAAGAATAAGTGAGAAAGGGAGGCCAATTAATTACTTTTTGTAAGAGAAACCAATAAGATATAATAGTCAGAGAATAAAAATGACATGGCAGTGATGTCACAAGACAATATCCGCAAAAATTATCATTTTTTCTGCAAGTAGACTTTGGTTTCCATACCTGAATCACATGCATACTTAACTGAGAAGGCGACTTATTTTTTTTGCTTTGTTGTCCTCTGATAATTCGTTTTTAAATCACAGGTGTCAATAACGTATCCATAGTCATCTAAATTCTTATTTTCTGGTAATTTTAAGTATCAATGTATTGATTTCCACAAATACAGTGTATAGTATCGAGGATTAGCCTTTTCAAAAGAATGGATACTGAACAAAGTACTCTTTCCGATAAATTCATCATCAGGCTCTACATTTATATATACATTATACTGAATGAATGAATGAATGAATTAGTGTTATGAACAACATTGATGTTACTGTTTAAATAACATCGAATCAATAATTTCAATAGATTACAATTCAATAAGATCAACATAAAATAAGCTGAATGTCAGAAAAATTAGGAGAGATAATATTATAAATTCATGAATTTATAGTTTCTACTGAAGGCCAACCAGGGCAGTAGTAGGGGTTGGCTGAACTTGATTCTTTTGAACACAAAGCCCTGGTTGCTTGGGGAGAATTGCAATAGCCTGTGCTGTTTGAAGCATGGGTTGCATCGATGATTTCGGCAATTTATGAGGCACCCGGTAAATGATGGATTAGGATTCTTCTACTCTGGCCGGTTTGCACCAGATGGTCCAATATCGAACTGTTGATGGTTTTAGCTACACCTTTATTTAGCCATAGTGGGATATGTTCCCGGGCATGAAAATCAAGTTCCTAGAGCAACGGCCAATATAACTCGCTTCACAAGCGCAGTTGAATTGGTAGATACAATTTGAAGTGACTAGTCTAGGTACTTCATCTTTCAGTTGAGGTAGCACCATCGGTCGTGTACTGTCTGTCTGGATTCAACATAGAACTTGGCACCGAAGTGCAGCTGTTCGAGTTGCCACGTTCCAAATAGCACACAAAGGTAGAAAAGAATATGAGTGAAGAGAATCAATAGAGTCGTGTACAGAATAATACGTGTAGGTCACCAGCAGTAAAAGTTCTTCGAACTAATTTTATTAATTTCCTCGTAATTATCTCACTTGGTATATCGCCCATGAATTGTAGTCGTATATAAAGAGGCTTCTTTTTTTACAGATAGTGAGTAGTCCTTCTCCCGCTTTCTTTGTCATGTGTTTCTTGATCAATTTGTCGGGATAGCCATTTTCGATCAAAATATCATATTATACAATGCCTAATTCATCTTCAATTACTTCAACTGACGTTTTATTTTTCTAACCGTGTAGACTTGTCAATTCTTTGCATCAGCGTTTCAAATAAACGATCTGCTTCAATTGTTAAAAATCTTTTTGTATGTTGCACTTTAGACCAGCGGAATGCGTATAGTTGATATAAGTTATCCAAAAGAGGTGGCACAAATAATTCTGAAGAATAACTAACAAACTAACAAGGGGGTGAACTTTTTTCATATAGGCTCATGTGATGCAAACATCATCCTTCATTTCTGTTTTTACATACGAAAATCGGCAGTTTCATTCACAGAAGGATACTGTCCAATGATAAAAATCCTCACCAACTCCGTCTAAAATCAAAGTGGAAGGAGTCACCGACAATATGTTTTGCAGTAGAGGTTTAGGCATTCTGATAGTTTTCAACATGATTTTATATCGTGAATTGGCAGAAGTTAGAACTCATGGGCCGTTGGATCGGGTCCCTGTAGCTTAATGGTATACGAGCTCGCCTTGTAACCAGAAGGTCCTAGGTTCGAACCCCCGTGGTTGCGTACTGATGAAGAGTCCCAAACTAAGACGAAACAGCTGTCCAGTATTCCCAGACCTTCCAGTGGTTCTCTAACCAATGTCAACCCATGGTGAAATCCCTTAACCAATCAACCAAATCCCTACAAACCAATACTGGAATGATTTTATTTTCATTGCAAATATTGATTTTTAGAGTACTACATGTCCTTTCTATTTTTTTTCAAGTTCTTATCGTTTTTGAGTGATTGAAACTTGTCAATATACATTTTTAAAATTCGTGTTCCATCTTCTCTTGATTTTTCTAAAATCTTTCAACTTTAGTGTCCACAATCCGTGCGCCCATTTGTTACACAACTTCAAGCCACCTTCCTGAAATGTCTTGGTGATTCACACAGGCCAATGCGATTACTTGGTGGGGAAGGTCTATCATCTGTTGTGCCTATTACACCAAAACTCGATCCATTATTAATTGATTTAGCTAGAGTATCTTCTCAAACAGTTATATCACGTTTTCATGATCATTTAAAAGATGCTTCAAAAGACCTGGAGAATGTACCGGCATCGTCGGGTGCCTCAGCGACAGCACATACATTGGCAGGTATTGCAACTTATCCGTAAGTTACTTCATCTCTTAATAACATTTAAATGAAAGAATTTGTTCCAATTATTTTTACGCAAAATAAAGTGTGTTCATCCACTATTATTATTATTACATTGTCACGTGAGTGATACGGCTCAAAGTAGAATGACTTAAGTAGTAGACCACTGCAACAATGAAATAGTAGTCATTGCAAACTGGTATATTCCACCTTTGAAATTTGTCCTTAATTTATCCTCTCTGTTAACAAGGATCTTAGGATGTAGAAGATATGTGTAGTATTATTTATTATTTTCTTATGTTCTGAAGTGCGGAAATTCCATGTTTCCATGTGTATTTTTGCCTCCATCGAAAGAAGACAACGACTGACTGACTTCCTGAAAGCTTTCACCAGCCCGCGTCATTGCGTGACTTCAATTTCAGTGAAGAAAAGGTTTGTTTTTCGTTTTTTTTCTGTGCTTTGGAGTTTTTGCAGCGATTAGATTGATTTTCCGTGGTAGTCGAGCTTGGGACTGACTGACTACCTAGTGAACTAGTATACTAGCTAAATAATAATACTTTAAAAGACTTTAATTTTATCATTTCCACTTATTTTCTGGTTTTTATTCCAATTAGCAGTTCCATCTCTGTTTTTCGTCTATTATGTGACCATGCGGTCATTCAGTCAAATCATTTTAAGATACATTATACACAAACGATATTTTGAATTGCCATTTTTTCTTCCTATGCTGTTACCACTGAAGTTGTCTTATTAATCAAAAAGCAGAAAAAAGTTTAGATTATACGATTTGTGGGTTGGGAGTGGATTTTGCAATAATTTAAACTCAACTGTTAGATTTTTTCCCATGGTCTAAATTGTCATAGACCTGTCGCTAATTGATATGATCACGTTGACAGCTGATATGACCGAGTGGATTGACGCTGTGGGGTATAATAATACTGACACAATGAACAACTGAGCTGATTTGCTCGTCTGTGGCACCCTCCAATTCACTGAGCCACGTTAATATCAAAATACAAAGACTGGCCCGTTATATATACATATATCACATTAAAATCGGGCGTGCCAGTGGAAATGAAATGTTCTGATTGTGATTGGTAGGCGAATATAAATATTCTCATTGGTTGGTTATCTGTCCAAGACCAAGATGAGAAAAAGAATGATGAAATTTATTGTCCTATACAATCACATGATGAGTCATAAGATGATTACAATTAATTTTAATCTGATTCCTATTGTGGCGAGTGCTACTGATATGATTTATTAGTAGTATATAAGGAAACGTTCATCGGCATAAAAACATTAAATACCAAGCAGACACATTTAATTTCAGAGAAGGTAAATGATACAGCGTTGTGGAGATACATGGGAGACGTGAAAGGAATACAAAGAAACACAGCATGAAGTCTAGAAGTATCACAATACAAACACCTATCCAAAGGGTGCGTTGAAAATAAAGTATGCATAATTTGGCTATTTAGAGATACCAATTACCAAAGAAACATTCTTTTACTAAGTCTACATGTTTTTACCGTTTCACTATGAAAATATCAATCTCCAGCTCATTGCTGACTACTAGATAAATGTACTGAAGCTGTAGTGAGAAATCATGACCAGTGGGGTTCAGTGGGATGCCAACCGAAGGCATTGATTAGAGAGTAGCGCCCTAATCTCAAGTTGACAGCGTTATTATTCACGGATTATTGAATTCTGAGTCAATTGTTTGAATGACCGGTAAACTTATTCTCGTAACCTAAAGGTCTAGGTTTCAATCCTTGTTGAGATCGTGGGTGGTGTACAATGCTGAACAGCTGTCCAGTAGTGCTCCTTCCCTACTGGTTTTTAATAATAACCCCCCCCCTCTAACTAATTTTGGTTCGTGATGAAAATTTAACAACTGAAATTATTTTTTTTAAAAAAAACAACTTATTGTTAGAAGTTGTTTAGGTCAAGTAGTGAAGTATAGAATAATAATTAATAATCAGTTGTAAATTACGTCAGTGCCTGACTAAAGTTTGAGAATATATATATATATATATATATATATATAGAGAGAGAGAGAGAGAGAGAGAAAGCATTTACAGTAAATTAGATTGTGACGTATTTAGATGTATTTCTAACAAAAGTCTAACCTAATGACGAAATCATACGTCATATATTCACTCTGTGTGTGTGTTTTGTTGTTGTTTTTTATTCATTTAAAAGAAATAGACATTTTTTCTCTCATTGATGCTTTGATTTCATGCGTTGTGTGCAGGAAAAAACAACCGTCTACGTGTGTTTTCCTTGTAGGTATGTATTATTGTATTTATCTAGTGCAGTCATGGATTACTCCTAATTCATAAGCAGATAACGTGAAAACGGTGAGGATAATGATAACAATAAGAAGTAGAAGAAGAAGAAGAATGTCAAGAACCTTACCAGCTATATTTGTCTGTTAACACGAGAACTTGTGATGGACTAATCTTTGTTGTTTGTACGAAAATAACAGTAACATAATAATGATATATATATATATATATATATATATATATATATATAAAAAAAAACCTGCTTAGTCAAGTTACCACACACTGATAGAATGACCATTCGAAACAGTGTTGTTTACTTTGAGACTAGACACTAAGGTGTAACTGTAACAACAGAAGACCAGGGTCAGGCAACAGATCGTTTATTAAGGAAATCAACACGTATTTATATATTTTCATGTACATATTATAGATTATTGTTAGCAGAAAAACACCACAGTCTTCTGATTGGTTGTTTCTCACAGAAAGTTAACCTTGCATCTCTTCGTGTCTGTTTCTTGAATGTCAGATCATCTATATGCTGACTGTATCTGCCTACGCGAGGCCTTTGTTCTCATTTTTCTCACGACGAATATTGGGGATATAAACATTGACGTAAATTGCTGTCTACCAATTTTGACTAACAGCCAGCTCTCACCACATAACCAGTGTCATGCGTCTAGTTCTTGGTGTTGTGTTGATGCTGACTGTATACATTTAGTCAGTTTTGTGAAGCTAGCTGACTTGTCATCTTGTTGTCGCACTCTGTTTGATGTTAGATAATTGTTGGCAACGGGTACGAAGACGTGCACCCCCTAAGTTTCGTATCTGTTCACCCTAATAACAAAGATTTGTAACTCAGGTGGATGATTTGGAATTGATAGTGTTCTCTGAGCTCCTTGGTTTAATTGCAGAGCTTTCATCGTCTTTCTGGACGACATCTTCAGCGCAGTATTTAGGATAAAGTGAAATGATTTAAATTTCTTCATGAGTCTCCCGGTAACCATCTTTAGATATTTATTGACCGTTTTCTATTGATTGGGATTTTAAACTTTCTGATCACCTGATTTACTTCTTATTAGTTGGTATATTTCATCTATATTAACGTGTTTATTAATTGCGTTTTCATTTGAGTACCAGGGCCTGGTACTCAAATGAAAACGCAATTAATAAACACGTTAATATAGATGAAATATACCAACTAATAAGAAGTAAATCAGGTGATCAGAAAGTTTAAAATCCCAATCAATAGAAAACGGTCAATAAATATCTAAAGATGGTTACCGGGAGACTCATGAAGAAATTTAAATCATTTCACTTTATCCTAAATACTGCGCTGAAGATGTCGTCCAGAAAGACGATGAAAGCTCTGCAATTAAACCAAGGAGCTCAGAGAACACTATCAATTCCAAATCAATGTTAATGTCTCTGAATTTAGTGTTCAGTGAATTGAGATTCGAGTCCTAGAGAAGAGGGATATGAGTTCCTTGAAGGCTAGAAAGACGACTTGTTAAAGAGTTCCACGAAGCATAAAACCTATGTGTATAGGGCCACCTGCCTATTTTTTCACCCTTTGAAGATCAATGTGCTGTATTGATGAAAAACGTGAATTAATGGGGTAATATTCAATTTTTAAACAAAATACTCAGTAAATTCCATAAATAACTGACTGTTTGATACCTTATAAACTTTAGTTTATTCCTGTGTATGCAGCCACTTTCAATCAGTCGACGACGTTGTGAAGTTACGTCAATTGATTGAGATAGTTAGGACATGTGTTACGCATGCCTAGCCGTTGCCTTGTTCGACGGGCGATGTTAGCTGACATAGGATGGATGAGGTTGGTAAAGGGTTAGTGATGGTCGAACCAAAACATGGGTTCAAGAATCAATAAAATCTACAACAGTTAGTGTAAGCCAGCCACGCAGGAAGATGTAGACTTCCTGCTTTCTGGTTGTGGTTCTCGGGATAGTAAAATCCAATGACAGCCGGAGACAATTTGGTGATATGTCTCAAAGTGATCGTTCTCAACGGCTGGTGCAGATGCATTCACTCTTTGAGATTTATAATGTTCAATATATTGTTCTTCCATATTACTTTTCTTTTTGCTTCATACTTCTGTTTGTTGTCTCTTCTGAATCTCTCGCTCTACTCTCTTCTCTTGCTTTGTGTGATACATGGAATGTGGCAATTTGAACTGCTGCACATCTCTACAAAGTTTTACGTTGAAACCAACCAGTCAGTTAGTCATGCATAAATCTGTTGATGAAATTTCTCTGAAACATGTATGACAAAAAAGTTGTGAAATTAAATGTGTTCATTGCATTCCATGTTCTTTAAATCTCCGGTATAGACAAATGAACATTTAGAGTACACATTAAATAAATTGAATTCATTCCTGTATGTTTCTTGTGCTTTCTTTTTACGAAACAGTTGTGAATGACACTAACAGTATGAAATAATGTAAAAAAAATTGAATTCCAGACCGATAAACTCGTAATCCTTTCTTCAATTACTAGAGAGGGAAGGTTATGCGTGAGACTGGGTTTCCCAATCTCTCCATTTCTCTTCAACTCAGCCGTCGATGACATTCTGGAGTCAGCTCTGAAGGATGTGCGTGAAGGTGGTGTAGATATGCTACCTGGAGATAGACTTTTTGACCTCGAGTATGCAGACGATATCGTCTTACTGTGCGATAGCATGCAGGCTGCCAAAATCACGCTTAATCAGTTGGCAATCAGTCTCTGTAAGTATGGTATGTACTTTGCGCCGTCTAAGTGCAAAGTACTGTTACAAGATTGGCAGGAGCCTGTGTCTGCACTCACTCTTGCGGGTGAACCGCTTGAAGTTGTTGATAAGTTTGTGTATCTGGGTAGTTGTGTGAGTGCTGCTGGAGGGGTGACGGGTGGAATTTCCAACCGTATAATGAAGGCTAGGGTGGCATACATGAACTTGAGCCACCTCTGGAGCTGTCGCGACGTTATCCTGGCTGTCAAAGGTCGGGTATACAATGCTTCGGTGCGGGCTGTCTTGCTCTACGCCTGTGAAACTTAGCCTCTCCGAGCCGAGGATGTGCGGTGACTCTACGTGTTCGATCATCACTGTTTCCGCAGGATTGCTTACGTTCGATGGCATCATCGCGCGAGTAATTCTGAAGTTCGGCGGCGTGTGTTTGAACACAGTGGACATCACCATTCATTGAGTGTCGTCATCTGGAAACACTGGCTCTGGTGGCTTGGACATGTGCTGCGAATGTCATCCCTGGTTGGGGTCCGCGAGATAGCTCGAATTGATGGCTCGAAACGTTATCGGATATGGCCAAGAATTGTAATCAGTGGCGAACATGTTGCAATTTCCTTCTTTCTTCACATCCCGATGATAGTTAACGAATACTGTTTGAACTTGTTAAGTATGACTGTTTTCCTTCCAGATGAAGTTCTTTATCCGTTCTCTACTTATATGGCTACTGAAACCCCAAAGGTTAAAATCGTGTGTTTCTCTTGGAACACGTGGGAGCTATTTCATTTATCTTAGTGTTTTTGTGAAAGATAGAAACCTATAGCAGAATGAATTTTCCATCTTGATCTAGGTGAATTGTGATGCTTTTAACAGATGTCAATGCCATCTTTGTATTCTTAATTATTACTATTATTATTATTAACCATTTTCATATATTATTAATTATTTTTCAGAGATACCAGTTTGCAGGCATTACGTGTATGCCTAGAACACTCACAAGGTCGAGCTGGTTTAATTGCACTAAACACTGTATTCCATTCATTGATTCCATTAATGCATCTACCGGAATCGTTCGGTAATGAAGGTCGAATGGAAGAGAATACATATCGCCATGATATTGTTGGCGGTGTTGATGGTGATGATGATGATGAAGATAGCGATGAACATGAAAGTGTTTTAGGCTCATTTAATCAAGGCAAAGTGGTACCAATCTCATCAGATCAAGTTCGTATTGTAGCTTCTTCGTGTATTGGATTTATTATTGTTGCAGCTCAAGCTACTATTAGTAAATCTTCACAAAATGATAATGAGAAGAAAGCAAAGATTGTTGAACTTGTCAGTTTATTTGAAAAGAAACTTTTCCCCACTTCTTTAGTTAAACAAGGTAAGTTATAGTTGGTAATTTAGGTTAGGAATTTCAGCATCATAATAGTAGCATAACATATACTGCTGGTCAGTACTTCTTCAGAAGGCTTTTTCTTGGAGTTTTGCAGTAATTACTTATTATGATATTAGTAATATCAGGTTACACTTATTATCAGTAAATCATGTTCAGCTGTTTTGTAAATTCGGCTGTTATAAAAGTAAATATTCTGTAGACTGAAATGGAATTTACTGAATTTTGCAGCTTAGAAATTTTTACAGAAATCTAGCGCATGAGGGAGGGGTTACCACGCATTTTATTAAGCAGATAATAGGCGAAAAAGGTAATGCCAAGAGACTGTAATCAACGGATGGATGAGATGGAAACATTAACTACATGGTGAGTAATGACGACTCGATCGATTAGCTAGTGCGTCTGCACTATTGAAAGGGGTTATGAGCCACCAACACTAACAGTCTCTCGATCGACCGACTCATAGTGTTTCGAGAACCCCAGTGCAAACTGTCGACACCTCTCTATGTCGCTCCAAACAACGATTGATGCTATGACTCTACCTTTAAGTATTCTCTAACTGAAACTTATCTCTACTGGGTATAAACAAGTAGCCGTATAGTTCCGCCACGTAGAGTGGGACTGTATATAGTTGTGGTCTTGAAAACCGGCTAGGGAGAGTGTTTGGTACTCTTGAATAATCTGCAGTGTTTTAAGAAACCAGAAATTGATTTTTGCTTATGTGAAATTTAAGTTATCTCACTAAAAAATGTGAAAGATAATAAATATCTATGGTTAAAAATAAGTTGCATTCACATGATTTATTTCTGTATATACTTATTTTCAATGCGTTTGTTATCCATTTGTGAACAGAAGAAAGTATTTTCAGTACTCCTAACTAGTAGACTGATGTCTTTATTCATTATTGGTAATTAGTAGATTTTCTTTTTGATCCTTTACGTTCCCAGTGGAATATAGGGTTTCAAGCTAAAGGCCTGAAGTTTCTCTAGCAATGGTGATGATTTTTACTAGGTGGAGTTGCTAGCTGCATGTCCAACCTTGCCTCTTTACCAGTCTTATTACTGGTTTAGCGATGTAAAGGAGTGCATCTGTGGCCGGGGATAGAACCCTGCGCCACCTGCGTAGTTGGCGAGCATTCTGCCACTGTGCCACCGACGCATCATAGGTAAATTTAACATTTTTTTTAAAAATTAACTTTGTGTGTGTGTGTTTGTGTTGACGGCTCGGTTGTAGAATGCTTGCCAACCAAGTACTCTTGGTTCAGATTCAGTCCCTCCTGAACCTTTTTTAACTGTTAGTAAGCAAGCACGCGTGTCCGATAAAGGCTAAATGGAAGACTGGAAATCTCACCCGTTCAAGTCAAACTTAAAGCCGTATGTGTTCTACTCGTAATGCATAGGAATGTATTACAAGTGATAATATCTTTTAATTGACTGTTTTCAGTTGTTGTTTTTTCTCTTTCTTTCAGATGAACAATGGACATTTCATCAAAGTCGAGGGATTTGTCTAGTTATCCCATTGAAGTATACACCAGAAACCTTGATAAATACAGAAACAGTTAAAACAGGTTTTTGCGAACGTCTAGAAAAACTTATATGTCAATTGTGTAATCATGAAAATGTAAGGTTTCTTTTGTGTTTTTTTTATAAAAAACTAATATTATGCCTATTAAATATTCCCTTTTCTTGCGTAGTTATTGTACCTCTTTACTTGTTTATACATTTTGTATGCATATACTACACGAGGTATAGTCTAAATTTTGTTTGGTTTCATCTCCTGTACACCAACATGGTCAATTTAAACTTTAAGCACCACTAACTACCAACAGAGTGCGACCGTACCAATGGCCGTATAACACTCACTGAGCAAATTAGTGAAGCTTGGCAAGTAATGCTGTTATCATCAATTAAACATGCTTACCGAAGTGTTAGATTATTAAATGGGATATCTGGGAAGTTTTTCACCTTATGTTTGGGAAAGATTTAAGTTACGGTTTAGGCCAATGACAAGTTAGGCTTAGGTTAACCTAATAAAGGCGACAATAACGTCAGTTCGAGTTAGATTAAAGTTAGCTTAGGGATATTTTCACGTTAAGGCTAGTTTTAGGAAAGATTAGGATTATTGTTAGGTTTAGAAGACCTAAATAATTACATGCATAGAATGTGGTTAAATTATTCTGTTGGTATAAGAGTAGAACTTGTGTACTGTGGTAGAGTATAATTCCGTTGTGGGTAAAATCTATTATGATAAATTCTCACAATATTATACAGTAACATTTATTGATGACGTTTCAAGCACAGTTTATTGTCCAGTAAATATTACCGTATAATACAGTGAGACATTATCAAAATAAATTTTACCCACAATGGAATTATACTCTGTTAATACTCCAACGTAAAAGTGAGAGTTATTTTTATCACATGTAAGAGGAAGTTATCCTGTGTAACACTTTTATACAGTTTTTAATTATTTTTTTTTAATTGTTTGAGTCTTTTGACCCTAGCTACAAGCCTAATTTTTCCTTAAACTAGCCTTAACGTGAAAATATCCCTAAGCTAACTTTAATCTAACTCGAACTAACGTTATTGTCGCCTTTATTAGGTTAACCTAAGCCTAACTTGTCATTGGCCTAAACCGTAACTTAAATCTTTCCCAAACATAAGGTGAAAAACTTCCCAGATATCCCATTTAATAATCTAACACTTCGGTAGGCATGTTTAGTTGATGATGACAACATTACTTTCCAGGCTTCACTAACTTGGTCAGTGAGTGTTTTAAAGTCATTGGTGTGGTCGCATTCCATTGGTAGTTATATATTATATTATTATTTCCTTCACATTCCCAGTGGATTATAGGGCCTCAAGCTAGTGGCTTAAAGCTTCTGTAGCAGTGGTGTTTAATTTTACAGGCTGGGGTTGCTAGCCTCATGTCCAACGTCTCCTCTTTACCAGCATTATTTCTTGCTTGGCGAGGTAAAGGAGTGCGTCTGTGACCGGGAATTGAACCCCGGACCATGTGCATAGTCGGCGAGCGTCCTAACCGCTATGCCACCGACGCACGCCGCACAGTGGTACACCCATTGACTGGGTATTGGTTTTCAGGAGGACTAAAACACACCCATCCCTGCCTCTTGCGAGACTAGACCGGGATGCAGGATCATCCTGTGGCGCAACCACTCGAGAGCCCTCTCCCTCGGTGGACCACTTATGTATGTGACTGCTTTATTTGAATTGTCATCTGGACAGAATAATGCGTGTATATCAGTCTTGTCACAGTGTTTAGTATGAATATGCTTTCTGTTCAAGACTAGGTATGCGTGTAGCATTAGTGTAATTAATCAGAAAGCTTAAAACCTAATCTTCTCAGAATTACACGTGCTATGTGGATGCTTTGCCATTGTAAGTTAGTAGTTAGTGTACACTGCTTATTTTGTTGCATTTTATCCCTTGATCTCAGCGTTTTATTATTATAAAAATCTTTGTTATAGAAAATGACTTACGATTGCTAATATTTTTTAACTCATGGAAAATTCCCATTGTAACATATTAGCAATCAAAACAAGTGGATTCAGCGAAGAGACTCTTTTCAACGAATTTATCATCAAGCTGTACAGTCGTATAGATGTGGTTTTTAAGAAGTTATATCTGGTGAGGGAATTGAATCTTAGGTGTGAATGCATAAAAATAATAATAATAGTAGTATGAAATGCAATTTAAACTAAAGTGTTTGTGATTATAATCGTAGTTAAATGTCAAGTGGCAAAGCAAATTAATGTCATATATAGAATAATTCATAGGATGGGTAGAACTTGAAAAAGGATGTGCAATTATAGGATTAGTAGACAAATCGAATAAAAGAAAAACGTCACGTAATATTGTGTAAAATTTGACAGCATAGAATTAATCGTTGTAAAAAAGAATTGATTTAGAATGACAAGTGGAACAAGTGAAATAATACCGGGGACAGTTCAAAGTGAGAATAGTAATAATAACAATTGACTTAATAAAGAAGAGTATACGAATTGAATAGACAAAATGAAAAATTGGTAGAGCCAAAATATGATTGGGGATTATCATATTTGAGCATAGAGGGATTAAGACCATGAAAGTTGGAGGGGTTGAACGAACTTTTTCTGTACTCAGAGATCTGACTTTTCTGTTTCGATAGCCAAAGATGGCTTCAGCAATACAGATGAGTCGGGTACGTAGGGATTTTGGGTAAATTACTCTTTGCCTTGTAGATGACTTTAAAGGCGGAGGCTATAGAGATAGGGGGTGATCAATATCGACTAGATGTTCAATGATCGCGCTTCTTATTGCTCCACTTCCATCTTTTCGTAGCCATGCAGGATAGTGTTATTATCATTACTTTATGCATTCACACCTAAGATTCAATTCCCTCACCGGATATAACTTCTTAAAAACCATATATATACGACTGTACAGCTTGATGATAAATTCGTTGAAAAGATTCTCTTCGCTGAATCCACTTGTTTTGATTGCTAATATGTTACAGAAGTGGAAATTATGTTGTTCTTTCTCTCTTCTTTTGTTATTTCTTAACTACGGCTATATTAATTAGAACTCATGACATCACGTATAGCTTTTTATTTGCGAAAAAATAAACTCCATTTTTTTATACATCATCTATCTACTCACTTCTCTTTTGTTTTGAATAATGCATATATCAACATTGTATTCTTGTATAAATATATGTAATTACTCAGCTGATTTTGTCATCTCTTACGGATCAAAGAATATGTCATACTTTACTACTGCCTAGATCATTATTACATTCGAGTAAAACAACCTATTTATCCAATGGTTATATATTGACAAAAAAAGGCGCTTAAAATAATTTGATAGGTTGTGTGTGACTAGCAGTGGAATCCGGTATGCACATCTCATCCGATTTGAAACTTATTAGCTGAATGTGAATGACTGGTGGTGGTGTTCCCAGTGAGACTGGAACCCAGTACCCATCGTTGCAAATACCAAAGCGTTATCCAGACGATGAGGAGTCCCAGATAGGACGAAATGCTCATTTTGGATTCCACTGTTAGTCACCATCTATCAAGTTACCTCAAGTTTATTCGTCTGACGTTGTTGAAGCAACGGAACAGGGAGCTACCATGTCAACAAAGGCTGGACATTTCGATTCAAATGATCAACGAAAAAAATCAAAATTGAATTAAAAATAATTTTTTTGTAAAAAAAAGCGCTTAATGAGCAGAACTGTACAGAACAATTGTAAAAACCAGTGAAATTCTTTCACATTCTCAATAGTACTGATTCATATGAAAAGAAACACCCTAGTTGAGGGTAAATCTTGACTTCAACTCAATTAATCTTTCTTCAAGTGTTTTTTTTCTCTCACAATTTTCAGCAGTTATTTTTGAAGGTTTCAAAAATACAATAATAATACTAATAATACTGTACCGGCAGAACACAAAAGTGGCTGATAGGAGAATGTGTTTTTACAATTTGATAGAAACATTTAAGGGAATGATATATATCATGAATTGAAATCGTCATTTGCACAGATCTTCGGTGTTGTGGTACTTCTGGCCTTCGTATTGCATTTCTTTGTCTTCTTTTTGTGTCTCCCATATTTCGCCTCAATAATGGTTCATTTCTTATCATTGATGTCGAGTCCATCTTTCCGCTATTGATTTTTACTGCTGATAAACGTCTCTTTACATACTAATGGTAAATCTTGTTTGTAACACACACACCGAAACACCACCAGAAAATAGTCAGCTGGTTGTTTATCTGAACTTGAGGAATAGATCTGGGAGAAAAAAGTCTATTAAATGACTGTTAGACAATTCAACTGTCCAAACATCTAACCACAAAGACAACATGACCTAGACAGGCGTGGTTCACTGTTTACCTAAAATGAAACTGCAGAAAAAAAGGCAAAATATCAGAACTTTTTTTCCTTTTCTTTCGTCAGACACTTACTTTGTAAGGTGACATCAGTCAGTGATATTCACTACTGCTGTGCAGTATTATGATTTTCTGTATAACTGCGTTGCAGACACAGCAGTGATGGGAACAACTCTTCTTCTCACTTCGCATGGAATTGGCTTAACAATAAGGAACTGATATAGCTTTAATGTAGGGCGTACTTCAGAGGATTTGTAAACCTTCAGTCATCAATTCGTTTTTTTAACGTTTCACCTGAATTAAAAGTTTTAAAAAAGTATATGTGTTAGTGTACAGATTGATTTTTATACCGAGCGAGTAGCACAATTTGTCCAGTTTACAATTCAGTCTTATTCAGTCTCTGTAATCTTTCATATTCCTTTCTACCATTACCCATTCTGTTTCACTCTCATACTTGTCAAACTCTATTGATTCTCTTCACTCATCGTCTTGTCTACCTCTGCGTGCTATTTGGAACGTGGCAACTCGAACTGGTGCACTTCGGTGCCAAGTTCTATGTTGAATCCAGACAGACAGTTTACAATGTTAGCTGTTGAAGCCAGGTTATATTTTCCTAAAGCAGCAGCATAAATTTGATGGACTAACTATCTGTTTCTCTGACTTATGTAGACTATTTGATAGATCTTTTGGAAAAGATAAGATAAGAACCAGCGGTTAAAAAGTTGAGTAATGCACACACCTTTGAATGCTGAATGCATGCAATTACAATGTTTCTTATTCAAAGCCTTAAGTATGAATGAAGCGTGTTACTTCCACCATACATTGCTTCGCGTGCTACACGGAATGTGGCGACTTGAACTTCCGCACATTTGTGCAAAGTTCTATGTCGAAAACAGACAGACAGACAGACAGATACATTGAACAAAAATCCCGAATGAGAAGTTTAGAGTTTAGGTGTTCGAGGGTGACGTGAAGACGATTATTGCGTTTGGAGGAAATATGAAAGCCTGTAGGCAGTCTTAGAGTCAGTTGTAATGTAAAAGATGCCAGAGTGCAATAGAGTTGTGCCACCGAAGCCCTATGTTCCACTGAAAATGCTAAGGAGGAATAATAATAACGCCATAATAAAAAAGTCTTAGATTCAATTCACTTTTCTAGTAATTTAAAAGTTTATCACCTACCTGTTAAACATTGGTAATAAGTCTTTCAGTTACACTATCGGTTGTACTTTTTCTAATATTCTTTGTTTGGTTATTTTTGCAAAGCTTAAACAGTTATTCGTCTTTTCTTCTTCCCTTTATTGTATATAGTCTGTTGTATCTCAAATCGGTTACCGATGTCTTGGTTGTTTTGTCGGTTATCTAGCTGAAAATCATGAAGTGAATTATACTTCTAATCTGTTGGTTCAAACTCTGAGTAAAGTAAGTTCTTTTGTGTTTTTTTATCTCTTCTTTTGAAATATATTTCTCATCATTATAGTATTATTATTATGGCACCAAAACATGTGCCATACAAAATGTCGTAGTGTGTGCTACAGCTGGGATACTACTGTCTGGACGCTCAGACCGAAGCAGATGGTTGTCTTTAGCGAACATCGTCTCTGAGCCTTTGACTTGAAGCCTGATCTACAAAGCAGTGGCGTCAGATAGTGTGTTCCCATGGTTGATGGTGACGAAAACAGGTTTATAAGTCAACTGATCTGTTTAGATTCTGGACCGCATGTACACCATAGGTTTGGAATCAGGGATGTTCAGTTCCCCAGTTCAGTTGCGAGCTCTAAGCGTTCGCATTCGCTTTTTCATTTTTGTTGGGAGCATCTGTGCCACGTGATGGCAGTAAATAGGGTTAACCTGGCTGAGTGTCATGAACGCGTGGTCACATGAGAGCATTTGAAGAGAAAAGCCGAAATCTACCCTTACTCGGTTGTTCGAGGTCGTTGGTGGTTTTTTACTTCAGTCAGTAAATATATCCCATGAGGTGATAAGGCTGTAGCAATACTTTTCGATTTTTTTTGTATAGATTTTTTTAAAGTAATCTGTTCATACTTGTCAATTCTTTCATTTTTTTAAAAATTTTCTTTGGATAAATAGGGTTTTGAACATACAGTAATCGATATACGTCTGTTGTCAACAGTTGTATCCAATCATATAGCCTGGCGTGTAAAACTTCCAATGCCAAATTGGCTTCATGGTTTTGTAAGTGTAATTTTAAACGGAACAAAAGATAAAAATAGTGCAGTTCGAGTTGGCAGTGAAACAACCTTGGTTGTTCTGTGTCGATTGAATGCTCCACGGAATAAAGATCCAAATCCGAATTCAGATTACTTACAAGTAAGGATCTTTTTATTTCTATTTTCTTTCGTGTTCTTCTGCTTTATTGTTTTTTTATTTGAAGAGAAACGCTTTCTTTTAATCAACACTATAGCCTAATAGTAGCGTTAGATTGAACAAACTAACGATATTTGTGATAAGCACAACCACTTCATGCATTTATCCCCCCTTGATGAATTTGAATAAAGAAAGAACAACAGTCGTTTGTGCAGAATAATGTTGTGGTACTACTATCATTTATTTCGTTGACTTCTCATCAGCTGCTTACAGCCTGAAAATTTTTTCCTAGTGTCAGTTGACAGAAAGTTCCGCAAATAGTGAAGAGTGCTCAGAAAATTGCGCTTATATAGTTTTTTTTACACGGGCGCAATTTTCTGAGCACTCACTCTTCCGTATTTGCGGGACTTCCTGTCAAATGAGATTATGGGAAAAAAATTTTGCAGGCTGTAAGCAGCTAATGAGAAGCCAACGAAATAAATGATGGTACCACAACATTATTCTACATAAACATTCTGAACATTATAATTTTTGTGGAGGCATGGCTCATCAGCTAAATCTCACTCGGTTTTCCACTGATGGACTATGGGTTCGAATCCCGCTCCATCTACGTCAATCTGGATCACTGGATAGCATCATCCAATCCTCATACGATAATTGTGCCTCTTAGCCTGGTACATGATAATTCTGGTCTGGATAATTGCTCCCAACCGATAGCTGCTACCTTGACGTGGTGGCCGGGCTTGCATATCGCAATGACCCTCATAAGCTACACTGGCTTAGACTATTGTTCCTGCAGATCCTACCATGCCAGGAAGGTTGTTAGTACAGCGATTAGACTAAAACCGGTTGCCTGCATAGAATTTTTTCTACACTGTGGGGTCTATGGACAAAGTCGTACTGCTGGGGAACAGGGATGTAGCAGCAGTGGTGTGTTTCCCCACATTTCGAGGAGGTGAAATTTCACCACAGTTTCCTTTGAAAATCGAAATCAAAAAAGCAAGTTTAAGCGCGCAAAACTATATTCTATTGATTGTGATTGATTGATTGATCGAAATGAGCAGTTGTATGCCATTTATATCCACCTCCTCGAATTGCAACATACAACTACTACTCATCTTAATCAATCAGTAGTATGTAGTTTTGTGCATTTATAACTCTTTATGGTTTATAGTAAGCTCAACAAAAACCAGCAGAAAGTCTAATTCTCTTGTTGAAAGATTGTTTGTGCATCGATTGTTCATTGGTAAAATATGATCCAGGTACAATTTTTGGTGGCCGACTCACTTCTCAATGTCGCCTAGTTTAGTAGTCGATAATAAGCTGGGAAGGAGAAGAACTGCATCCCACCGCCTCGTAAAAAGACATCAACACCACCACCACTACCCCACCTGTTGCAACTTCAAAAGCTCAAAGTTCTATGTTTAAGTCAGGAATGCAAACAATGAAGAAAAAAATATCGATTTAACCCCAATAACAAAAAGTTCTGACTAAAAGTTCAACAAGAAATTGTCTACATTATAAATATAAAGAATAACTCAGTAATCCTGTTAGCGGAGGTCATTATCATTATTATTATTTGATTACATGAATGAGTATATACGTTACACTATTTAATATTAATTGGTTATAAAAATAATATGTGCAAATATGAAAGAAAGAGCGCTTTGGAAACAAAGTATAAAGAAGGCTAGAGTAAATAGACGTAGTGGGATTTTTGAACTTGGCACAATTCGTTTAATCAGTTATACTGTAACGGTAGGAGAAATGATACTTATTACTAAAGGAATGTTTATTTGCCATTCTGGTATCCCTATATAGCCAAATTGTGTGTACATGATCTTCAGCGCGCACCATTTGCACAGATCTTCCTTGTTGTCTGTCTGTTTTTGACATAGAACTTTGCACAAATGTGTGGAAGTTCAAGTCGCCACACTCCGTGTAGCACGCGACGCAAGAGAAGAAAGTACAAGAAAAGCATAATAGAAACAGTGAGCAGAGGTGTGAGACAAAGGAGTAATAACGAAGAACAAAACAGTTTCATTGGAGATCATAAGTCACAAGGAGTGGATGCATCTGCGTTAGCCACTGAGAACGATTTTGAGCCATGTCACCAATTGTTTCCAACCATAGATTTTTACCGTCCCGAGGACCCTAGCCTGGAAGTCTACACCTTCCTACATGGCTTAGACCAACTGTTGTGGATTTCATTGACTGGTGCCAAGTTTTTTGTTTGACCGCCGCTAGCTTTTTTCCAGCCTGACCCTATATCCGCTAACATAGCTCGTCGAGGGAGGCGATGACTTGGCATACGTAACACATGTCCTAACCATTTCAGTCATCTTCCTTGTTGTGCTACTTCTGGCATTCATATTGTGCGTTCTTTTTGTGTTCCTTTCACGTCTCCCACGTTTTTCCGCAAAACTAAATCATTTACTTCCTTTGACGTCAAATCTGTCTCTCTTTCATGGGATTTTTGTATGCCGATAAACAACTCTTTATGTACTACTGCGGTGGATCTTATCAGTAGAACACTTCACACTTGTCTTCCCGTCAAATATATATTCGGACGGAACCAAATTATTACAACGCATTATTCCGGGGTTCGATCACCGCTCGATGAACTCCTTTACCTCATTTATCCAGTAATAAGACTGGCAAAGAGAGAAGGTTGGGCATGAGGCTAGCAACCCCATCCTGTAGAAATAAACACTGCTGCAGAAACTTCAAGCCTCCAGCTTGAAGCCCTATTTTCCACTGGGAACGTGAAGGAAATAAACAAAATTATTCTTTGTTGACACGGTGCTTTGTCCTAATCAATGCTGTGATTACAGACTTATAACTACCATTTAGTCTTAAATGGTCTTGAAATTTAGTAAACTTATTAGCATGAAGAGAATTATCAAACGTAAAAGTGATTGAACAATCAAAATAGACAAGTGCGGAATGGTATGTGTATTTGTTTGCATTACAACTGAACAAATAAGTAGTTCCATTAAACATATGAATTCGTCAGTAAGAGAAATTTACGCTCGGTACATCTAGTTTCTAACTGATTTTGAAGTGTTGGAGATTAGTATTAAATCAAGACTGATACAAGCTAATTATTATTATTATTGTCTCCTTTAGTTCCTAGAGGAACATAGAGCTTCAGCCTCACGTCTCCATTGTGTTCGATTCTCCGGCTCCACGTCTGCCCACATGCTTTCATCTCGTCTTAACATGACCTCCATGCCACCCTCGCACTGACGACCAACTTGCCGCTTCCCATTCGGTTTCCACTCGAGTGACGACCTGGCGTGTGGTGTCACTCACTTGATGGTTTTCTCAGGGACTGGTCAATCCAGTTCCATTTCTTCCTGCATATTTGTTGCACAATTGTTTCTTATTTTGTTGGTTCCTTCATTGCCAGAGATCGCTGTTGCTGATCCTTTCTGGCCATCTGGTCTCGAGTATTGAGAGACGAGAGCTGTTGATGAAAGTTTGTAGTTTTTTCGAAATGCCTTTCATGACGCGGAATCAAGTCTCTGATCCGTATACTAAAAAGCACTGCCTTTAAATTGATTGTGGAAATCTGAATCTTATTTTTCATGCTGAGTGCTGTTGATTTACATGCAGACTTGAGAGAAATGAAAGCTTGCCTTGCTTTCCCGATCGTCGTCAGTTCCGTCCGCCTGTTGTTGAAACTATATTTTCCAGGTCGATAGATAAAGGAGGTTGCTTCTTTCGGATTTCTCCCATTTATGCTGGCTGATTGCTGTCTGTTGTTGTTACTGTTGCTGTTGGTCACGAATCTTTATTGCCTTCAGTATTTATGTTTTCGTCTGAGAGTTGATGTCCACTGTTAGTTCTGTTTCCGCTGTTGGTATGATTGGGCGCAATCGGCGTAGCGGTTGATTTAGAAGTCTTTTAAAGTAGTCAGCCCAGTGTTTCCTTTGCTTCACCTCTTTGGTGATTGGCTTTCCACTGTCATTCTTCACGTGTTTAACCTGTGTTGAACTTTTCCCCGATAGGAACCTAGTTTTTTGGTAGAGTGTGGCGAGGTCTCCTTTGCCTGCAGCTTGTTCTGCTTCACTTCCCATGGCTTCATAATATTTTCTTTTGTCTTCCCTGACACTCTTCCTTACTCTTTTGTTCAGTGTATTGTAGCTTGAATTCAAATCCTTTTTTGTTGCTCATTGATGCACTGGATAATATTGTGTTTCATTATCCTTCTCTCTTCTATTAGTTTCTAAGTGTCCGCAGTGAGCCACTGTTTTTCCTGCCTCTTCTTTCTGTCTAGAACTTCCATGCAGGTTTGACTCCACACCGTTTTCAAGTTGTCCCAGTGGTTGTCGATGCCGACCTCTTCGCTAGTGTTGATTTGTGTCTCAGCTTTGTCCCTTATGCTTCCAATGAAGATGTCCTTTGTATCTTGGTCCTTCAGTTTTAGAGTGTTGAACTTGGCTTGTGGTCTATCTGCAGCTCCAGTTTCCCTGAAAGCTTTTAATTTGATTTGGATTATCCCTTGTACGAGATAGTGGTCTGAGCCGACTTCTGCTCCTCTTCCTACTTTCGTGTCCAGTAAGCTGCGTGTCCACTTCTTTGAGCAACTCTGACATGAAGTCAATTAGGGCTTTGGTTAGCCCGTCTGGTGACATCCACGTAGCCTTGTGGATATCCTTGTGCTTGTATACGCTACCACTAATCACTAGTTCGTTGAAGACACAGAAGTCAGCGAAGAGTTCCTCATTTTCATTCATTTCTTCGAGAGCTTCTGTACCCATGTTAAGTTCTCTTCCTGTGTCTGGTCCCAGTTTGGCGTTCATGTCTCTCATAAGTATTTTAATGTCACCAGCTGAAGTATTGTCCATTGCTGCCTGTAGTTGTCTGTAGAATTCTTCTTTCTTTTCGAGGTCCACGTTAATGGGTGCATAACATTGTATGATTGACACTTTCCTTCCTTTGGAGTTGAATCTGGCGGTCACTATCATTGTATGAGGGTCTTCGTTACCTCTGGTAACATGATAGTTACGCCCTCAGTGTGCTCGTGAATGGTTTCATTTTTGACCGCTTAGTAGGATTTCATACCTCACCACCTTAAAACAATAACTGTATGGGTCCCCATCTTCAGCGAACAGATGATGATATTCTTTAAAAAACACTGTAATATTCTGTGCTTTCGACGCTTCGATCTCTGCTGTCTCGCTTGGCTCATACATACTGATAGGTCCGTACTTCCTAATCACTGCCCTATCCTTCGTGTTAATTACCGCACTGTGATCTCTCTCAGAAAATTAGCATCAAGTATTGTTCGCCATAACTCGGGCACTACAATGAACGGGAACATAACTTCGCGATCACCGATGAAATCGCTACAGTTTGACATCTCTGCGATGCCTAACACATGTCCACCTGCCATTTGAACTATCAATAAACACGGTTTGCCACTCTGACATGGATTCTTATCTATCAGTGAAACTGCCGCCCCTGTATCTATTAAACACACTACATGTTGGCCATTCACTCGCAACTTAGAATACATGGTCCCGTCTCGATAGCCTCTATTACTTCAACTCTAACAGGACAGAAAGAATGCGTTTTCCTTGTCCTTCCTTCTGAACAGCACCTCCACAATGTCCTTCTTTTCCACATCGAAAGCATCGGTCTTTCCTGGTACTCATTCGTAGTGCCGCCACTTCATACTACTAACTTTAGAATTTTCTTTCACTTCCGATCCATTTCGGTGGATCTGTTGCGGCTATCGTTATGCTCAACAGCTGTCTGGTCACCTTCGCTATCTCGCCAGTGTCTATGCCTTATGGAGCGTGACATCCAGTTGTAGTTGTTGAGAAATGCGGTCTGAAACACTCTCGAGGAAGTGGGACGTCGATAACTGCGACTCTGAATCGTCCAGTGTGGAAAGTGCGCAACGTGGCAGATTCGTCAGCTTCATGACATGGAATTACCGCACGCCCAACTGCCTGTCCGTCGAGCTGTCGAAATCCGCCACCACTCGGTCAACCAGTACCCTCCAGGCCTTTTTCTCACCCGACTGCTCCACACTGTCGTTTGCCGGCTTGGCTTGACCTATCAGCAGCGCTCCCAGCACGATCGCCTTCTCTGTCGGATGATGCACTCTCACCAAGTTGGCGGCAGCTTCGGAATACTGTGAGAAGCTGTTGATGTCTCCTTCCTCAAAAGCAGCAGGTCATGGAATCTCCATTGTCTGGAGATAGCGACTTCAATTTCAACGTTAGAAGGCGAAAGATTTGGTAAAGGAATGTTTACTTGCAATTTGGTATCGCTATGTTTTGAAACTATGTACACCTTTTCTTTGAATCGCCATTTGCACAGATCTTCCTTGTTGCTATACTTCTATCCTTCATATCGTGTTTATTTGTAATCTTTTTACGTCTCCCATGTTTCTCCGAAACGCTGAGTCAATTGATTTCACTGAAACCAAATCTTTCTCCCTGCTCACTGATGTTTTTATGCCGATGAACGTTTCTCTATTTATACTACTGAGAAATCATATCAGTAGCACACACAACAACATCAGCCTCTCGCCCGACCTAGTAAAAGTTTTTCTATTAAGAAATCTATGCGTTATTTGGATTATAAGATATATGAAGATTTAGGTTAATTCATTTTCAGTTGTAAGATTTTGTGATGAAGTAACATCACCTAAAGATTTCATTGAAAATCAGCGCGGACTTAACAGCTGTTTCGTTCTATTTTAGGAATGCTCAGCAGCAGTACTCATTCACGACCTCATCTAGTAGGGTTCGAACCTGGGGTCCTCCGGTTATTAAAACCAAAGCTCGTTCACTCGGACCAGAATCCTGTGACTTATGAATTCTAACTTTGTCAAATCGTGATGTAGATGATTAGTCAACGAACTAGGTCTCATGATGATTATTGTCTTGGGTGCGCTGAACACTGCTGAACAGTACCGAAATAGGGCAAAACAAGTGTCCCTGATTTTCAATCACCTGTCTAACTGATGTTGGTTGGTGGCGAAATTAAATTGTTTTGCTTTCCTTTTTATATTTTCATTGTGAAATTGTTCACAGTGGGGTTGGGGGGTTGTTACCGGCTTTTTTTTTCCATCTGTCTTTCTCGTTTGAAGTCACACGTTCACGCACATTAATATATATATATATATATATATATATATATGCATACATACTACTGTAATAAAACTAGTAATTGATTTTGTCCACTAATCAGTCAGTGACTATAATTAGCAATAATCAGTCAAGTTTTTCTTTCCCCGTATGTATTCCACCCACGCATGCATGGTAAGTCATGCTGCTTGCATGCGTGTATTATACAAAGAAAGACGTCAGTGGATTGTTATTATTATTATTTTTCAAACTATTGAAAATAGTCAAGTTACACATGATTGGTTAAATTACGTAGATAGATAGTAGAGGAGAGAGAGAATGAGAAAGAAGAAAAAAGCACATTCTGATAAAATAAATATACAAATGATAAAAATAATGATGTTAATAATAGTAAATTATAAATAGAGTTTAACAGAATCCTGAAGGGTTTACACAATTTTGTCTGTAAACTCACCGTTTCTTCATTCGGGTTACCACTGTCCTATTTGAAATATCTGTCGACATCATTATTTATGAGGTAATAGTAATAATTTTGCTTTTCTTTTTATGTTCTGTCAGCTTGTCTATAGTCTACCAGTGCTTTTTTGTCACACTAAATTAACACTACCAAATCATTTGATAATTTTAGTGGACAATCGTCTTTCTGTTGTTCTTTAACTCTTCCCTCTTATGTAATCAAGCCGTAAATGTGTTCATGTTCATTTCGCTGGATTTGATATATGTTTCATGAATTGACGGTATCAGACATGTGGCTGGATGACGACGTAGTGTTAACTAAGGACGACATGTCAATTGAAGAGATCACTAGAAAACATGTTACTCATACCAGTTCACTGTATTCTTCGACGAACAACATGAGCCGACATAGGATCAAGTTCAAAGAGAACTAGCAGTGGTCAAACCAGAACTTCGAAACAGTCCATGAAATTTTCGACAGTTGGTTTCATCTAGCCATTTAGGGAGAAGTAGACTGCCTGTTTGGGGTCCCTAGGATGCTAAGCACCAATAACTGGAGTAGATAATTAGTGATATGGCTAAAATTGTTCTCAGTGGCTCAGATGCATTCATTCACTGTGACCTCCTATAACTACTAAACCGTTATATTCTTCCATTTTACCGCTGTTTCTCCTTCACTTTTGTGTTTTTATTATAGTTCTTTTTAGTCTTCCCCCTCTCTCTCTCTCTTTTGGCTACCTTTGTGTGGGTATATGGAGTATGGCGACTTGAACTGTTGCACTTTTCTGTGTATAGTTCTACGTTGAAACTCAGTTGGTCCGACTGCTGATGCCATCAACTTCAGTCAAGACTTGACATTTCATCGTTTTTTTTTAAATATTGTTGAATGTGTGTACTGGGTTTTAACTAAGTTCAATTCGTTTTTTTTTCTTTCTTATTGTTATTATTGTTCCCTTGGGTTCCTAGTGGAACATAGGGCTTCAGCTTCACGTCTCCACTTGATTCTGTCTTCTGCTGTGCTTTTCACCTGTTCTCATGTTAGTCCATACTGTTTCAGCTCCTCTTCACACCATCTCCTCCATGACCTCCCACTCGCCGCTTCCCTTTCGACCTGGTCCCACGCGAACAATGGCCTGACGTGCGCGCTATGTCACCCAGCGGCCTCCTCAGCCGCGAGTGTCCAATCCATCTCCACTTTCTCCTGCATATTTGTTGGTTGGCGATTGGTTTTGTTTTGTTCGCTCCCATAGTTTCTTGATGGTGATTCTTTCCCGCCCAGCCATCTTATCTTCAGTATAGAGCCAGTTAAGACAGTTGTTGGTTGATGACAGTTTGCAACAGGCTGTTGGAAATATTCTTTGTGACCCGCCTGCCAAGTTTCTGATCCGTATAGAAGAGCTGACTGACTTGACGTTTGTATTGAAAATCCAACCGGATTTTGTTGTTGATACTGGCTGAGTGACGAAGATTTCCAGATTGGTTTCAGGTTGGTTGATGAATGTGTTTCTCGCCTGCCTTCCCGATTCTCGCTGGATTTTATATCCTCGTCCGTTCCGACTGCTTGTAGTTGAGACAATGCTCCCTAGATAAGTGAATGAAGTGACCTCTTTCAAATCCCTCCTGTTGATGGTGATTGGCGCTGGATGTTGTTGTTGGTTGGCTATATTCATAACCTCCATCTTGTCTATGTTCACTATATTTTTCTACATAATGTTAATTTTCGCTAAAAAAAAGTTGCTTACAACGGTAACTAATACATTCTATTTGAATGAATGTTATCATTTTAGAACACACCAACTTCAGTGATTTAGTTATATGCTGTGAATGCCATTCCAGAAGATCAAATATCGCTTGATGTTCTCTAGCTGTGGGAATGAATGGAAAAAGCTAAGATTTAATAGTGGGTCATTGATATAACATATAGCACTGTTGAATAAAGAATATTCGTCTTAGGTTAGATGCATTCGTACATGAAGTAGAAGAATTGTAATCATTAGTGAACATGCCACAGTTTTCTCTTTTCTTGTCATTCTGAAAGTAACATGAAGTGATGTATCGTCCTTTTAGGTCGTCTTGACACGTATGCCTTGCTTGCTTTGAAAGTGATTTGATTGTCCCTCACTAGTTCTCTCTATATTATTGTTTTAACATCGTCTCTATGTTTTAGTGATAATAATAGTAATATTGAATGGTTGCTTAATTTGAGATTTACTTATTAAATTTAAAATTACCTTTTCATCACTACTACTTATTTTCTTTTTGTTCATTTTAGGCATGTTGTGATTCACTGGACGCAAATTCACGTAAACAATTTGAAACACTTATGCAACGTCTTCGTAAACATAATTGGTCTGATGTATGGCGTCAAGGTTGCCCAGATATGGATAGTACTAAATTATTGTGATGAAATAAATGAAATTATTATTTCAAATGACAATTTAAAACTAGTGCTCTTTTCATCTCTCCCTCTGTGTGTGTGTGTGTCGTATGATTTGACTCTAGCAAAGAAGCTGCCGTCTATTTCAAAATCAGTTCACCTTTATTATTTTTGAAGTTGTCGGCTGTTATGGAAATATGATTTCTGCATATATTATTATGTATAAATATTGATGTGACTATTTTGACAATAAAAAGAATGTCTTTATCTTCAATTTGTGTGTTTCAATGACTGACTTATCGATTGCTGGTGTCAATTAGTCATAACGTGGTTCATACTTCTGTCTATCTGTCTGTCTGTTTTCGACATAGAACTTTGCACCGATATGCGGTAGTTCCAGTCGCCACACTCCCTTCTTGTAGCACACAAAGCAAGAGGAGAAAGCAGAAGAAATGCATAATAAAGACAGTAAACAGAGGTGTGGGACAAAGAAATACTAATAACGAAGAACAATATAGTTTCATCGGAAATCATAGGCCACAAGGAGTGGATGCATCTGCGCCCATCTATTGAGAACGATTTTGAGCCATGTCACCAATTGTTTCCAACCATCGGTTTTTACTGTCCCGAGGACCCAAACCAGTCAGGAAGTCTACACCTTCCTACGTGGCTTAAACTAACTGTTGTAGATTTCACTGACTGGTGCCATGTTTTGGTTTGACCGCCGCTAGCTCTTTTCCAGTCTGACCCCATGTCAGCTAACATTGCCTATTGTCGAGGAAGGCGATGGCTAGACTAAGCATACGTAACACGTGTCCTAACCATCTCGGTAGATGTAGTTTCATAGCCTAGTCGATTGATTTCCCCTCCCACCTACCTAGCACTCGACGCCTAACCTCAATATTGCTCACCTTATTATACCACTTCACATGGGAGATAGAACGCAGGCACTTCAACCGTGAATATCGCCATAGCATGATTAATTTTTTAAACCGTATTATGATAGTCACCTTGATGGTAGTGGCAAGCGAATAAATACAGAGAGAGTAGACTTACTCAAATTTAAAACTTGTAACAAAAAAAAAGAAATCAAGATGCCTAGAAGCGTCAAATCTCAGAAAATGTATACGTTGAACATTTTGCTTAAGATATATAAGCCTGTTTAACATAAGCCGATTGACTTATCAACATAGAAATTTCTATCGAAGTACATCAATTCAGGTTACTCCAGTTCAGAGAATCACATTGCTAAATGTAAGTTTGTGAATATTTCCAAAATCTGGATACTAGCTATGATTCATTACTTTGGCGTTATTGAGAATGACAGCTGAATCTAGGCCGGGCAGTCTGAACTTCTCTATGTGGCTCAAACCAGCAATTCGAGACTTCCATAATCGGTATCATGCTCTCTCATCCTACCACTCGTATCCTGCTTTAGTTAAACTAATTCTTTTCCTTTCCTTGTTACTACTACACTGTTGTTCTCATCTACTACCATACATCAACTTTATATTTCAAATCCTGTGGTGCATTGTTTGAAATGAAATAATCTACGCTGTTTTTTTTTCTTAATTTTTAATATTTATTTTATAACTTATTTATTTTAATTGCATGGAGGATTTAATCATGAGCTGACATCAGTTAAAGAACCACTGGAAAACCTGGGAGTACTGGACAGCTGTTTCGTCCTAGTTTGGGACTCCTCAGCAGTACGCACCCACCGGGATTCGAACCCAGGACCTTCTGGTTACAAGGCGAGCTCGTAGACCATTGAGCCATTGGGACCCGATCCAATGGTCCTTGAATTCTAACTTCTGCCAGTTCACGACATAGCGCGACCACTTCGCAATGTCTTCTTCGATGAGTTACTGCCTCATCTTCAACCTGCTGTACCCTACTGGTCACGGCTTCTCACTAGAACCCCAGGTTAACTGCCTGAATAGGGCCAGTCACTAGTGAGCATCAGATGAATTTTTAAGTATTGGTTTGTTGTAGGGATTTTGTTTGATTGCATGGAGGATTTACTCATGAGCTGACATCAGTTAGAGAACCACTGGGTGGGTGCGTACTGCTGAGGAGTCCCAAACTAGGACGAAACAGCTGTCCAGTACTCCCAGGTTTTCCAGTGGTTCTCTAACTGATGTCAGCTCATGAGTAAATCCTCCATGCAATCAAACAAAATCCCTACAACAAACCAATACTTAAAAATTTATTTATTTTATTTTTTATTTATTTATCTCCGATTTTTAAAAATCTTATATAATTTATGAGGTAATCAGATGCAATATACTGTAATGCATGCTGAAAATTCCATATATGTACCACAAATACTGTTTGGAATAAAGCTGTTATTATTATTATATTATTATTATAACTGTTTGCTGAGGAGAGTGATAGTTCCGCATCAGTACCACATGTCTTAGTCTTTGAACCTATGCAACTACATCGATTTTCTTTCCCTCTTTTGCTTGTTACTACGCCTAACCTCAGTATAACCGATTATATGGTTTCATCTAACATGAAAGGATTAGATGGTTAAAAAAAACTGCTAGTCTCTTCATTTCTTCCACTTAACGGTTATATCATACAATCGTGTAAATTAGAATGGGACAGTACTCGCGTTGTATGATGGTTAGATAACCACCACTATGGTGCTGAAGGAGACGCATGATGAGATTTTATCAGGCAGTCTAATGTGAAATTACGAATCAATCCAGACTAGTCAATGCCGCATCATCTTACCAATTGACAGGGATGAATCTCATATCGAATATACTCATATATTTGGGTTAAAGTGTTCCGAAGACTACTTTTTTTCAGCATCTTCATGTTAATAGATAATATCACCCACCTACGTACTCTAGACTCACGAGACTATATCTCCTGGCAGTGAGTGAGTCAGCCTGCAAACCATAGAAGTCCACTATACCTGTATAATAAATATTAAACATAAATACTAAAAGTAGACATTCCTTACAGATACTTGGTTGGTTATCGAATAGAATCCCACAGACTTTCTAAACATTCACTTCACATCTATTCCATATCATAAACAGTAGTTATACTTTGATTGACTATTCATCATTGTTGCAAAACTACGAAAGTTTGATATCTTAGTCCAGTGATATATTTCCCTTTTATAATTAAAGTGGGTCATCTCTCACGTGTGTGTCACCCTATTGAATTCTTCTATAATTCCTCAAAAACAACACTTAGAAATATTCACCTTCGTGTGTAGAGAAGGCGAACGAAGAAGGCATTGAATGATGGATGATGACTGATACGCGCAAAAATTATGCATGAAATTACTCTCAAATGAGATGTCAATCATACAGCATACACTCTTATTCAATTCTCTGTCTTTGATATAAAGAAAAGTCAATAAAGTCGCTCAACTGAGTTATTCTTGTCAGAATTAGTGTTGTACAAATAGATACAAATATAAACAACACTACTAAATAAAGTAGTTAGTTACCTTATTATTTATACGCTTCGAAGTACTTTCACCTCAATGCGTTATCATATATCATATTAATAATCTTTTTAAAAAGAAAATCAAGTGTTTGCTTCAAATAAATATCTTTTTTCTCAACTGAAAAATCATTAGGATTTCAAAAGCAAATGTGAAGGCATTTCTCATATAGGGGGTGGAGGGGAGCAAGAGAAATAGGGATAATCTGATTAATAAAATAATAATAATAACGTAATCTTCTGGCGGCGGTAGCCGGGTGTGGGGGGAGGCGTGCGGGGTGAAATACTTTGGGATGAATGATAAAAATGATACATTTAACAAAGTAAACAATGAGAAAGTGAATCAAGTTATTATCTACAATAAAAGAAAGAGATCAAGATTGTCTTACATCGAGTTTTTGTGACGGTGACTGTGTGTGTGTATGGATGACAGACATACTCTAGGTACTGTACAAAGATGATATAAAGTAGTACGAGTTATTTCATTAAATAATATGCATTATAAGATTATACAATTAAACAATATTACTCTTATTTTCATCGGGAATATTTTTACACTCTAATGGATAATCGATTTTCATAGAACAACACGGGAGGACATTATATGTAGGAAAGTTATTTACAACAACTGTTGATGATGTAATCGTCGATGGTGCTGTAGCAGGAGTAGTATTAGGTAGTGGCGGTGTTGTTGTTGCTGTTGTTATTGTAGTACCAGTTGGAAGTATATTTGCATTTCTTGGTTTACGTCCTCTTCTTGGTTTATCACGCATATGTGTTTTAGTATGACGATTACGTTCATCTGAACGTGCAAATCGACGATCACATAATTTACATTCATATGGTCTTTCACCAGTATGTGTACGACGATGTGTCATTAAATGATCACTACGTGTAAATCCTTTCTTACATATATCACATACAAACTGTTTAATTTCACTATGTGTACGTTGATGACGTTTAAGTTCATCGATTCGAACAAAACGTTTATTACAATTTAACATACCACATACAAATGGTTTTTGTTGATCAGATAATTTTAATGGATACTGTTTATTATTATTATTATTATTATTTTGATGAATTAGTGATAACTCACTTGATATACCGTTTTTACAACAATATTCTCCTGAATTATTTATCCTGGGGATGATATTTGTTGATATACTCGTAGAGCATGTATGATCAATTTCTGGATGCAGATAATTTCTAGGATTGATCATGTTGTTTACATTAATGTGATTATTACTTGTTGTTGTGAAAGTGTTACTATGAGTTACATTATTATTACTGTTATGATATGTAGTAGTAGTCCATGGCATATGCGTTTCCAGTGAAGTGTATACAGCATTATTACTGTTATTATCATATTGGCATGCATAAATCGATGAATCCATATCATCCATGGTGAATTTTGTCGGATGTAAAGATGTGTCAGTAGACCATTGATCAACGATAATATTTGTATTATAATTGGGGACTGGAGTAATAGGTGATAATAGTGATAAATTATCATTTTGTCCTTCAGATTTAATCTCTTGATTCGTAGTAGACGAAGCAGAATATGATTCTAAATTACAATAGACTAATGGTGTGGATGGTTGAGTCACATAGTTATTTTCGCATTCAGTCAATGGTTTTAAATATTGTACTCCAAATATTTGTAAATTGTTATCATTATAATATTCCGTTACACTACGAGTAGGGAAACTTTGATCATCTTCAGTGACTGGTTCAGCTGAAATAAAAAAATAGGGAAAAATGAAACCGTTAAAATTTGTCAAGATTTCCATCATATAAATCTTTCAACAACAGAGGAAAAAAACACCAGTTGAACTCACTTTTTATTGTTGAATTCGGTGGATAAATAAAATAGTTGTCAGGCTCTTTGTCAAGTGGTGTTGGAGTATTTAAATTTTCCCATTTTGAAAAATCTCGAAAACTGCCATCTGATGCATTAGTTGGTGTATGACCAGTTGGTATATCGTTGAAAGCTGTTTTAATATCATCTGTAGGTAGCATCCAGTCGATTACACTATTACTTAAAGTCTGTAACATCTTCATTTACTTGATAAATGTTCATAAAACGTGCAAATTTCCGGCTATTTATATGGTTGAACAAGTCTAGTCATCTGTAACCAATAGCATACATTCCACCAACGCATTGTTATTTTAAGTAACTAAAATTCGTAGCTAAATATGTCAACCAATCAAGAGTGAACAGGTGGCTTCAGGTAACCTTGAAATTAACCAATCCAAATATTATTTTAATATCAGACATTGTAGTCCACACCCCTATTATTTTATATCAGCGTGATCGGTTGCCAGCAGATGACTATTATTGCCATTTTAGCTAGGTGTTTGGGAGAGAAAAATGGTGGGTGTGATTTTACTTATTTTCCTAAAAATATTTATATCAGAAATACTGAGATTCTTAAAATGAATGAGAAACGTCTATTCAGTTCTTGTGCCTTCTTAATATCCGTTTTATCATTTTATCGTGATTGATTATCAATTTGATTTGCATGAATAGCATACTGTCTTTCAGTCCACATAGCGAACAAGCCGTTTCAGTTAAATAATTCAGTCACAGATAACTCAAAAAAGTTTTTTAAAAAAATTGATTGGCTTGGAAATATTTTATCATGAACTGATTGAACTTGATACATACATGAAAACTAGACAACACGTAAAAGCTGTTTATTCTATAACTATGATTTCTATGTCTTACACATGATCAAACAGACTTTATGGCTGGAAAATTATAACTGAATGACTTTTGTTAGGACTTTTACTTACTTCAGTGACTCTAAACTATGGTAGCCCATGACGAAACTACTTAATTAAGACCTTGACTAATATCTATCAACCAATCAGACACATCCGAAGCAGTAGTGCGTAATTTGAAAACAAAAGGTTCATATATAAGTGATGCAACGTTAAAAATAGAATAACTTCCTTGTATGTGTTCCAAGAAAAGCTTCCGATTTCTAATAGGAGTTCTCACGGTTAAGTTAGACCAATTTCGGTGCGTAAATTCCTCGAGATAACTGTATATCATCGTGTTTGTTGCCTGATTCATTGCTCCGACACCCTTCTTTGAAGATGACTGTAAAAGCTTTCAATGTAATTTGTGTGGATCCGATCGAAAGGCTTAGCAAAATCTTCCATATTATTGACCACGTTATGAATATAGTCCACGAATAACAGTTGGTTACACATTTTCCATGAGCCTGTGGTCCCAGCAGTAATTAAATAATAGATTCGGATGAAATTTGGTACATAATTCGTGTACAGCACCCGAAATTCTGCCTATATACTACGGAATGCTCGCTCAGTGTGATAAATCCTCTCACTAGGTAGATTCTTTTTGGACTGCTATAGTTTCGAGTCACCTTTACTTAAACTAATAGGCGTATTTACATCTCCTTATAGTTTAGATTTAGTGTGAAAGTTTTATTTTAATTCATCAAAAATTACCTCTGATTGTGGTTTCGTAGAATGACCTTCGTGTTAGAAACTGTTTGGTAAGATTGAAAGTTACTCCATGTATTCAGTAAAAAGTACTCCTAACCTACAGTGTTTGTCGTCATCAAAGTCGTACCAGTCAACTGAAACTCGTGTTGGTTTCGAGGCATCTTTTCAAACAATCCGTGTTCCAACAGAGACTGGAATATTTGATCCGAACAAATCTGTAACGAAAAATTACAAGCATATAACCACTTATGAATATTCTGTCAAACACTTTAGACATCGATAAGTTCCCCCCCCCTCTGTGTAAGTATAACCACATGTATGCTTAAACTGACAGATGCAGTGCCAGGTGGCATCATCTTCCGTATGTTCTGAGGGTTCAGAGAGATATACAGGCTTCACATTCTCAATTATCCGAGTCTTCGCGGTATAAAAAGTCTTTTAGGCCACAGTCTTCAATCTTTTTCCAATTATCAAGCTACTATGACCACCTGTGTAAGATAATGGTTTGATATATGCATCATCTTTAGTGGTAAGTTGGAGAATGGATCTTGGTGCTTTGTACCCCTTCATGAACTCCTCTGGTTAACTATTTTCGCTTTCACGTGTGTCATCGGTGCGTATATGTTGAATCCAATTAAAAACCGACATCTCATTAAGACTTTATTATACTGGAATAAATAGAAAGTGTGGTAACTAAGATACTCTCCTATCCAAGTATGTTTTTGTAATTGCATGAATGCGTTAGGTCGTCGATATATCTAGGCTAGATAATCACTTATCTCCTTTTTCTAATGCATGTAACTGATATGCTACTTGGCATTTATCAGTTCAAATCAAAGTCTAGTCACACACACACAGATATATATGAATAGGAAGGACTTGTCAATTTCCGCAACTGAGGGTTTCAGATAGTATTTCTAAGTATGTCTTCAGAAGTAGTATGAATCCCTGTAAACTATTAATGGTTGAAAAGTAGATTTTCAAGAATTAGCTTGCAGTCATCTGATTTATTCCAAGTCTGACCGTGGATTAATTTAAGTTACAGTACCATTAGAAACAAGCAGGGAGTACTGATGGACAGCTGTTTCGTCCTAATTGGGATTCATTGGCGATACTCACCCTATGGAGTTTGAATGTAGAACTTTGTGGTTACAAGGCGCAAGGCAAGCTCGTAAACCACTCAGCTACTGAGAACCAACTCGATGACCAGCCTATGAATTCTAATGTTTATCAATTCGGGATTTTAGCGTGACTAACACCAACCAGTGTCGTCGGCGAATATTTGTCCTAACTCCCGAGCATGAAGTGAAGAACTATTCCAATGATGTTCATATTATACATTGAAAATATAAGCCATCAAATGTGAATATTCCATTTACTGTTTGGATGAATAACATGAATTATCATTTTATAACTACGTTGATAACAAAAAGGCCTACATTTCTTTTGCTACTATTTGGAGAACTGCGAAGATTATGTTAAGTCCATCTAAATAAATAAGAAAAATACTAACAACCGAAAATTTGTTCAGAATTCAAACCAGCAAATCGGATTGAGTCACGAATCGTAGATAATTAGATAAAAACTCATATGGTCTTTATTCAGATAAATCTAGCTAATGATTTCACAAACAAATTAGTGTAATAATAACCCATTTTTTGTTTTTTGATGATATTAAATTTAGATACAGTAATTTTCCAAAATTTAAAATTGAATAATATTTGTTGTTGAAATGTACTTTTCAAGCTTGATGTATCTTTTTAGATTTTTCCTTACTACTAAGGTTAGGATATTGAATAATTCAGATCATTATTTTAGTTCATGCTTAAAATAGCCAAATACTCAAATTAGAAGTATTCTTTATTTTTAATAATTGATTTTTTTTTTATGCGAGCTAGTTACTTTTAATAGATTAACTGCATTATGCATTAAAAACATGTCGGATTTTGGAATTTATTTCATCCCATTGATTTTATAGTCACATGCATATTGCATAGAAAAAAAAAGCTTGAAAATAACGCCCACGATTTGCGTCATGCCAAATACATCTGTCATTTTTTGTCAAACGCTAACCTTAACAATTGTGATTGGTTTATTTTCAGATTAACTGACCTACAATTATGATTGGTTAATTAAGCGAAATAGTCGACATGATCGTATTCGTCATCGGGCTGATTGAATTACTTCTAATCTTAGGCATTTGATGACTGGTAGGTAGTTTTGATAAGCACTCTACGTATAATTGAACAATCAGCTATTAATTTTTTTTACCAAAATAAAAATGATTCATTTCAATCTAGACGAGTGTAATGTATTCTTCTACAATGTTAGATTCTACTAAACATAATTACATTGATGGGAGTAGATATTATTTAAGTCAGAAATATTTGTTTACGTAATAGATGTTTAAAAAAACATCACATGTTGTTGCAGAAATAGTATAACTGACGCATTATCTTATTTCCTTACTCATCACATTATATAAATGACTGTGTATATTTGACGAAGTTAAACTAAAGCAATCATTCGGGTACATGACTTTCAACAATCATTTGGAGTTATGGGTATTATAACTAAATTAAATCATGCCTTTCTGTTCTGGATTTGCTTAACAGGTCCTAGGAAGATCGAGTTTTAGATTACTTTGTAAATAATGGACTATTTACAGCTACCAAAAACATGTATATGTGAAGAGAGCTTAATAGGATAACCAATCTTTCAAGAGAACATAATCAGAAATATAAATAAGGCATAATGTCGTATCATCGCATTTTTAAAAACAATTTTGTGGCTTTTAATGCTCTTTAATTATGATTAATTTCTCCATGTCATTGGTAAACTGGACTGCGACAGCTACCATAGTTTAATTTCGCCATTTGTTGAGTAAATGCAGTTAGTGCTGAGTCACTAACTCCATTCTCCAACTTGCCACTAAAGATGATGCATATATCAAACCATTATCTTACACAGGTGGTCATAGTAGCTTGATAATTGGAAAAAGATTGAAGACTGTGGCCTAAAAGACTTTTTATACCGCGAAGACTCGGATAATTGAGAATGTGAAGCCTGTATATCTCTCTGAACCCTCAGAACATACGGAAGATGATGCCACCTGGCACTGCATCTGTCAGTTTAAGCATACATGTGGTTATACTTACACAGAGGGGGGGGAACTTATCGATGTCTAAAGTGTTTGACAGAATATTCATAAGTGGTTATATGCTTGTAATTTTTCGTTACAGATTTGTTCGGATCAAATATTCCAGTCTCTGTTGGAACACGGATTGTTTGAAAAGATGCCTCGAAACCAACACGAGTTTCAGTTGACTGGTACGACTTTGATGACGACAAACACTGTAGGTTAGGAGTACTTTTTACTGAATACATGGAGTAACTTTCAATCTTACCAAACAGTTTCTAACACGAAGGTCATTCTACGAAACCACAATCAGAGGTAATTTTTGATGAATTAAAATAAAACTTTCACACTAAATCTAAACTATAAGGAGATGTAAATACGCCTATTAGTTTAAGTAAGGGTTAGTCACTAAGGGTAATAACTATTAATGTTTCACTGTTCGTAAATT